TTAAAAAAACTATGATTTTGAAAAATAATTTGTAAATATATATATATATATAAAATTATAAAATCCATTCTTAAATTTTGTATATATTATGCACATATTTATTATTAAATTGAAGCATTTTGCAGAAGATTTTCCTACAAAGTTGAACTCAAGAAATTCGTTCTTACATTCGGTTGAACATTTTTCTCCTATGATATAGAAAAGTTTAGCCTTTATTTCTAAAAACAGATCAAGTATTTTCAAATAGGGTGTATGTTGAAAAGAAGCGGTAATGCAAAACGACTAGAAGAATGAATAGGATACGCGTTGAAATTAGAAGAGGGAAGAATGAAAGGCAATGTGCATTGCCATTCCACGTATTACATATGGTACCTTTGATGAAAAAGACTTCTTTTCTGCTATCCAGGGGAAACAGTACACCCTGGACATGTATAACTATTATCTGTTTCTGTTCGTATAACTGGGATCACATTGTGAAATTTAGAATGATCCGAAAGAAAATTCGAAAGTGCAATTTACATTAAAATTTTTCCAATATCGATATTACTTGCTAATTGCATTAAAATTAGCTAACTACAGAGCACAAGAAATATAGTAAGACTAAAATTCTCTTATTGTGGGTGTCGAGTTTAGTACTGCATGCGAATAAAATTTTTGAACTAGTCTAGTTGAGTCTAGTTGAACCTTGCTAATAGCCAAATGATAAAAAACTTGCTGATAGTTTAGTTTCATTTAGGTTCGAACATAGATGAATGGGATGACTGCATCACAGGTATTTTGTGCAATTGTGCATCACAGGTATTTTGTGCAATATATTTTCTAAGTCAATTTCCCTTAGAAAGCCCTTCATGATGGCAGCCCTGATATGTTTGCAACAAGTAGCTCGCTTATGTTCTGCAATATCTAAATAGTATAAACTATTTTTTATTGAAAATGAATAAATTAGGCGTTAAGTTTTGTAAAAAAAAAAGTATCTTGTTGAATTTTAGTTTCTTACAGCAAAGAAGGGAAAAAAAAGATTATATATTTATTTCTAACTGAGCCAGCCAGCCATGCGAACAAAACTTTGCTTATTTTAGTTGAAGTAGAAATATATTGTGCATTTTGGTTAATAAAAAGGTTTTACACTTCAGTTTTGCCTTAAAATGTCTGTTTTGAATTTTGTTTTACGGAAATTAAAATCTTTAAATTTTTGTTGCAAAGCCTAGATAGGGAAAACATTCTTTGTATAAAAAAATAGAAGTCACACATGTACGTAATAATAAATAAATATGAGCCTACTTGAAGCAAACCTGTTGCCAAGACTTTCTTAAATATTCTGATAGATTGTGATCATATTATCTCGGGTATTCGTTGAAATTAGTTGAATTTTTGTTTCAAAGCTTTCTTCTACTTCATTCTTTATATAACTTCTAATATTCACACTTTGAGCATGTATATTAACACATAAATATTCTTGAGAAAAACCTAATTGAAGGAAAATGAATCTAATCATGACCAGTTATACAATTTTATTTTAAAATTCGTTATCATTTGCATTTTTTTTAGCGCAAACAGAATTTTTTTCTTTTCATATTTCAAAATTTTCCTTATTTACACCCTTAAAAATAATTGCATATTATTATACTGAAAAATGAAATTTAAGAATGTATAGAGTTCTGGGAAATCTTAATTCATTATACCGAAAACCAAATTATAAATATAAATATTTATAAAACTTTATTTTTCTGTATTAGGTAACTACACTGAAAGTAATACTGATAGAAAATGTTTAGTAAAACTATACATTACCTCTATTTAACTATAATATTTTGAAAAAAATATTTTCAATTTTCCGACTGGACATACAGAACTTATATTAAATAAAACGCATCAAGAGCGTTGGCCTATTAGCGAATGAGCAATAAAGTCTCTGAACACTGATAATTCAACTGAGGATTCGAGTTTCGGCAAACAAGTTCACTGCATAGGCGTTTTCTTTGTTTCCCCCACGTGCAACATGTATATGAGACAGTTTCCCTCAGAAATTCCTCCACGAAGACATCCTTACCCTTAGGCATATAACCTTCGAGTGTTTTGCCATAGTCAAATTAAATAAAATTAAAAAATACGTAAGCATCATGTGCATTAGACTAGTGTCTCTGTTTAATTCTTTCTATATATATAAAAAGAGAAAGAATTAAATCTATAGAGATTAATGAAACCATAAGAATCAATCTGTCAAAATCCGATGCCTTTTTTCATTAATGATCTTATAATTTTTCAACACAGGAATTTCTGAAATCACCTGTTTATTTGCTCTTAGCCCTCCCTGAAAAAAATAAGTAGTGTAATAGTAAAATATACTGATATTATCTTAGATTTTAAAGAAAACAATATCATTATGACACAATTAATAAACTCACTGCTTTCCTTACTGATGGCTATACACAAAAGCAAAAATTGCATGACAAAAACTTAGACTAAATTAGTCTAAGTATTATTAATTATGATTAGCAAATAAACAAGTTTTTTACTTCATGTTAGTTAATTAGTTCTGTCATTATATGAAATAAATTGTGAAATATTATTTATATTTGTAGCTTCAAATAAACTCTGGATTAAAATACCCAAAGTTGCAAATAGAATAAGAAATTTTCTAAGTTAACAAGATATTTGACTTTTTACTTTATTAAAAAAAGTAAACTATCGAAAATCATATTGTTTTAGTGAGAATATATTCCTCTCATCCTAGCAAGCAATCGTATATAAGAGGCAAATTCAATAATTAAAGTGAAGAGTATTAGAAACACAAAAATATTTTGATATTACTGCCGTATGCACATTGATTTCCATAAAATTAAAATTATATATATATATATATATATATATAATCACGCCCCCACACACATGTATACACACATAAAAATGGAGGTTTATGAATGGGAAAAAAAATTAAACATTTATAATTTTAATAAAAAATTAAACATTCATAATTTTTTTCTTTTAATTTGATGAAATTTTCACCAATACTTTTAAATAAAAAAATAAACAATGCATCATATTAACCAATTTTTGATACAGTTGAAAAGACAGCAAAATACTGTCTCAAGTAATTTTAAAACAGATTTAAATTTCATTTATTCAAATTTTCGATGTTGATAATTAGTACTGAGCTGCGCCCCAAAAAACTGAAAAGTTTCACATTTTAACAGTCAACCAAAAGGGTTTGTTAAGGTTTCTTTACACTTTTGCTGGTAATGGTCTGCTGTGTCATGCACTTTTTTTTTTTTTTTTTGTTGTCTTTTTAGCATTACAACATTACTATTAAGCGTCATTTTCTTAGCACTTAAGCTATATAAAATTCAACAGCAGCATAGGTTAGGTTAGGTTAGGTTATTTAATTACGGCAAAGCCTCGAGGGCTATCTGCCTAAGAGGAGGGATGCCTTCGTGGAGGACTTTCTAAGGGAAACTGGCTCGTATACACGTTACACATGAGGAAAACCACGAAAACACTCATGCAGCCAGCCCGTTCGCGGGATTCGAACCTCGGACCGAACTACCAGTGTTCAGCGACTTTACCGCTCGGCCGCTGGTGGGCCCAACAGCAGCATAGAAGCACAGGTTTAGAATTTCCAATACAATGTTAAGTGTTGGTATACACTTTTTCTATTTTTTTCAGTCTTTTTAAAATTCATCATATCAATGTTCAGTTTTTCTTACTAAGATGGCTTTACAAATTTTTTTTTTGTCCTTTTATTATTAACGTTTCATGTGTTAACATTATTTATTAAATATCGCATTACCTGCATTTATTCCACATAAAATTCAATTCAACAGCAAATTCACAAAATATTTAAAAACAGTATATCTTTAGAATTTCCAGTAGATAGTCTCATGAGCTGGAGGAAAAAATGCTTTATTCCATACAGCGTTGTCAGCGATTACTTTCTACACATTTAGTTTGTGAATAAAAAATTCATTAGTTAACACATGCTAACTACTTTTGGCTGAACCGGGGGGGGATTAAAGGCACTTCAAATAAAGCTATAAAATTTTTATTGCGTTTTTCCACAGCCTGTTTGTGTTCTTACTAAGATGGCTTTACAAATTTTTTTTTGTCCTTTTATTATTAACGTTTCATGTGTTAACATTATTTATTAAATATCGCATTACCTGCATTTATTCCACATAAAATTCAATTCAACAGCAAATTCACAAAATATTTAAAAACAGTATATCTTTAGAATTTCCAGTAGATAGTCTCATGAGCTGGAGAAAAAAATGCTTTATTCCATACAGCGTTGTCAGAGATTGCTTTCTACACATTTAGTTTGTGAATAAAAAATTAATTAGTTAACACATGCTAACTACTTTTGGCTGAACTGGGGGGGGGGTTAAAGGCACTTCAAATAAAGCTATAAAATTTTTATTGCATTTTTCCACAACCTGTTTGTGTGAGCAAGGATTTTCTTCCATGTTATATTTGAAAAATAAATGCAGAACAAAATTAAAAGTGGATCCTAATTTACTGTTAAAACTATGCGAAATATGACCATGACATAAACAAATTGATCTCTCTTAAACAGGCCAAAATTTCCCACTAAATTTTAGAATTAAAGTATTATAACTTTAATTTTGATAAGTAAAATTGTTACCAATTTTTTATCTAAGTTTTTTTTATGTGTGGCTTTTTAATACAAATAGCCAATAACTTGTGCAAATGGCAATATATATATATATATATATATATATATATTAATTAACGTTTCAATTGGGAAACTTTAAAATAATCATTGTAAAATGTAGTGGTGTACTTAAAATTTTCAATTTTTGTTTAGACTGTACACGTCAGTCTAAAGACTTAAGAACCACTCATTTACAGTGATTTGACATAAAATCCCCAGACTAATAGCCCTTGTTTGGTTAAAAACTCTTAAAAAATTTGCAATGAGCCAATATATATATATATCAGGGTCTGCATAATATAAGCATGCAAAAGAGAGTAAAATATCTTACTGTGCGTAACCATTCTATAAGTGATGGAGGAAGGCCTTGAGCAACTAGGCTGTGTGGTGAATCAGTAAAAGCGATGGCAATAACACGCTCTCGAAATGACTCAGGAAATGTTTTACACTGAAAAGTTCACAAAAACATTTTAGTTCTTGACATACATTTTTGTAAGATTTTAAGAACATTTTTTATTTATTTCACACACTAATGCACCATTATATAAAAATTCTAAATTATTATTATTATTTTTTTTTTTGTTACACAGAAAATAAACTGTGGCATGCTTGCCTAAGCATGGAATTTTTTTCCACATATTAGTTGGACGCAGAAGGAAAATCTTTTTTCTTACTTCCCAGATTATATGAAGTTAAAAAAATTAAATATCTATCATTATAATCAATATATCTATCATTATCCACACTGTGGCAATTTCAATAGGTTAATGAAAAAGTTTTGGAAAAACAGATATTAGTGAGCTGAAAAGGTACTCTTTTCTTACATACTAAATATGAGGCTTTGAAGCACACATCCTGGCAAAAATCAAAATCTTAAATAAATAAGAGTCTTTCATTTTCCCGACACTTTTGATCTGAATTATCACCTGTATTTCAAACTGGCCAGTTATCTGTCAAGTCGATACTGTAGAAGTACATGAAGTGTCGAAAAGGAGTTGCAAAGTTTTTTTAGTTACTGCTAGTAGGTAGCTATTTTTGCTACTTGCACGTTAATGAAGAATAAGTCAAAATTCATTAAACAAGAGTGAAGAGCTGCCAATTTTGGTAAAAATTAATTGCTGTTGCAACTGTATGATGTCAATAAGTTTTAAGAACACACATAAGCCACAGTTTTAAGAACACAGACCCCCTCCACAGTTTAGAATTTGTTTATTGGTCTATGGGATCTACCAAACAATGAAGGTGATAGTATTAGTTTCTTACAAGAATAATGGAATGTAATGTAATATATGAGTGTGCCGCATAACATATTGCTGAATAACTGTCAATATTCCAGTTTTCACGAAATGTGGTTTTATTCTAGTCATGTAGTAGTCGGCAACTTGTTTGTATCAAATTACTGCTAGAAGTTAGCCAATTCATCTCCATTAACACATAAGTACCTTATTTTGATAAACAAATTCTTCCCATTTAATTTGTTTTACTTATAATATGTATTTGCATATTTACTTTTTTGCATAAAAATGTCAGAATTTTTTCACTTAGCTAATGTTAACAACATACTAAATTTATGAATGTTCCCCCCTATATTTATTATTCCATTGACCATGGAAGTTGGCTACCACTGAACCACGATTCCTGCCAAAGTTGCCAGTCATTCCTGCATAATTATAAGCAGCACATCTATCTGATACTTTTACAATAAAAGATTCACCAATCACACTTCACAATCTACTGGACAGTCACTGCTGAAGAAGTATTCATCCTGCTTCATTTTTTTGCACCTTTGATTTAATAAGATGCTTTGTTTAGAATGCTATGACTACAAACTTTTCTCAGGTGATTGTTCTAGTCTATTACTTTTTTGCCAGCCATATCCAACTATCCCCCCCCAAATTAACAGATATTAATTCTCTTGGCCAGCTGTACATGAAGCAAAGTGCAATCACAAATGCTGTTCTACAGCCCTCAAACTCAATCCTTTTTCCAAAATACAAGAAAAAATATAGCAACAGCAATTAATTTATGTCTTTGCTCATAAAAAGAAAAGATGGCTTATACACAATCAATCGGAATTACATCAAATGAAAGCGTAGATGTTATGAGGGGTGTTGTGACATCATGCTTATCAAAATAGCACGGAATTGCAGAGCATTTGGTGACAGTTTTGTGGTCAAAGGGATAATATGAAATAACCTCTTTTCATTTTACGTACAACAAACATAAAGAACAAAACATTTAAAATTTTATATGTTTACCATATTTACAGCAACAATTCCACCATAACTATGAGCAACAATAGCTATATGTTTAGCGGCTGCTTTTGTAAGGATTAAATTTCTCCAGACATAATTCCCATGATTCTCAGGACTCTCATTACCCTGAAAAAATTACAACATATTAATGGCAATGCTCTGGAGAAAATAAGAACGAAATCTATAAAAGTGTTTGTAAATGCATTGAAAAATACTAATTTTAATTACTTTATGCAACAGCTGAATTAAAATATAATCATACTTCTACATACTAAAAAACTTCTACAGCTTTAGTTTTAAATACATATGCAACTCAGATTTAGAAAAGACTTTTATATACTTTGGGTTTAGCAACTGTAAAAAATTAAAATCTTTATGATCATACATTAATTATTGCATAAATAAATAACATTTCAATATAAAAACAATTATGCCCTTTTGTGCAAACTGAATAGGTTAGAATACACAATTATGTGAATTCAGGCATCAGTAAGCCATACAAAATTTATCAGAAATACATTAAATCATTTACATAGTAACACATAAAAATAGATGAAAAATTTGAGCATATTAATGCAAGCCAGAATATCAATCATTCTATCAACATACCCTGATTTTTATAATATTCCTAGAATATTCTCTGCCATTATCATTAGTATTGAGAACAATTACACCATATCCTAGTCCTTTAGCACGTTTTATAAATGGCAGCTGTGTGCCACTGTTTAAGGAATCATTAATAATTAACCTGAAAAAGAAAAAAGAAACATTGAAATAAAAATATTTGCATATTATTTTACATACAGAGAGATCTAGAAAATAATTTAACAAATAAATTATGCCCTTTTGTGTGACATCATGCTTATCAAAATAAAACATATATTAATAATTAAAAAATATATTAATAATTCATATAAAGTAATGTTATCTATTTTTTCCCATAATCAATGCATATTCTATACCTGAAAAAGCTTTGAAATATAACACCTAAACTATAAAAATTATAAAATTATAAAGTTTGAACAGAATAAATACTCTAATGACTGCTTATCACCTAGCAGGGTTTGCACATACTTCTGCACATGGAAATTAAGTACTTTTAAGGGCCATCAATGAAAAAAATTCAGGACCTATCAAGCAAACAGGAAATGAATAAGCTAAAGCAATTATCTACAAATGAATTTTAATTTTGTAACTTATAATTAAATAAATCTGTAAATAAGATGTATAATTATTAAACACAATCTAATATTTAACTCAATTATAAAAGATTCAAAAATTAAATTAAATTCATCAATTCTTTTAAGTATTAGCATTAAATTATAAAATTTCTTAATACATTTATATTTTACAAACAGCTTTATATTGATTCTTTCTTTTTTATGTTATTTCTTCACGTACTAGCTCAGTCCACAGGTACACACAAATTTTTATGTCATGTGGCACATGTTAAATTGTGCAGTAAAATAATAATCAACATGAGTCATAACAGAAGCCTGGTTCTTGCCACCACAGCTGCTTGCTTACAGACAGAGAGCCATTGATCAGGACAGATGTCAACAGCTGTTATTGGTATGCCTCATAAGTGCTGAAAATTAGCTGTACATTGTTTGATCCAGATCCTTTAATTATTTAAAGACCCTTAAACCTTAAGTACTTAGATCCTTAAAGTCCTTTGCCTTAAAAGTACTTAAAGGACTTTTAAGGCCCATTCCCACTGGGGTTTATCTGAGCTAACGGAGTCAGTTCCATGTGTCGATTAGCTCCGCTGTGCCTGCAGTTCAGATTTTTCAACTTCCACCCTATGGGAAAAAACTGGTTTTGGAGATGGGTCGGCTATGTCAATTGTGTTCGTTAGCTCAGATAAACCCCAGTGGGAACGCAGCTTTTAAGGATCATATGAACCCTGCCTATCGATCAAAATGGGAAGTCAATAAATAATAATAAATAAATATGCTAAAAACTAATAACCTCTACAAAAACATTACCATGTAGTTCCCTCGGGGAGTTGGGGCTGTAACCACTACAGTGGTGGATTGGGAATTAAGATCGGAAGGTCTACAAAAGTGGTGGATCAGGGAATGCCACTATTGGATTTCCAATGGGTGGTTGAGGGGAAATAAAATACTCTCCACGTACCAACAGGCAGAAGTCCAACCTCTTCGGCTCTGGCAAACTTCCTTTCCCATGGATACAAGTGGTTCCTCCGAATCAGACCTTGACAAGGGCGGTGCTGACATCTATTTCATTCATGCTAACGGTGAATCTGAATCCCATAAAATATGTGTTGGTAAAATTGTCTCAAATTATACCTGTGAGCTCATGGTAATCAAAAAGGCTTTAGCTATCCATCTTTTCAAGCCAATCCAGAACTCCAGTGGCCTCTTGTTAATTCTCTGATTCTAAATCTGCGCTCCAAGCAATTCTAAGGGGCAACTCCCAACTTACCCAGGACATTGTCATGCTCATAAACAAAACTACTGCAGCCCAAAGGATCTGCACACTACAGTGGACACCAGTGCATGTCGATATTTACGGAAAAAAGCAGGCTGATGGCCTCGCCAAAGACGCCTAAAATAGTTCTCAACTTTCCAACAGCTTAACCCTTACCGATGCTGATGCAATAGCCAGCCGAAGAACTCTGAATCAATCAAGAACTCCATTCCTGCTCTAAATTGTAACCATGTCATTTCCACTACCATAGCCAGACTGAGGACAAAACACTTTAAAGGAATGAAAATATTCCCTGATGGCCAGCGAAATTATAATAGCTGTCCTCACTGTACTGATATCCAACTTTCTTCAGGCCATCTCTTCGGCTGTCCTGCTATTTTGTCCAGGCTCCTTAGTATATCTATAGCTCCCTCGCATGAACTCCTCTATTCTTTGAAGGTTATTGATGTTGCTGCGGCTGTTTTGGATACTTTTGGTCCTATTTGACTCCTCTGTACTGCCTCTTCGGACAAGACAACAACAAGAACCATATAGTTAGGGATTAAAAATACAATTTTGCAAACAATATTTTATTACATAAATTAAAATGTTACAGTAACACAGAAATGCATACTTATTCAAATAAATTTCATTTATTTTTTGAGATATTTTGCACTTCCAAGACCATTAAATATACAGTCAAAAGTCTTTAATCCGGACTCGTCGGGACATCGGCGATTCCGGATTATCGATTTTTCCAGATTATAGATCATCAGTTTAAATCTGGTAACATGGCATGCAGAAGACAGAGTACATTGAGATGAAATACTACATTTAGTAATGAACTATAAGTCGAATAAAATAAAAACATCTGCCCTGAAGTTAAGAATAGTGCTGACAGATCAACTTCCAGTTCATTGCGTGCCACGACGTTCCCCTCCCCCGCAGAGCAGCGTGAAATTGATAAACAGATTTCAGAATGGTCAGAGAAACAAAGGATATGCCTTTACCAATTTTTGTAGCAATTCCACTTTTTGTTTGATGTACATCGAAACATTCTTTCGCTTTGTAGATCTTTGGCAGTATCCAGCATCGAAAATTCTATTTGACATAATCGAAAGTTCAAGCTTACTTTTATAAAATTGCTCTAACAGTGTGCAAAAAATAATAAGCCAGATCCAATTCGAAGATTAAGGAACAACGCAATCTGCAACATTAACTGAAATAGATAATTAGATAATTTTAGCTTAGCTTATACCGTCCGTCATACATTTAATGCGCATGCGTAAAGGTATTACGCACATGCGTCAACGCATATGCACATGCGTGAACGCATTATGCGTTGACGCATGCGCAGAAAGTTTGTAGCTTTGAGGTCCGGATTATGGGCATCCGGATTAACGACTTTCGACTGTATATACTGTCTAACCACACTAGCAAGAGCAGTTTGGCTGAGAGCCAAGATGGGTCAGTTTAACCCTTTGCGCTCGAGGCGCTTTTCTCTCGGGTGAACCAGCAACTCGAGAGTAGACACTCCTGCTTATATCATGAGTTCCTTATTCTTAACTTAAAATAATTTTAGACACAATAAAACACTTTAAACTCGTATATTTTAACATTATACATATTTTTTTAACTTTTATGAAACATATGTATTAAACATTACGTTCTAAAATTTTGCTTTGTATGATATTTTAACAAAACAATCTCTAATATGTATCCTTGGTTAGTCGAGGCATGTGTCACAGTAGTATACAGTTTGTCGCCTTTGGGAACAAACCTTGCAATCTTTCTTTTTGCCCCATCAAAATAATATGCAGCTTTCCATTTAGTCGGATTGCTTCAGAAATGCTGTGTGAAGCTGTGCTGAGTTGTTTTTGTCGAAAGTCTCCTCTCAGTTGATACACTAAAGTTTTCAAATATTGTAAGTAACTAAGCGGCCGTTCATTTCTCTGCTTCTTTACTGATTTATAAAGAATGTATGAATTGATGGAGCAGATTTCCAAACCCCCAAAAAATAGTTTTCGCCACCATTTTCGGATTTTCTTAAAAAAACAATATGTCAGCTGGATCAACACTGCTCATAAATTCAATGTAATTTACAATAACATTGGGCTTTTTTATAACGACTTCAATACCGCCTCATAGAGTTCTTCTTACAGGAGTTATTCTGCATTATTCCATGTAGTAAATGCTGTCACAATCCTCTTGTCCTTCCACGCAAGAACCAAAATACTACCTTTACGATATGCACATGTGGTTGGATTCTCAAATTTTGGCTTTCGTATTTCACATGGCAGGTGCTTTCTATTTGTCATGATCGTCCCAGTTAAGTGGCACTTTTGTTTGCATAACTCTTCCGCCAATATGTAACTCGTATAATAATGGTCCGTGAACATGTGGTGTCCCTGAACACCGGGAATTTTATTCTGTATCATTTTGTATAGATGTAGCGGTATTCTGGTTGATACCGGCAGATCGGGTCTTATCAAAGTCTCTGTTGTTAGAGATCCATAATATGGCAGAATAGCACAATTGAAGCCAGTATTTGAATCTGCGAGCGCATAAACCCCATTTTGCAGGTTTCATTGGATTGTACGTAATGAATGATATGCGGCCTTTGAATTTGATAGTTGACTCATCCACACAAATATGCTCTCCGGGTACAAAATAATTAAAGAACCTTTCATTTATATACTCGAGGAAACCAGATACTAACTGCAAACGGGTTCTAGGGTTTGTGTTTTCTGAGGGTATTGTCTTGAGGGTGAAGTCTCCAAAAATATTTGACAAAATCGGTCTCTCGTAAACGTATCTGAGTAAAACGGAATATAACTAGTATCATTTCTCGACCAGTATTCTTGTATGTTTGGCATTGGCATTGTCCCCATATTTACGATTGCCCCAATAAACGCCCAAAATTCAGTAACTATTACATCGTACCATGATCGCCATGTAGAACGGGATGATAAGGTGTTCCTTTCCACCTTCCTTGCAGCGTTATTATTAGTTTCCTGCACTATGTCAGTAACTAATTCCTCGGTGAAAAATAATTTGAAAAAATCTTTTGGTTCTTTTATGTGTGCAAAAACGTGTGGTCGTACTTGTCTTTCACCGGATACAAACGTTATTCTTCTGGGGATTTCTTCGGATTCTAGACACACTGTCCACTCTGAAGGTTCAGTCTCTTCTGTACAATCACTTTGGCTTTTAGATTCACTATCAATTATTCGGATTTTTCGTCTTCTTGCTCCTCTAACGTCGTCACTATCTTCATCACTTCCGTCTTCGTTCTCATGGGCAAGCTGTCTATGTGGTGACGTAATTTCGTTCGTTATTGCCGAAAAATTAAACTCATCTTCGTTAGAAGTAACTTCTTCGTCGTGTTCCATACTTATTGGGCTCAGTAACTTTGAAAGATATACTGCGATCGGCAAGAAGGTTGAGTTCGAACTGATGTTGAAGACACAGTCCTACCCACGGTCGCAAGTATTTTTGAGATAAGACACCCTTATAGCTATTCAGACACCTCGTAATATGATCTACAAAAGGCCAAGTAGATCTCTCAAGCGATATTCCTTAGGTCAAACACAAATAAACACATCGATTCGAATGGTGCCTCTCAGGCACCGCTCGAGTTATCGCATCACATGCAGTGGTGCCTGAGAGGCACCACTCGAGTGCAAAGGGTTAATTGAAGGTGTGTGGGTGAAAAGTGTGGGTATTTTTCCCTCTCAGAGGTCTTAGCAGTTGTAACAGCTTTAATATCGTTATTAATCTCTCATGCATTTGAAATAGATGAATAATAATGTACAGGTTACTGGCAATATTGAAATGCAGGCTCGAGAGCCGCATGCTTTTTCTCGCACGAAGCACGTACTCATTTTTTTAAAATAAGTTTTTATACCTTTTCTTCTCTTGTTTGCATGTCGCCATTTTTTTTAGTGTAAAATAAAAGTTATTGCCATCATTGGAGTTTACTTCAAATTGTTTAAGAAGTATCACAGGGTGTGGGTGAAAAGCATGGGTATTTTTTCCTCTCAGAGGTCTGGGGTCATTTAGTGCTTTATCTTACAATCATTGAGCATGCTGTTACTGACCTTTTACTTTTAAATCTTCATTTTTACGATGAGTTCTAGTGTCCAGAAAGCTCTAGAAATTCGATTCGACAATTCGGATTCTGAATTCTCTACGAGTTCTGAGGATCCTTAATGCGGTGTCACCAAAATAAATGTAAAGGGGGGGGGAAGGTATGCCATGTCTAATTATAACTAAAATAATTTTTATGCAACCTCTTCTCACTAAATTGCTTTATTTTATTTATAGATCATTTGATTATATTAATAAATGTAATTTATTAAAGAATATTTAACAGATAAAAGTTTTTCATTCAATGTTTGAAAATATTAAAAATTAACTATGATGCATTATCTAAATTATTATTAATTTAATTGTTATCTATTAAATTATTAAATTAATATTATCTATTAAAATATTTATAAACTGATGATGAATTGTATTAAGACAGATAGTTTACTATTACAGTTCTTTTAATGGTTTTTATTTGAAATGTCATGATCTGATGTTTCTATGCATTTTAATTTAATTCTATAATTTTAAAATTTCACAGTACATCAGCTTAAAAATGTATAAAGTGCAGAAAAAAATTTCCTGTTGCGCAGCACTTGAAAGATAGAGCGTGAAATGGAAGAACCATTTAAATCTAACCGGGCTACTGCACTCACCCTCTACATCACTGATAGATATGCCCACTTCGGCCCCAAACTGGATGTTTACATAAACCTGGAATATATGGTCGGACAGTAAAGACATAAAGTAAGAAATTTAAAACCAATTTTACACAAAGCCCAAAAATTGAAATTCATAATTAATCAATTTAAAAAAATCCAATAAATGTATAAAAGAATTTAATAAATGTTAAAATTAAAATACTTCAAACAAATGTTTCTCCTCCTGACAAAGTGGTATTGAAGCTGACTGATTTCCTCTTCTTTTATATTTTTTATTGTTCATTAATTTTTTGAATTAGGGTTTTATTTGTTTGAAGTATTTTAGTTTCAACATTTATTGAATTCTTTTATACATTTATAGGATTTATAGAAATTTACTACTTATGAATTTCAATTTTTGGTCTTTGTATAAAACTGATTCTAAATTTCTTATTCTAAGTCTTTACTAATAATTTTTCAGCATCTTAATGCATGAAAATACTAGGAACGATTATATTATGTTATTTTTTTAAATTTATATATATATTAAAAAATAAACAAACAAAAAGCAGTTTTTTAAACTTAAGAATAAATCAGTCTTCAGTGATTTTTAAAATTCTAGATATTTCAAGAGATCTGAAATTGTATTCCCTTTTCTAAGAAGCAGTATTCTACCCTATTTCAGAAGCCTTAAATACAAATGATCACTTGTTTACATTCATTAAACAAAATTAAATGGAAAAGGGAAAATATGAAACTAAAGTGATCAACTTTTAAATAATTCAATCAAAATTAAAAGAATTAAAAACAGATTCTGGATGAATGTAGGAAGATCCAAAGAAATTTAACTTGTTAACTATAGAGATTAAGAAAGTAAATACAAGACAGAAGAACTGAAAAAAATAATCAAAAGCTTAAGAGATTTATTAATTCTTCTTTTTCTGATATAAGACTCGTACATTTTAATGCAAAATTACAAAGTGGTCTTAGTTTGATCAATTTCAGTTAAAATACACACAAAAGACATGCAAAATTTTCCCAACAATTAAACTCTTATGAAGTATTTAAAAATCATTAAATCACAACTATTATTAAAAAAAAAAAAAGAAAGAATAACTCACTGAACTCTTGAATGGTTCAGTGAGTTCTGATGACATTTTTTGAGTTTTATAAATAACCATCGAGAAAAAGTTTATCAACAGAACAAATAGCTTTTAAAAAGTTAAGAGAGGTAACGAAAATATAAATATAACAGCAAAGTACACAAAAAACAGTTTCAGAACTGCTGTATATTAGAAATCCCTTTTTCAGCTAACTTCCTATTTCTGCCTAATCTCTGCCATTCTTTCTATGTTTATGCTTGTTTTTCATATATTTTACATTACGTGCTCAAACCTATTTTGGTTATATTCATAACTGATCATTTGCTTTTATTTATCAATTTAATTTAATGAGAACTTAAAAAGGGTAAAATTTGCTTTCCCTTCAGTCAGAATGAATACTTAACACGGTTGGTTTAAATAAAGCGACCAATGTAGAGCCCATTCTGGTTGACGTGCTATATATCATCATCGAAAAAAGAAAACTGCAACGAAAAAATAATAGTCAAATTTCAACTAAATAATAAAGCACTTTTATTATTTAGTTGAAATTTATGTAGAAAAGATGCTAGGCAATTTAGGAACTTTATAAAATGACAGTAGTCAATGCCATAAAATCATTCATCACCATGCCTTTAGAAATGACACATTGAGATTTACTGGTGATGCTGTTTTAACAGAACTGCAATAATAAGTGTTACGAAATGTACAGGAGCGGTAAGATGGCCTGCCAGCAAAGCAGTTTTAGGGTTGCCATAAAATGCATGGGTAGGCAGGGTTGCCACATTTGGCGACAAAATTGGCGATATGCCATGGATGGATGGAGAACCTACTGGAACGAATTCTCGCCGGTTTAGCCCAAAATGTTCTCGAACACCAGCCAAAAGCTATATAAACCTTGCTGGTCCACAGTCAGTCAGTGTGTCTCGTCGAGAGAGCGCGTGTGTGCCTCGTCTAGAGTGTGAGTTAGTGTGTCTTGAGTTAGTCCCTGCAGAGTCGATCGACTTGACAGCCGGGCAGCGAGTGCCGAGTGGGTCGTCGAGTGCACTGAAGGAGTCTCTTAGTGTATCGCGGTTAGTGCATCATTGAGAGAGCGGGTTGAGCTCTGGGAATGAACTGACGAGTCGGGAGCTGTGCTCTGTGTGTCGAGTGCATCGCAAGTTGTGAATCAAATACTATCAGAACACATATTTTTAAATCTTATTCTAAAATAATACAATATGCTAAACTTTAGAACCAATATCTTTGAACATATTTAAAAATTACTATACCTCCTAGACCACTGTCCAGCTCGAACTACACCACTTCCATGTATTAAAATAACAAGTTTATCATTTGTAAAGGCATCATCACTATGAAAAATGAATGTAGTTGGCTCCCTATCTTCATTAGCATCTATCTAATTAAATAATAAATCATAGTAAATTAATATTATTTATTACACACATATTCAAACATTTCAAACATTTAAGCTATTTTTACAGAAAGAGTCTTAGAAATACTCATGGAGTTTTTGTTTTTAAATTTATTTAAGAAAAGATTATGGCAAAAATAAAATCACATTAATTTTTTTATGACACACATTAAATAACTAAAATATTTCATTTAATTTATATTTATTGCTAACTACATTAGATAATGAGCTATTCAATTAATTCTCCTAAAGAGTTAATGAAAATGTGTTCAGAACTCTTTAAGAAAATCTCAGTAGCACATCTATTTTGGATGGTGAACAATACCAATATTGTGCTAGGTGGATTTTATGGAGTTCTCTGATGACTTTTTAAGAGAAAACAGATTGGTGTATACATGGGGTGAATAACAGAACAAAGAAGTATGATTTCTCTAAAAAGGCAAGTGTTTTATTATTAATGCTTCTTGGTTTTTCATTCATATGAGTGAGACACAAATTCACAACATTTCGGTTGAAGTTGCAAATAATTAATCAGAAAAGTAACGATTTTTCCCTCTAACAGTTTTTAATAACTCAAATTAATCAAATTAATTTCAAAAAGCACTCAAAATAAATTCTCCTGTTCAATACTATGTTACAAATATGAATAACAAAAATAATTTAACAAATCTTTTCTGAAACTAAAAATAAGAAAACTGCAGATTGACTATACTTATAATTTTATCCAATTCTATACCACTATATTCAGTGTCTATGTTCTTTATTAAGTGTTGGGCAATTTTCTCAAAGTCTGAATCAAATATATGTGAATTATTGAACTAATCATGTTTTCCAAATAAAATTTCAGAGCACTTTTACTAACATTAAGTCTGTAAGATCCTGAAATCTACATAAATTAAACTGCAGTTGTTGGCTATCTTATAATATTTGGTACGTTACCAGTCGGCAGATGTTAATATTCTTCCAGTTAATGAAAGTGAATTAAAGAACAATTTTTACCAGCAGTGACAATTAACAGAAGGTAAAGCAGAGTTTGACGTATTCTGTATTTTGTTGGAGATTAGGCTACAGAGAGAAAAATCTAAATTAGTTGTTCACACATTAAGCACACTTGAAAATGTTAAGTACAGTTGTAGCACTTGTTCTGTTATGCTGGGGTAAACTCTCAGATATTTTACCCAAAATAATGGCTTATCCATCTTCCCATAGCCATATTTGGCTGCAGAATCATTTTTAATTTCCAGAGCTTGCTCTTGTGGTGTTTCTGGTACCACATCTATGTCAACGTGAAAAGGATCCGCCATCATTCTATAAATATTAACACATGAGTTAGGGAAGTCACATTTGAATTCATCAGTGAGGTGCTGCAAATAATCTGATATTTTATTCTTAGTATCAGTATCCTTAACCTCCTTAAAGCACCCTTTTTTCAGGATTCGAAATAATTCAGGAAAGCAGGAATAATTGCATGGCATCCTGATGATAAATTATGTTTGAACCTTCACCTTGTAATTTCAAGTTCAATGGTTCAACAAATGAATATAGGACAGATAAACCAATACAACTTGAACACTTGGCTTTCAGAATTCTACATATAATTCAGTTTGAATTAGAATTTCCAAAAACTGAATCCCTTCATCTCAAAGTTCAAATAATCTTCCTAACATATTTCCTTTCGAGAGCCAGTATACTTCTGTATGAAATAACAGAAGGGTTATAAAAAGTCGTTCTGTTCCCAAATTTTTTATATTCTGTTCCCAAATCTTCACACAGGATTATAAAAACTTGAGTATTTAAAGCACTCTTTTTAATATGATCGACAATTTTGATGCATAATTCTAAGAGATCGCTGCATTTGTTTGGCAGTGTCTTAGTTGCCAAGGCTTGATAACGGATAATATAATGAGTAGCTGTAGCATTGGTATATTTTATATGACCGTCTATGTGAATCCTGAGCAAGATCTAATTAATGGAGCATCATCTGTGCATATGCCTATCAGCTTTTGCCATGACAGTACATATTTGCAAACAAATCCAGAGATTGCTGTCATTATTTGAATTGCTTTTGAAGTAGTCAACCCTGCAGAAAACAGCATCTTGCCTTTGTTTCATTTTGTATGAATTGAACAAAAACTAACTGTTGACAACATTTTGCAACATCTGTACTCTCATCCAACAGTATTGTGAAAAAATTTGATTAGTTCATGGCCTGCACTAACTAATTTTTTATGTCTTTAGCCATATCATCAATGTGATTTTTTTCACAGTGTTCTCAGAAAGCAGTATTTGTGAAAACTTTTGTTTACTTTCTAGTCCAAGAACAATATCAGCTGCTTTCAATAGACAAGATTTGACAAGTCATTCTCCAATAATATGACTTTTCTTGGTCTTTGCAAGGAATGGGGTTAACTCATACAAAGCTTCGAATGCTTATTCAGATGACTCAGCAAAAGATCCAGTATTATCCAATTTCAGATGCTTCAAATTTGCACATTTTGCAGCAAAAAACTTCCTTCGGCTTGTTTTGTGTCGCTCTCGACCAGGTCATCTCATAGCATCATTGCTCAATACTCCGTAACAAATAATACATTGTGGCTGGTCGACACTTTTTTGTATAGCAACAAAACTTTATTTAATATAATCATAATTGTATTTGCGTTTTTTCACCAAACTCATTACGAAGGAAAAAGTAACTTAACAAGGCCAACCACTAATTTTTGCATAAAAAAAACACATAATTTGTGTAATAAGAACTCATACAGAACAGTATCACAGAATTTTGAACTTTTGACAAATGTGTCCCTCGAAACCGGCTGGACTACTGTTTCATGCATGCAGAAAAAAGTATGAAGGCTGGCTGGATAGGCCTGTAAAGTAAACTTAGAGTATACTTTTCCCTCTGTGGCCTGATATAGCCACTCCTGCATTGGCAAAGCTCAATATACACTTTCTTTGGCTCAACTAAGACACAAGCACAGTGTGGCGGATGTGGGTCGTGCACAAAAATACTGCTCGCATGGCCCATGCACCCTTCAGATGTCGTTTTGCACCCTCTTCCACTTCGCAAATAAGCATATTAGACAGAGATGCTCATTTTTTTCGCCTTCCTTTGTAGCTTGGGACAACCAATAAATGATGGTCATCTTATGACATGTAGTCAGTTGTTTATACTACATATATAAGACGTAACTGCCCACTGCCTAACATTTGAAAGTACGAGGCATATTCGGAAACTAAGTACCGTTTGAAAAAAAAAAAAAATAGTAAAACAATTTTTTCGAATCCAATTTTATTTTTACATGAAAATACATGTCTTAAACTATTTTTCAACATAGTTTCCGCCAATGATCAAACACTTGTCATAGCGGGTGACCAGTTTTTGTATACCATCGTCAAAGAAACTTCCCGCCAGTTTCGATAACCATGACTCCACAGCATTTTTCATGTCATCGTCAGATCCAAAGCGCTTGCCACCAAGCTCGCACTTCATGTGCAGGAACAAGTGATAGTCGGGCGGCGCCAAGTCTGGGCTGTACGGCGGGTGATCGAACTGCTCCCAATGAAACTGTCGAATTAACGATTGAGTGACACCAGCAGTATGGGCCCGAGCATTGTCATGGAACAACACAATTCCTTTACTGAGCATTCCTCTTCATTTGTTTTGAATGGCAGGCCTTAGTTTTGTTAAAGTCTCACATTATCGTGCCGCATTAATGGTTTCACCTCCGGGAAGAAATTCAGTAAGCAAAACGCCTTTCCTATCCCAGAAGACAGTGCAGATGATTTTTTGTGATGACATTGTCACTTTGAACTTTTGTTTTTTCGGAGAATGAGTGTGTCTCCACTCCATCGATTGTTGTTCGATTCTGGTGCGAAATGACATACTCAAGTTTCATCACCTGTCACAATTTGGTTTAAAAAGTTTTCTCCCTCATCACTGTACCGCGTGAGAAATGTCAGGGCACTACCAAGTCGCTTTGTTTTGTGAACATCAGTGAGCATTTTTGGAACCCATCGGGAACACAGTTGCGATAATTCAAGCGGTCAGACACAATTTCGAACGAAACAGTGCGTGAAATTTGTGGAAATGCCTCTGAAAGAGTTGTCATTGTGAAGCGTCTGTTCTCATGAATTGCTTCATCAACTTTCCTTACCAAATCATCCGTGACAACAGAAGGCCGACCAATCCGAGCCTCGGCGTGGACATTTGTTCGACCTGCATTAAACATTCTTACCCACTTTCTCACCATTCCATCACTTATCGCGTATTCACCGTAAACTTCTGTCACTTGACGATAAATTTCGGCCGGTTTAACATTCCTCGCGTTCAAAAATTTAATCACGGCACGAATCTCACAGTCAGCGGGAGAACTAATTGTCTTAAACATTTTGAATGTGCACAGCAAACTGAAAACACAACATAGAGCAACCAATATGACGACAATTAAAAGTCAGTGAACAAGAAAGACTAGTGTGTATGCGCGGAACGCCTACCACAGCGCTGCGATGGCGCTAGAATGAAATGGCACTTAGTTTCCGAATACGCTATGTAAATAATAGCTAATTAAGTGGCTTTTATAGGATTCAGAAAGATATAAAAAACACCAGGCAGCCAGTTTGCTTTATTAGGAAGACAAAACAAAGTTAAAAAACACAATGACAGTACATTGTTCTTTCTATCTATTTTAAGTAGAAAAGTAAAAAACAAATACTTAACTCTCAGAAAGGTCTAATTTATTGGCATTAGTAAACAGAATTAAATTATTGGATAATAATAACTTCATATTTAGATATACAAAAATTATATCTCTAACTGACATTTTTCTTTTGTTCTTTATTCCTTTTTTATAACAAACAGAATGTGAATAATAAACATTCTGCAAATAATACCATAAGTTTAGAACGCATGAAAATTTTTATTCACAGATTTTATGAAAAACACAGTTAAGTTTCTTAACCCTTCCAACAGCAAAGTTACTTTTCTCCATTTGCTTAAAGTATAAAAAAGAATCTAACCTATAAATAAATATGAAGACTGGAAGGTTCAATTCATATACTACACTGAATTCAAAATCTAATGTGAAGCATTAAGACAATAATTCCTTTAAATATACATCACAGAATTTCCTTCCCAGGTCTGCAAATATTTTACTGGTTATTTGCTTCAGATTAATTTGATATTTTAACACAATATTTCTACTAAGCTTTAAGCATCATCCTACTGAAGAATAAATAGTAGTCTTCATCATTATTATTTCGGTTTCATGATTTTAACATGCCTGCACAAATCTCTTCAAAGTCAACAGTCCACACTGACATGGTTAACATCCAAAGAATTTGGAATTCATAGAAGAAAATCAAGTCGCTACAGTAAATGCAAAGTGTAGTGGATAAGCGTTATCTCAAAGTATTAAGAAATCAAGAGTCAAATAACATGAAAAAATAGCCCTAAATGAATGATCATCAATGTTAGTTAAAGCCTTAAAGTAAAAGTTTTCTAACCAAACCACCACATCACCCAAGTAAAGGATTATAGCATGAAATAAAGCACCAATACCCATATTGATTTCTTTATGTAATAACCTCTTAGCAAGCAGTTGGAAATAAATTTTTAAAGCAGTCTTTTTCTGAAAAATGAATAAATAATTAAAGCAGAATAGTTAAACTGAATTAAAATTCTCAGAATATATTTTTCAATGAAATAAAAGTACCTTGAAATTTCGTATTAATAAAGTAAGAAAGTATTATATCTCAAGAATAATATTAAGATAATTATATTTATTTTCATAAAATAAAGTTTACATATAATTTCTATATCTCTTATTAGACAAATACATCATAAATAATATGTAAATTTACTTGTGTTTCATATAAAGGAAATGCAAATGAAGATACTCACAGGCAAAGTCATCTTATGCAAATTTCCTTCCTCAATCAGCAAATTATACACATAATCAGTAACAAGCTGAAAAAGAATCAAATATTATTTTCTTTAATCTAAATATGAAACTATATTGCCAAAGCATTACAGTTTTGAAATGTCTATTATTTTCTTGAAGTAAAAAATAACACAAAAATATTTTACTGATTCAAACAAGAACTAAAAATAAAAAACTTCCATCTAATTCCATACACTTTCTCTAAACATCACGACAGCATTTTCTGCAAGTGTTCCTAAAGTTAATTAGAAACACATATACTAATGTTTAGCATAAATTCTGCATTCAATATTTCAAAATTTTGAAATTATAAAAATATTTTTTCTCAACACAACAGAGGTATTAAAACTTGATGAGTTATTCTATTGATTAATTTGCATAAACAAGAAATTGATTTAGAATTCCGGGAGCTCAACACGCTCTCTCGACGATGCACTAACCGCAATATACTAACAGACTCCTTGGGTGCAATACGACGACCCACTCAGCTCTCGCTGCCCGGCTGTCAACTTGATCGACTCCGCAGGGATTGATTGACTCGCTAGATGAGACACCAACTCGATACTGACTCTCTCGCACTCTATGGCACACAAACTGACTGTTTACCAGCAGGTATATAGCTTTAGACGTGTTTTTGGAGACATTCTGGGCTAAAAGGTAAAACAGAGAATAACCACCATGTATATAACAAATTTTGTCACAAATCCACCACCAAATGTGGAACCTGCCACCTTGCACGGAACTGCAATTTCTCTTCTTCTATTCGGACGGATTTTGTGTGCATTTGGGTAATAATTGGAGTGGGGGGGGGGGTGGGGGGGGGGGTGGGGCGGGGGTCGGTGGGGGTGGGGTGGGGGGGGGGGGGGGGGTGGGGGGGGGGGGGGGGGGGGGGGGGGGGGGGGGGGGTTGGGGGGGGGTGGGGGGGGGGGGGGGGGGGGGGTGGGGGGGGGGGGGGGGGGGGGGGGGGGGGGGGGGGGGGGGGGGGGGGGGGGGGGGGGGGGGGGGGGGGGGGGGGGGGGGGGGGGGGGGGGGGGGGGGGGGGGGGGGGGGGGGGGGGGGGTGGGGGGGGGGGGGGGGGGGGGGGTGGGGGGGGGGGGGTGGGTGGTGGGGTCGAAGATGACATATCGAACACATTAGGAACAGTGTCATAAACCAGTAGTCAGTGACATTCGTCCCGTTTACATTCGTCGATGAACTACTATAAACACGCTGACACGATCAGCGACACAGCCTTCAGGTTATCAGGCTATCACAGTGGAGATAGCTTCCTGCAAAGCACCAGAGCTTACAGCTCCCGACTCTGCTTGGTCGTTCTCAGAACTCCACGTACTCTTGAGACTCTCCAGGCTGCAACTCGCGATGCACTCGACTCTTCATTTCAGTCGTTCCTGAAGCTCAACACTCTCTCTCGTCAATGCACTAAGAGACTCCTTTGGTGCACTCGACGACACACTCGGCACTAGCTGGCCGGCTGTCAACTCGATCGTCTCCGCACGGACTAATTAGATGATACTCTCGCACTCTAGACGAGACACACTCACTCGCCCTCTCAACGAGGCACTCTCCCGAAGGCTGACTATCAGCTCGCTAGACGAGGCACACACACTAACTGACTGCGGACCAACAGGGTTTATATAGCTTTCGACTTGTGTTTGAGAACATTCTAGGCTAAACCGGTAAGAATTCGTTCCAGAAGGTTCTCCAACCATCCATGGTATATTGCCAATTTTGTCGCCAAATGGGCGATTTCTTGCCAAATGTGGTAACCCTGCCTTCCCTTGCCATTTTTATGGCAACTGTAAAACTGCTTTGCAGGGAAGTTATCTCACCGCGCCTGTACATTTTGTAACAATATGAATATGGGAAGCATTTTTTTTTTTTTAGTTATTAGTTTTAGGTTTATTTTTGCTGATTTGTATTTGATCACATTTATTAACTACTTTATACAGTCTTTCCTTTGCATATCTTGGAGATAAAAAAGTTAATGGTTATATTTTTTACTATGAAACGAGAATAAATTTATACTCGAATTCAGGTAAAATATTGATTATGTTACCTTATGCTTCCTAATTTATCATGACAGGGGCAATTTTCATTGTCTCTCAGATTTAACAGAAATAAATGTGATAATGCTGTTATAATCAGAAACACTCTTTTTTTTTACCCACATATATAGCTTTACTTTTATTTATGTCTGATTGAGTTTTATTTACTTAAAGCCTACTATTATTGCTATATATTTATAATAACCACTTTCATAATTACTCTCACTTACATACTAAAAGATTAAGAAAAAAATGATGAAATCTTAAATAATCATAACTTAGATTTTAAGTTATTTAAAAAACATACTTTAAAGTACTGAAAATAATTAAGGCTATTATTAACTATGCATATTTAGACTACAGAGAAAAAATTGTATGATCTTCTGGTTTTTAGGAAATGATAAAATATTTAAACTTTAGAAAAATACAAGGAATACAAAATTTCAAAAAAGAATAAAAAGAAATTAATTATTAAACTTATTTTTCTGCATAAATCATTATGTAACACAAGGACATAATAATGCCGTTTTTACAACTGTTGCAAAAAGGTCAAATTCTGTGAACATTTAGACGTCGTTAAGACATGATATAATGCTTTCACAACCAAAATACAACCTGAGAAAGATACAATAACAATGTCTATTCAACACAAACCTCATCTGCAAAGATGTAATAAAGATGTCTTTACAACGGTTGCAAAACAGTGGAGTTTTGCAGACATCTGGGCACCTTAAAGACGAAACACTGCAACGACATCTGCCACGAGTTTGCAACGTCGTTACAACGTTACCGTGCTTGTTGGAAAGTAACTTTTATATTTTCATCCATTAAAAAAATCACAAAGCTACGCCCCGATGGTTGCGACAGTACGTACGTACTGAGCTCTTTACATTCCCCCTTTTTTTTAACAAAAGTTTATTCCAATTTATGTATATACAGTCAAAAGTCGTTAATTCGGAATGATCTATAATCCGGACCTCAAAGCTAAAAACTTTCTGCGCATGCGCCGCGTTGACACATGTGCATAGGCGTTTACGCGTGCGCGTAAGACCTCTTACAACTGCGCATTTGCGTGTGCACAAGCGCAGAATACGTTTTCGCGTGCGCGTTTTATGTATAATGGACGGTGTAAGCTAAAATTATCTAATTATCTATTTCAGTTAATGTTGATGATTGCGTTGTTCCTTAATTTTCAAATTGGATCCGGCTTATTATTTTTTGCAGACTGTAAGAGCAATACTATAAAAGTAAACTTGAACTTTCGATTATGTCAAATAGAATTTTGATTCTGGCTCCCAAAGGATCGTACAAAACGAAAGTATGTTTTGATGTCCATCAAACAAAAAGTTGAATTGCTGCAAAAAATGGATAAAGACATGAAGAATGTGACAGAGAGGTTAGTGAAAACGAAAAAATTTCGATTGACAAGTTAGTCGGTATTCTCGGCACAGCAATTAACGGGACTTGAACAGCGGAACTTTGTAAGTAAACAAAAAATTATGTCTGTTTATAGAATTAAAAAGAAAGTATTATCACATAAAACGAAGCAACTTAAACAACTTACATTGAAAGAAATGTTTAATAAAGTAAACAAATAAATATTAAGCTTTTTTTTTTTTTTTTTTTTTGTAAATTTTGATACCCTTTAGATCATAATTGTTCTTTATTTCATAAATTACGGTTTCATATTTTTAATTTTAGAATTTCTGCATGCCATCTTACGCGATTTAAACTGATGATCTATAATCCGGAATTGCCGAAGTCCCGACGAGTCCGGATTAACGACTTTTGACTGTACTTATATTTCGCATATACCGTATTTGACGGCATATAAGACGCACCCTTATTTAGAAGGCCACACGCAAGGAAAAAAATTTTAATAGTCAGCGCGACAGCGCGGTACCACAATAACTTAAAATGTGGTTTCTTTTAGTTCTCACGTTTCGTAAAAGCCAAATAAACAATCATTGAATGCAATTACCAAACATATTTTTACTTCCTTGTACGAAGTAAAAAGGAAGTATTGTAATTGCGAAAAGTTTCAGGCAGCATAGTTCAACGAAAATATCCATTTTGACTGCTATTGAATGCAATTTAAAGATGTTTTTGCGTGATATCTGTGCATAAGGACAGAATAAAAGGTTGATCTTTACATTATGGTAACTGGTAGTTTGGCGACATTTTGGAGGCGATAAAGGTTACTACCTGGGACTTTGGTAATAATGTGAGCAGTACTGAGTTCCGATTACGCATTATTTTGTGTGGGGGAAATGAGAGATCATGGGATATGTCATGTGATATTAATGGACGAATTACGGTTCTTTAATCGGAAAAGGGGGGAAATCGGGAAAAAATCTGGAAATTTTGTATTTGGCTTTATTCTGTGTTGTATGAAATAGTGTTTGTGAATTTTTGGATCCCATGGCCATAAGTAAAGTGAATTCGAAATGGGATTTAGTGGTATTGAAAAGATAGTAAGAAATGTTTTTAAGGTTGTGTGTGAGAGAAAAAATAAACATGGTTTTATTATTTACCTGGTATCTTGCTTTGAAAGATAAGTATGATTTTAAAGATTCTGAAGAGAATGAAGAAAAAAGTGTATCCGCCACGTAATGAAGATTCTGAAGGAGATTAGGTAAGTTAGTATTTTTAATTATTTTTATGCATTGTTGGAAAGTAAGGTGGAAAGGAATTTGGTATTATTGGGAAAATTGTTATTAGCAATGATTAGTTTAAAGTAATTAGGATTGTAAGGTAATTTTATTAATTGAATGTATGTGCTCATGTATATTTTAAGTGGTGTTTTTTGAATTTAATTATATTTTAATGAAATGATAGTTATTTTGTGAATTTTATACTTGTAGGAATTTGGTGTTTGTTTAAGTTGAAATAAATGTGCATGGAAATAATTTAAATATTTGATAATAAATATTTGTAATGCTTCATGTATGAATTCGTTGGTGACGTGTATAATGTAATAGATGATTTAGGGTAAAAGTTTTTGGATATTTATTTATTTTATGTGGAAATGTTCATATTTGTAAAGGGTAAATACTTTTTCGCGATCATGTAATTTCATATATGTTTTTTTACCGGGTTTAAAGATTGAGAAAATTGTCATGTATTTTCGTGAAATTTTTTAATTTATGAGATAAAAGCAGTGTACATGGATATAGTGAAGAGTGGTGCGCAATGCCATTTTGTGCAATTCTGGATGTTTTTTTTAAGTAAAATAAGTCGACGTGTACATGGTTCAGTGATATTTTAATGAAATGGTAGTTATTTTGTGAATTTTATGCTTGTAGGAATTTGGTTTACGTTTAAGTTGAAATAAACGTGCATGGAAATAATTTAAATATTTGATACTAAATATTGTAATGCTTCATGTATGAATTCGTTGGTGACGTGTATAATGTAATAGATGATTAGAGGTAAAAGTTTTTGGATATTTTATTTATTTATATGTGGAAATGTTCATATTGTAAAAGGGTAAATACTTTTTCGCGATCAGGTAATTTCATATATGTTCTTTTTACGGGTTTAAAGATTGAGAAAATTGTCATGTATTTTCGTGAAATTTTTCGAATTTATGAGAAAAAAGCAGTGTACATGGATATAGTGAAGAGTGTGCAAATGCCATTTTGTGCAATTCTGGGATGTTTTTTAAGTAAAAATAAGTCGGCGTGTACATGGTTTATGTGTATGTGTTATTTTGAAAAAACGCGTAAGGTGTATGGTTATTGTGCACTTTTTCCGAATTTTGCAGTGAATATTTGTCATGATTAAGCAATTTTGTTATAAAATTTCTAGCATAAGTGTAATTCGGCTAGTAGATTGTTGGAAGAAGTGTTCAGTAGATAAGAAGAAAAGAAACACGTCTTTACTTCGTGAAGACAAAATGGCGGCGGGGAAAAAAAATAGAGGGTTGCTGTAGGGGAGTTGGTCGCCAAATTTTCGCCAAAAAATCGCCAAGTTACCGTAATGTAAAGATCAACCGAATAAAATACACCTTTCCTCTAAAAAAATTAATTCTGAAGAGAATTTTTCGTGGCGTCTGTACGAACGTGTGTATCTCACATAACTCAAAAACGAGTAGCCTCAGAACGTTTAAATTTTGTATATAGGACGGCTATAACATTAGATGTGCACCTTGATTATGGTTGCAATCGACCGCACCAAACGTATATAAATATTTATATATATATCCATTAGTTACCCGGTCAGTGATCTCAGTTTCTTAACTCTCATATGCTGGTAAATTGTACATTTTTTGCTTTAAAAGATTGAATATGTTGTTTTCTTCGGTTAAGGTTTTTATGCCTTCATAATTCTGGAAGCAATATTTGTACAATTATCACAATTAAAGCCGTTAGGTGCGGTTAAGTTTAAAAACATGGTGGACATATTTGTTTACATTTGAAAAAGCAGAATTGTAGATTTGTTGCAATCTAGAGAGACAAGCTTCGCAACACAAAAATAACGCCTTCATTTTATTGTTGCGAATTAAATCATGCTTAATCCTTTCTGGAATTTTTCGAGAAATAAGTGTTGAAGATTTACTTATTTTTAATAATTAGTAATTTTTAATACAGATATTTGAGCTTTTAGTATTTTGTTTGTCACGAAGTGAAAACTGAATAATTGAATGAGAAATACTAAATCGTCTGTGAAAAACTATTTCTTTTCTGTTTTTGTTTGCTAATTTCTTTCATACATCGTTTTAGCTTTATTATAGTATTTGAATAGAAAGTGTGGCAACGATAATTCTTCAAATGAGATAAATTTTGTGCATTCAGAGGTTCCGTAAACAAATATAGGAATTTAAAGAGTACATTATCTATTGTGGTTTATTCGTGTGACGAAGTAGATTTAATTCATCCAATCAATTTAATGAATTCAGAAAAAATGCGTACAATTTAATATTCCGTACAAGGAAGTCATGTGGTGTACACATCAGATTTTTATTAAGGAAAATTAACAAACGTCAAACTATTTTGAACATGATATGTAAATTTCAATAATGAATAAATGAATGAATGGCAAGCAATCAAACATAATACAAAATAAAGCAGAAACAACAAAAAACACAGATTCGAGGAAAACGTTGCCTTCATGAAATTAGACTTTAATCACTTTCAAAACCATAAAAATCCTTTTCACTATCATCATAATCGAAAACAAGAAACACTCCTAGTTTATACTGAATTGTATAGCTTAATCTCTGGTTTCCTGCAGTCATAGTTTCCAGGGTATTTTTTTAAAACAAATAGATTTAAGCACTGATACCGACAAGTGTGTCGGCTGAGTCAAAATAGTCTATGTAAAGAAGGAAAGGCTCCATAGACGTAATGTGACCGTCGAACCTGGACATCAGCTTCGAGCTTTGGCGCTTTTTGGCGACAGATATTTCACGCATGCACAAAATATTATGGCCAGATGTGGAAACAGTTTTATGTGTGTCTAGATTTATCCGGGCTAAAAATAGCATTCAGTATTGAAAGTTAACCTGTGTCCTTCACGTATAAGACGCAGGTAACTTTTTTGAGACCAAATTTAGGAAAAAAAGTGCGTCTTATATGCCGTCAAATGCGGTAACTGAAATATATAGGAAGGCTTATTTAATTTAATTAAACATTGTTATCAAAATAATACTTAACACTGATATAATGTATATACATTTTCTATAAATCCATTATAATATATGATTCACAAGTTTCAGGAAAAATAAAAATCATAATTTGAAGAAGATGAATAAATTTAAAATTTCTTCAGCAAGGAATTATAAAAAACACAAACAACAGATTTCAGAATTATATAACATGAAAAGTATTTCAAAAGATATGTTAATACATATTAAAAATAAATAAATCTCATATTATTCTACATACTTCTCCAATTGCTTCATAGCGTTTTTGGTTGTAAACATGATCATCTTTTCTTACATCAAATACAAAGGACTCTCCAGTTGTGATATGTTGTAGCTGTCCAACTGGATTATGATGGAAAATAAATAATTATATATATAATACAATTTTTTAAGATAAAAATTATTTCTAATTTATTCTATTCTATTCAAATAAACACTTTTATGTTTTATACATATCATCTCTTTAAACAGATAGTCCTTACATGTTTCATCTTATAAACCAGCCTTTATTATCAAGGAAATATTTAAGTTCCATGCAACTTATTTCTCTGTCAACCAGTAATTTAAAACTTCACACTACTCAGAACAATAAAAATATATTACAATAATTAGCTAATAAGACAATTATTCTATATTTTTCAACTATTAATGCAACCAGCAACTATTAATGCATAATGAATAAAAAACAAAACTTGGTAAGGCCATTTAATGATTATTTTTCACAAACATAATGTGGAATCATATTTATTTCTGTAAACTATTACATAGATTTAATTCTTTTATCATCTAAAAAATTCCCTTTCTAATCTAGCAATTAAATTGGAAGAGTAATTTAAACTTGCAGATAGAATTTACTGCTGTATAAAGTACAAAGTCTTTAATCCGGACGTTCATAATCTGGAACGATCTATAATCCAGATCTCAAAGCTACAAACTTTCTGTGCATGCGTAGTGTTTACGCATGCTCGTTTAATGTATATAACGCACGGTATAAGCTAGGCTAAAATTATCTAATTTCAGTTAATGTTGCGGATTGCGTTGTGTGTTCTTAATCTTTGAATTGGATCGGCTTATTTTTGCAGACTGTTAGAGCAATTTATACAAAGTAGCTTGAAACTTTCGATTATGTCAAAAAGAGTTGATTCTGGGCGCCAAAGGATTTACAAAATGAAAGCTGTTTCGATGTCCATCAAAGAAAGTGGAATTGCTGCAAAAAATGATAAAGGCATGAAGAAAAGGTGACAGAGACGTTAGTGAAACAAAACAAAATTCCGATGAGAAGTCAGTCGGTATTCTCGGCACAGCAATTACGGATTTGAACAGCGTATTTGTAAACTAACAAGAAATTATGTTGTTTATGAATTAAAGAGAAAGTATTAGCACATAAAACAAAGAAAATTAAACAACTTACATGAAAGAATGTTTAATAAAGTAAACAAATAAATATTAAGTTTTTTTTTTTTTTTTTTTTTTTTTTTGTAAATTTTGATACATTTAGATCATAATTGCTCTTATTTCATAAAGTTACGGTTTCATATTTTTAATTTAATAATTTTGCATGCCATCTTACCAGATTTAAATTGATGATCTATAATCCAGAAAAACCCCTAATCCGGAATTGCCGAAGTCCCGACGAGTCCGGATTAAAGACTTTGTACTGTATTATGAAGTATTATCAGGAATAATGGAAGAAATTTAATGGATGACCAACAGTACTAGAAATAAAATGGATAATTTTAAAGGGGAATTTTTTTTTCTCCTCCTTTGACCTTAAAAATAATAATTTGAAGTTAAGTCATTTTTTTTTTCAATTATTCAACTTTTATTTTGCTACAGAGTTTGATAACTTTTTGTATCTAAGTTAAAATAACATACTAATAATGATTATTGAAGGAGTTAAAGTAACAAGAATCAGCATAATATTCATAAATTTGCAGGACTAGTTCCAAAGGTTTAAATGCAGAACCTCTTTCTTCAGATGCAGAAGTGCAAATGATGAAAGAGAAGCCAGTGTTAAGATAAAATAAGGCAATAAGAATGAGCTGAAGGAAGCCAAGCTACTGGGGCCATCTGATGATGAATACACATACATACCTCAGTATGTACTTATATACACCACACACATGAACACATGCATACATACATTTCTGAATCCAGTTTTGATAACAGAAGAGTACCTGAAATTTTATAGCTAATCGATGCAAAGAAAGAAATGACAACAGAATTCTTATACAGTCAAAAGTCGTTAATTTGGACACCCATAATTCGGAATGATCTATAATCCGGACCTCAAAGCTAAAAACTTTCTGCGCATGCGCCGCGTTGGCACATGCGCATAGGCGTTTACGCGTGCGCGTAAGACTTTTTACGACTGCGCATATGAGTGTGCGCAAGCGCAGGATACGTTTTCGCGTGCGCGTTTTATGTATAATGGACGATATAAGCTAAAATTATCTAATTATCTATTTCAGTTAATGTTGATGATTGCGTTGTTCCTTAATTTTCGAATTGGATCCGGCTTATTATTTTATGCAGACTGTAAGAGCGATACTATAAAAGTAAACTTGAACTTTCGATTATGTCAAATAGAATTTCCGATTCTGGAGCTCCCAAAGGATCATACAAAACGAAAGTATGTTTCGATGTTCCTCAAACAAAAAGTAGAATTGCTGCAAAAAATGGATAAAGACATGAAGAATGTGACAGAGAGGTTAGTGAAAACGAAAAAATTTCGATTGACAAGTTAGTCGGTATTCTCGGCACAGCAATTAACGGGACGTGAACAGCGGAACTTTGTAACTGAAGAAGAAATTATGTCTGTTTATAGAATTAAGAGAAAGTATTATCACATAAAATGAAGCAACTTACATTGAAAGAAATGTTAATAAAGTAAACAAATAAATATTAAGCTTTTTTTTTTTTTTTTTTTTTTTTTTTTTTTTTTTTTTTTGTAAATTTTGATACCCTTTAGATCATAATTGTTCTTTATTTCATAAATTACGGTTTCATATTTTTAATTTTAGAATTTCTGCATGCCATCTTTTAGTCATATATTTGTTCCCTAATTCCTTAAAAAAACTGCAAACATAATTAAAAAAAAAAAAAACACGCATTTAAAAGTGGGGTTTTATTTACCCAATAGGGAATGGAATCTAATCTTTCGGACGCATGTGCCCATTAGGACTGAAAGGGTTAATATAAATTTTGTTACTTGAACTATATGCATATAAATGTTTTTGACAAGCTCCTCCAGTATTAGAAGAATAATCCATTTTGAATTCTCAAAAATATGCATGAATATTTTGGTGCTCCTTGAATATCTTTAGTTATACTTTCTTAATGACAAAGGAAAACATCTTCACCTCCTTGTGCATTTACTTCTGTTTACCACACTATTTTCCAGGGTTACACCTGTTTTTATGATGCTTGCATGTTATCGCAAGTCACCAAATTTTCAGAATGTGCCAAATTCTGGCAACCATGCCCATAACAATCCTTCAGTCAAGCAAAGTTGTTGTTTTCGCATGCATTCTTTTTTGTTGTATTCCAACAGCTGTTATAAACAAATTGTGATAATTTATGACTTGAACTTAATCTCAAAATATGCACTTGTGGAATTTGCCATTAATGGAAGAAACTGCAGTAAAATTTCCTCAAGAATACAGAATATCTAGATCGGAGAAGAAAGAGATGTGTTTGGTAGATATCCAATGTTACCGAAGTTTGTGTGATGCCATATCTATGCAATTCTCTGATATTCCTTTAAGTACAAACATATTACTGTGTACTTGGAAAAAGAACAACACAAAAAAAAATTACAGAAAGATTTGGAGGAAAAATGCGTTTTATTTTTTTAAAAAAATATATTTTAAATTACTAATTATGTTTCATTTTCATATGTTGGTAGTATTCGATACTTTACAATATCAATAGTTTAGGAATCTTAAAAAAAAGTCACAAAAACCACTAACTTGCACCAGATACTTTTTTTCCTTTTTCATCCGTAAAAAATTGCCAAATGGTGCCAAGGTGGTTGCATTAATACATAAGTACTTTTTTTACTATAATTCATTTATCATGACTGTTGAACCTATCACTTTCATATTAACATTTTTCTGCATTTTCTCAATTAAGCATTTGATAATGATGACCAGAAGCAAGAATAACAAACATTTTGCCATGGGTAGACATAGAAACTAAATTTGTTTCTTTAATGCTTCCTAAATAAAAACTTGTCAAAATAGTGATATGATCACGTTAAGATTTGACACGAGTTATAGTAAAAAATTTTTCGAAGTCTTGTAAGATTCAATTATAGTTGGTATTTTGAAATTATATCTATGAAAAACTCAGAAAGGGAATTCAAACTGTCACCAAAAATGACAGTTGACTAGCTTAATCATCTATGTGAAACTGTTAGCATTCTACTGGATAAGACAGAAAATCAAAAGACAGGTGAAGAAAATAAAATTATACAAGTTACTGAAATCTCATTTACTAGGGAGGTTATTAGGAGATAATTGGGCTTTAAAGAACCATGGTGGGAGATCATTACCAGAACAAAATTGCCTACAGGATTTGTTGCAAAACAAAAGAATACTTCTTATCAATAGTTAAATATTGGAACTTAAAAATGTTACAGCAATTAATTATAGTCATGTGACAGAGTAAAGAAAATAGAAGTACATACAAATTGTGACAAAACTATTTCTTTGCTCACCAAAAAAAAAAAAAAAAAAAAATATGTAACTGACAATAATTTTAAAATGCTAGATTTTTTTATTAAGTGACACATTTACACATCTTCACATTATTATCATAATTTTGTAGAGCTTCTATTCAGTGTCACCAACATTAAACCCCTTGGAATTAGAAATCAGTTAAAAAAGAACAAAAAAAAAATAAATAAAATAAATAAATAAAATAAAAGGTTCTATAAGTTATTAATAATTAGCAGAGCAATGCATTCAATTAAATACAAAGCTATATATTTAAATTTATAAATTTAAGTTTAAAACAAAATAGATAAATTATCAAAATAAACTACCAAGCAGAGCATAAATTGTACAGAAGCCCACTGAAGCTTGACTCTGGTGTTTCTTACTTTTTGGATAAATCATAAATATAGCCAGAGCCCTAAATAAGAAGGCTCCTGCACTTCTTTAATGTAACAGAAAGCAATTCCAGCAGAAATCTGATTCTCGAAAACTTTATTTTTAATAATAAAATTATATTAATAAAATCTAATTTCTGAATGCATGCTCCTCTTTCCTTGAGAATCCCTCTTGGATGAAGGTCGAGACTTTTAAGGAAAGAAAAGCCCCCCCTCCCACATGCCAAAGGCTTATTTATTTATTACACAGTGTCTTCCTGCAAAAGAGCACCTGCAGACTTCTTGGAACAATGTAACCAAAGATGGGGGATCAGAATTGTCACTTGTCACTCTTTTTTTCAGCTAACTCACGGATTCAGTGAAAATTTGCTTCCCTGTCATATTCTGCTTGACAGCTAAAATTATACCAAGAGGAAATTGTGGTCAGGAAATGTTGGATACTTCTCTTTTTGTTTTTATAACTACAGGTCATCAGTTAAAATTTTCTCTATATTTTCATTTTTGACACTTTAACCATTTTAACATTTTTTATTGATGTGCTGGAAAAAGAACAGTCTATATCTATCATCCCTTGAAGTAGTGCATTATATTCAGAGCTCAAATAAAACCAGACACCAGTTGAGCTATTTTTTATTTTCTGTGTGAAATTGTAATTTTAACCGAAACCCCAAACAAGTCAAGATCCAGTACTTTATTTTATAATTTAATTATTTACCATTTATTAATAACTTAGATTTTATTTATCTCTACATTTTATTAAATTTCAATATTATTTGTTTAATTATTCTAACCATTAATCATTTAATTATTAATTGTCATTTTATTTATTTATTTATTTTTTGTTCTGAGAAATTATTTCAAAGATTTGCTTTAACAATGAGGTAGGATAGCAAGAATAAAAGACTTACATTCATTAAACTTATACCCAAATTCTTCAAATGTTTTAGGAAATTCATCATAGTATATAATTTTGCTCATGATTGAATTTCCTTCCTCGTCTTGATCTGCAATTAAAAATAATATATTATGGAAGATACTTAACATAGTAAACAGAAATAAAAGCACATAATACACCTGCATACCGAATTTAGAGAATGTTTCCCACTTTCGTGCAACACTGCAAAACATTCAATACATGCAGAATATATGGTCAAAACTTCCCAGACAGCAGCTACTAATTTTTCTTGAGGCTATAATGTGTCGAGCTTTTAATAGAATTTCAACCTTCCTCTTACTGGTTTTATGACTGTCATACTTCACAGCAGTTTCTCCTTTCAATTTCAGTAAACTGCTCAAGAATTGTTTTCATTTCTTAATTAGCAAGAAGCCTGTTCAGTGTGCATTGCCTGTTTTACTGATGAGATTAACTATAATGTCAAATACATGTAAGAAAAATAAACAGCCTATTCTAAACTGGTTGCTAAGTGTTGAAAACATTTGCTATATTTACAAATGGCAAAGGCAATAGGAAATGAAACAAAAGGGCCATATTTAAAATATTAAAAACCATCTCAGAACTTTATGCATTTCAGAATTTTGTTTTCAGTATGGCAGACTTTCATCAATGTTATTTATTCACAAGACAACTGCCAAGTTCAAATATGTTAGAATGTTAGATCACAGTACTGCTAAATAAGACTCTTTTCGATAGAATGTTGTTTCTGTGATTAAAATAATATTCAGGCAATGAATACAGTGAATAAATTATTTTGGAAATAATCATGAAAAACAAATGCATGAGCTCGTTCCCAACAGATAACCCAAGTAACCAGCCTCTATTTCAGAGCTAAAATTATTTGCAACATTTTAAGACAGCATAGGAAGCTTACTTTTACTCATGCTAAACAAGGGGGAAAAGCACAAGCAAAAGGGGAGGGAAAAAACATTGCACACATCAGGAGCTTTCTGAATATTGATGTCTAAAACTTAACTACACGCTGCATCTCTACATAAAAAAAAATTTCATGGCTGCAATATGCAAATAAAAGCACTGCAAATTTAACAACATGAGACATTACACTATCTCCTCCAAAAAATGTATAAATTAAGAACAAATTAAATTTTATTATGTATTTTCTAAGAGTAAGAAATGCTTGAAAGCCCTAGCCAGAAAATGGATGCACAGTAATTCTCTATTTTAGTCAATGAAGAATATATGTGTATGAATGTTCTTGCCTTGTGGAAAAACAGCAGCACGAAGAGGCATCAAATTTTGAACAAAAAGTCTTCTATCCAAACATGTGCACTTTGAAACACAAACTTTGAATTTTTTTTTTTCCATTTAATATTTTGTGCAAATTTAATGGAATTTTGGGAACTACTCTAATATGCGCCCTCAAGGCGCCAAATTTCTCGCCAAATATTTTTGGCAAGAAACTCTATGCTGCCATATTGCTATCTAAATTTTTTGTCTACATTTCAAACTTTAAGCCTAAAATGTCTCCAGAAACACGGTTTTCGCTAATGCAAAAACCACGTTTTGAACACACAATTTAAGCTAAAAATCCGAAACAAAAACAAGAAATTTAGATAGCAAAACCGTGAAGTTTCTAACCAAAATTATTTGACAAGAGTCCATGTACATAGCGACATGTTTTAACTTAAAAAAACATCTACGAATGGCACAATCTAGGCAACGAACGAATTTACGAACTATGCACACCTTGCTTTAATAAATTAACTTAACACTAAGTTTCAAAGAATACCATGTACACAGCATCCTGTTTCAACTTAAAAAAACATCTACGAATTGCACGATTTAGGCAACAAACGAATCTACGAACTACGCACACCTCACTTTAATGAATTAACATAACAACAATAAATTTCAAAGAATACCGTGTACACAGCGTTCTGTTTCAACTTTAAAAAACATCTACGAATTGCACAATTTAGATGGTACGCACTAATCAACAAAATAACTAAAATAAATTTCAAACAATTCAAAAAAACAACAATTACGACAGAAATTCATACTAAAAAAACAATGAACATAACATTCTACAAAATAAGAACAAGAATAAAATAAAATGCACTTACCATTAATGCTTTTTGAACAGCAGAAAATACCAATTTCATACCGCCTTTAACATGCCGCCACGTAATCACTATCGTATTTATATGACAGCCAGACACACTATCCAGAAAATTCATACTATGGTTCACAAATAAATAAAATAATAAATAATCACAAATCCCTACTTCTATCATGCACAGCCACTAAAAATAATATCCCATACCTTCTTTCCACATCTCCAAATACCCATTGCCCCTCAACAGGATGGCCACGATGATATTTCCTTATGCCGAACTTCAATTCAACAACTTTCACCATTAAATCTTTCCCCCCCCCTAGCTTCTCAGACACAAAGCATGACGGGAACCAACGAACTCCAGTGAAAAATTTTTCAACATCAACAGAGTTGCCATACAACACACAATCGCGCCAAAAACCAGCGCAGAGCACATATCGCCACATTTGGTGAAATTAGGGCGTATATCACAGTTGTAACGAATTTTGATTAATAAACTTGATAATTTAAAAGAATATGATGGCTCCTGGCAAAGCATTAGATATTTATGTTTCAAATTTAATCAGAAAACTCAATGATTTGAAAGAAATATGTTGTCACAATCCAAAATAAAACATTTTTATCTTCCACAAGCCAGTATGGGATCATTCATTAGAGCATAATATAGTTAATGTTTTTCATATTTAATTTGTCTGTTATTGATTAAGAAATTAATCAATTTAGAAGTAATTTAAAAGAATATGTTGGCTCCTGGCAAAGCATTAGATATTTATGTTTCAAATTTAATCAGAAAACTCAATGATTTGAAAGAAATATATTGCCACAGTCCAAAATAAAACATTTTTATCTTCCACAAGCCAGTATGGGATCATTCATTAGAGCATAATATAGTTAATGTTTTTCATATTTAATTTGTCTGTTATTGATTAAGAAATTAATCAATTTAGAAGTAATAAATGCATCCTTCATCTGTTATTACTAATTACTAGTGGACTCATTAAAATCATATTATATATTATATATATATATTATTTTTATAGTAAGTATTTTAGGCAGCTGGCCAAGGAAGCAAATGATATATATATATAAATACATATATAATAATAGTCACATATACATATTATCTCTTATAGGAGGTGAGAAATCTCAGTAAAGAATACATTAAACTGAGTTGCATTCTGCTTAGGACAAAAAGATTCAGGAGTTCCCATGACAAACTAACACTTCCGGTAAAAATATATTTATGGGTGGCCCTTGGCAAAAATTGCCGATTTTTGGCAGTACACGACACCGAGTTTCTGAAATTCTTTGACTTGTTATTTTGGCTTGGTGTAGTGCCAGTTTTAGTGCCAAAAAACGCAGCTACACAAAAACAAAATAACAAGTAGAGAATTACACAAACTCGGTATCCATGTACACATTGACCATTTTCACTTAAAAAAAAAAAAAATCAGAGAATTGCACAAACTTCACATTGTGCATTCCCTTGGCTTTGTCCATGTACACATCGATCTATTTTCACTCAAAAAGTCAAAGTAAGCACCTAAAAAAAACTTCCCAAAATTATCTGTATACTGGCGTCACCACATAAATTTCCAAAAATAAGAGTAAAAAATATCCTCCGACATTTAACCATACACATTTCCTTCGTACAAACAGGACACTTATAATGGCTACTAAGTAAACCTTCATTTACACACCCGTCAACTAATGCTTTTCTTTCTTTCGTCTCAAATCGCACAGAAACTTCAAATTAATCTTATGACATTCAGCCATTTTACCGTGTAAACCACAAAATAAGCAACATACTTCCTAACCAACACACAAACAAGCAAACAAGCATTTACAAACCTTTTCCCATCAGTCAAATTCACCGCAATTACCCAATCAATTACATCATAATAGGGTTTCCATAACATTCAACTATTTAGGTTACCATAAATGAAACAACAACTTGGTGATAAATGAAATGACAACTAAGCGATAATCCAACGGGGACACCCTTAAATATACTTTAACCACACTTCCTACACAGATCAGATGAGATCACAATTCTTCTAGTTTCTGAGACTTTAAAAAATGGTATCATTGCTTTAACTAAGATGTGAGAAGCCTACAGTCTACTGACCACTCAATACCTTAGTTTCCAGAGATGTATCTGCTATTATAAAATTAAATGTCGAATTATAATCATTGAAAAGAAATTCTTCCACTACAGTAAAAATGGAATGCTCAAATACAAGATTGAAGAACTTTGCTACAAAACTGCTCAGCAGGCATTAAACCATTTTGTTATACCTACAGTTTGATGCATTTATTTAGCATTGAAGCATCTTCATTATAATAGCCTAACAACATTAAATGTGCCTCCTTCTTGCAGATTCTTACAAAATATACATTACATCTTTTCTGTCAGATTAACTGACACATAGAATCTGAGGACAAATAAACAGACTCTTTATCTGCTCTGAATATGATGGCTTAATGTTTACTTTTCCAGTTCATAACGATATGCCACTGCTCAAGTTTGCTAGATTTGAAGCTCAGTCTCGACAAATTTTAAACAGAGCTATTACATTTTAAAAATTTATTAGTATATTCACATTCCTATTGAAATCAAATTAGTATCACATTTTATTGCTTACCCTCAACAGATCATTATAAGAAATATTTCTGTGAGTTCTCACTTTCAGGATGAAATCAGTTCTTTGGCAAAACCCTATGATGGGCATGGCTTTAAGCAAAACAGTTTTGTCTCAATTTCAAAATCCCATGTAGCTAGACAGGACATCAGCTTTATCAAACTCTTTCACGTAGAAACCCTAAAATGGGAGGAGGAAGAGGAGTTGATTTCTCAGAAGCAGCTCTTGAGAAATTCATGTACATTTTCCAAGTCTGAACAGCTCTACTTCAGAATCCAAGAACAGATACAGGACTACAAACAGCACATTCTATTCATTTCAAACACTGCCTAGAGCCAAGACATCACATTACATACTATTTTCAAGCTACTTGGCAATAGCAATTAGTCTATGGTCTTTTAAACATTTTATTTCAAACATGAAATCAAACAAATGAAGCCTTTGAAACAGGATGGTAATTAGACATTCATAATTTATTCTCATACTAAGAATTTCTTTTAAACACTTTTCACTTAATTCTCTCTCTCTTTCACACACAATTTTTTTTTTTTTTTTTTTTTTGTCTTTTATCAACTGCACCTGATTTTTCAATTGCAGAAATAGCGTTTGCATTTAATTTCTGGACAATAACATACATATGCTGTATATTAAGCAAAAAGGATATATAATAAAGACTATAACAGTACTCTTTTTAATTTAACAATTTATTAACAAATTTATGTAAACTTCTATAAAACATATAATTTCAATGAAAACTAGTAATAATACTAATAAGTTTTTAAATTAAATGAATAAACATAAAATATGTACAGTTAAATTTTATATTGAATTATAAATTATTCTTTAACAACTTACTAGAATTAACTTCAGTGCTAGTACTTTTAATGTCATCCACCATATAGGAAGATAAAAACACGATCTGAAAATATAAGATATTATTTGTCAGTTTACATAATGATTGTGAGTATTGCCTCTTTTGTGGTTAATGACATACACTTTCAATTAGACAGCATGAAATGGAAACATCTCATTTAATATCTGATCTAAAAATGTAACACATTCTAGCTTTTAAAGTATCCAGATAATAACTAAATTTTTCAATGACATTCAGCAACACAGCATTGTTAAAGCCGATTCTTCTGTTTATTTATATATTATCACAACTTATTGCACTTTAAAAAATATTCTAATTCAATCACAATAGAAAATGTTATCACACATCTCAAATCCCATACAAAAAGAAATAATGTTTCATGATGCTCAGATGAAATGCTGTTCAAGATGAAACACCATAGAATGTGAAGCTATTTAAATCTGAAAATCAGATTTCCAGACTGAATATTAAATTACCCTTCACAGAAAATGATTAGCAATGAAAAAATGGATGAAAATTCAAAAATATATTATACTTTATTTAACAGTATTAACTTTACTTACATTCCTTCATAGGATACATATGAAAACCAGAAAAAAGTCAAAAAATAATTATTCTGCTATAAAAATGTTAGTTCAAAATCAGGGCTGTGGAGTCAGTAGGGAAAATGACCAACTCCGAATCCTGGAATTTTAATGACTCCGACTCGACTCCCTCATAAATATACATAATGAATTATAGCTTATTTTTTTAATATAAAAGAAGTAATAGATGCCAGTCTTTCATCCCTTGAGTGGGTTGATAAAATAAGTACCAAGTTCGCTTGGGGACTAAACACCGGGGGTTGTGCAACATGCTGGCCACTTGTCCAGGGCACATGCTGGTACACTCCAGGGCCCAAGGTTGAGAAAGCAGATTTCGGGGCATTGCAGGCCGTGGCCCACTAGGGCTGTTGTGCCACCGAGTTCTTTAGTTTAAAAAGGAGAAATTGGTACTCTTCTGTTATTGGGTCTGGATTCAGTTATTGGGTATGTATGAAAGGATGTGTTCACATATGCATAGACTCCAACCTTCAGCAAACCTTGTCAGTAGTCAACGCGCGAACGACATTTTTACAACTTTGAAAATGTGCGCGTAGCGTATGTTGTAATTAACCATTCATTAATTTTAAATTAATAATTAATTGTAATCAATTTTATTACATTTAAAATCCATATACATATAAAACTGAATAATTAAAATATACCTTGTAAATTATATGCACATTTAATTAGAAATTTCTTTTTAACTCCTCAAGCATTCACTAATAAAAAGTACTTCAAATCACTACTAATCATAGAAAAAAATCAGAAGCTATAAATCATATCTTTTTATTCTGGATATGATTTCTACAGGGAAATAAAATTTAAATAACCAAGAATGATACATATAAGTATTAAAACAAAATACGCATAATCTATGAATGCAAAGATTTATATGTAGCATGCTTAGCAAGCTTAAGTTCTGATTTTGAGAATGTTTTTTTATAACACAGTTCTTCATTTGCCTGCATATTTATTTTTTCAATCAAAAACTGCTTCAAGAGTTTTAAGACCTAAATTTGGTCGAATTCCGTCTGATTTTTTTAACAATAGAAAAAAATTCTTTCGCAAGCTGCATTTGAATGAGGTATTATTAAGACAGCAAGCATTACAGAAGGCAATACTTTGTATTTAATACACCCATTCATATTTTTTTAATTTGGCAATTTCTCCCCATGCTATATCAATACACAAATCTACAATTTCTTTCAAATCATCTATTTGATACATGGAAAATTCAATTTCTACTTGATTAAGACATTTTTCATCAATAATGGATGGAAAAGTATTCATCAAGTAAAGAACAGATGAAAATGAGACTTCAGTTCTCAAGTTGATGTCAGCAACTTCAGCATGTTTTAGAAATGGATCACTCAGTGGAAATTTATCAATTATATATGAACATGCAGTTACAAAAAAACTCGCACAGAATTAAAAAATGATTTCACTTCACTTTCATTCAACTTGGCATTTTTTAAATATAGTCTTGTTTCCACACCAATCACTAAATTTTCATTTTCTTTTTATTTTACTATACTTCTGAAATGGAATAGACGTTAGAGTAACATCTTCATTTTCTTTAGAAATTACTGATGGTTTTACGAATCTAACAAATAAATTCATTAAAAGTTCAAAAAGTTCTCTTCTCAATTTATGTATATAAGGAGCTTGTTGTTGCAAATTAATATTTACTGTTATAAACAAAGGCAAAGTATTTTTCAAAAATAACAAGTACAATTTGGTGGTCGGTGACTGTAAAATTTTTTTAATGTTTTGCAATCTCTTTCCTTCATTCTCACTGTTATCTGGTTTATCTCCAAAAAAATTTATCACAGCATCCCACTGTTCCAAAATCCTTGTTATAGATTCTAAAAGAGACAACCATCTCGTACTGCAATATTTCAAAATTTTATGAGATTTTGCATTCTGTCCCAAAATTTGTTGAGCAACTTTGAAGCTATGCTTCCGTTTCGAACTTTTCTCCAAGTAAAAAATATATATCTATTATCAACATTTCAATTTCTGAGCCAATTAATTTTTCAGTAGCTTTTTTTTGCAGCTATATATGCAAGAGGTGGCACGGACAACCTCGGGTGATTATACTTGGTTGATGCATTTTGATAATAAATGATGCTACACCTTTAAACTTTCCAATCATATTACTAGCATTATCTGAAGAAAATGATAAGCAATTTTTCCATTCTAAACCTTTGTTTTTAAAGTTTTCATTTATACAATTAAAAAATACCTTCTCCTGTATTATTCGTGCATTCTAAAATAGAAATCAATGAAGTAGTAATTATCACTCCCTTTTCTTTACTGTAGTATGTTATAACCAATGGGTACAGTTTGTTATCATTGTTATCATTACTTCCATCAGTACTTAGAGAAAATGATGTACTGCACACTGATTTTATAATATCAGCAACAGTATTTTCTGCAAGCGTTTTCACAATAGCAGCAGTTTTGGTATGACCGCAGCCGCAGCTAAATTTTTTTGCTATGGCAGAATCCGGAAACATTGCTTTGAAAAGCTCTTTGGAATGATCCGAAACAGAAAGCGGTAGATTATGTTCAATTAAAAAACGAACAAAATAGCATTCGGCTTTTATAGGATCTGTTTCATCATCTTTTATTAAGAAATTTGTTATTTCTTTAGATTTTACGGTGCCAAGTTCTATATGCTTTTGAGAAAACACATGCCGTTTACAGTCATCTTTTCCGCCATGAGCAACTGAGAAGTCTTTGTTGCATACACTGCAGTGTGATTCACAGAAATTTCGGACGCTTTAATGCATGGAAATTCTGAAGAATATGAATCTTTAAACTTCTGCTTTGATAATTTTGGCTTCTTCGTTCGAGGCAGCATTATGATTAAAAATCTTTCGGTACTTTTCCGTTTCGCCGGCGCAAATCTCGCCAAGCAGACTTTATTGGCGACAACATACAGTATACACATAAAAAATATTTAAAAAATTTTAGTTCTAAGAATTTTTTATTTTGAAGGTATAAACATTTTAATATTGCTTAAAATTTTATAAAAAGCCAATAAATAAAGACAATACATTTATAAAAAGACACTAATTTAAGAATTTACTATGCTTTCATGGTTCAACATCCTGATTCGCCGGTTCACATCACGTGACCCCAAGCGATCTCATCTCACGCAAACTATTCTACAAAAATCTAATGCTCTCAGTAATTATCTACATTAATTTCAAGTTAAATCTTAATTTGGAACACAAGTTTAAATGCAAGAAATTTTAATTCGTACGAATAGCTTACTCAGAAATTTTGTAAAACTGCAGTGCTTTACTTCGCTAATGCATTCTCATTAGAATTGATGAATTTAACCCTTGACTTTACCTTTTCTATATTTTCGGCTTCGGGTAAGCGCTGTGATTGCATCCTAATTGACTTAATTACCGAAAATGGCCTTAGACATAAAACTGAACTATCTGATAAAAATTCTATGAAATTATATGCCAGTATTGAAAGAAACAATCAATCTGATAAGAAAAAGCTGCGACTTGTTTTGAAAATGAGGCGTAAAAGGTTACCAGCGAGAATATTACGTTTGGCATCGGTTGTACCATTATTGGCGATTTTATCGCTTGCGCCGGCAAAACGGAAAAGTACCAATCTTTCACCTGATTCACAGTTCACAAGACACACGCTAAGCTCTCGCCGTAAACTACACAATGCAGCCTAAACACGCATCAGCGAGGAACCTGGGAGACAGACAATTGGGTGGAACTATTGATAAGTCATTAACAGTTGGAGTTACTGATCTACGATTGGCTAATTCTTCAAAACTAGGAACGCACTCAACACGTGATATATGATAATACGAGTATTCAGCCAATCATCGGATGAATTAGTTGGTTCCGTTTTGCGTACTGGTTCTCCTGCTCTTGTTTCTGTAAAATCCGTAGTCCATACTTTTCGTAGCTCGTAGTTTTTCATGAATTTCCGTAGAAACTACGGAGAATCCGTAGTAGTTGGAGTCTATGCATATGCATGTATATATGTATGTACTTGCACACATACATTTCCGAGTCTGGTCCGAATAACAGAAGAGTACAGAAAAATGCATATTTTACATTCGTTAATATTTTGAAAACTGAGATCCATCAGTATTCAGGGCAATTAAAATAACATAACATGAATAATAATAAAAAATGACCGATTTCTTTTTATGAGAGTAAAATATAATTGCTTTGTTTATTCGTATTAATTTACTTTGGATAAACAAAATTACAAAGAAATTTATAACTAAGTACAGTTTGAATTCTTTAATAGCTTATTTATTTAAACTAGATCTGAGCTATACATTAAAATGAAAATGTATTTAATAACAAATTAGAATGGCAATCTAATTTTTCGATTATTTAGGAATTAAATTTGCCCGATTTTATACATTGGTATTTGCAAATGACTTTCGATGTTAAAATATATACAATTTATCACTCCTGGAAATTTGAATGAATTCTTTTTATTTCCTTTGAATGAAATTTCTTTTTACAATATTTGAAAGACAGGATGAATAAAAATTGCAGAAACTATGCTATTATGAATTCAAACAGAGGTCTTTATACAAATGCTTCTTTATAAACAGTATCATAACTGTACAACAGATGTCAATCACAGGAATGAAGCTACATATATTTTTAAAAAAGAAATTACTATAAAATTAACTCACTACAATTTTGTACAGCCACAGTGATAGGCAAAATATTAAAGCTAATCGTAACAACTTCAGGATAATACTGATTGAGTAAAAGAAGACGAAATTTAGTTAATAACTTCACACCAAACCGTATGACTAATTCAAAACCACAAAACTAATCACAACATATAATCGCGCATTTAATGCGAAAATTGCGGCAAGTTTAAAGTTGAGGTGTTGCTGCCCTGGTTTTATTTTGATGGTTTGGAAAATTTTCCTAGATTAAGTAATTTTTTAATTTCTCGACAATACTTACGCTGTCATATTTATAATATATATCTATCAAAACTCCCAAAATCTATTGATATGTTCCATAAAATTTTCATGAAAAATAGAAATAGAAGTTCTATAGTCTATAGAAATGTTCTATAGAATGAACTATGAATATCTTAATTAAAAGAAGCTTTCCAAAATAATTTACTTTATTAGAATTTTTAAATATAATTTATCAGTAATACAGTTTTTATTTCTTTAATTAATTATTTTTCTCTAAGTGTTTAACACTATTTCTAATTGGCAACAACTCACAGTAAATAAACATGGCGCACTCCATGCCGCTGGAAAATTTCGATGACCCTTCGCTAGAGGACGATTATTATGCTATACTTAATTTGGGCAAAAATGTAATTTAATTTTAAATCCTACAAGTATTTATTACCCGTGTTTATTTTAATAAAATTATCAATTATTTTATTCAACTACGTATATTGTAAATAATAATTTTTTTACATTACATTTTACACTCTTCTTGGGAAGTTTTATAAGCAAAATTGATTTAAATATTTAATTTTTATGTAAAGATTGATATGATAAATTTCTTTCTTTCAATTTGTTTAAACCCTACATCTCTTCTTTCTGTTTTCTCTAATTTTATCATAACTAAGATACAACATTAGCAAATTAATATGGTTGATAAACCGAATGATCAAAAATGATAAATGGAATCATATATGAAAGAATCTTGATTTTTTAAAATTTGTATTTTGTTTTTTTCATTTTTTTGTTAATATTTATTAAGTACTGAGCATTTGCTTTATCAGTAATATGTAGGAATACTTTTAACATTCAGTTTTGCTTTATATTCTTTCTCAGATTGGCATTTCAATATAGCACATTGACGTAATTCTTTTTTTTTTTTTTTTTTTGTCTCTGGTGTAGAATTGGGTAATTGGGTGCCCCTTCAATTGGAGACAAATTTCGTTCAATTTAGGCAATGGAACCCCATTTCTGGTTATCATGATAACTTTAATTTGGTTTTAGCTTCCATTGTGGTCACCTTAGGGTTACCGTACCTTTTTTAATCTTATATGACATCATCATTCTCCTAATTTGTTTTAAAGTGACAATAGATCGATGTATACATGAGCATCAAGTTTGTGCAAGCCTTTGACTTCTTATTTTGGTTTTGTGTAGTGGCTATTTTTAAATTGTGCCTTCCTGGCATCAATCTGGGTGTCAAAAAAGAATCGCCAAAAAAACAAGAATGATATTTTTACCCTTTTTTAAGGGACGTTTTATCATTCATATATATATATATATATACTGTTAATTCATTCTGCTGCTTATTTGCTTACATTGTTTGCTACCAATTAGTGGTTTCCTCAGCTTGATTTCATCTTATCTGGTTAACAACTTTCTTTTTACTAATTTTGAAAGAGTTGTAGCGCTGTTGATACTATTTTAATTTACTTACTATTTTTAACTGTAAAGCAACACCTCCTAAATCACATGTAACTTAGTTGTGATGTATTCAAAAGTATGATGAAGGTTGGTCGTTGGACTAGACACTTCAGTGTGGTCCGAAGACTGTTAATAGGAATATCATCATGTGTGCGAGTTAAAAATCACAATCAGTTTCTACTTTCTTTTTCAGAGTTTAAAAAAGTTAAAATGGATATGTTTGATTCTCTAGAACATCACACCTCTAGGAGATACAGTCAAAAGTCTAATTTGGACACCCATAATGATACCCCGGAATGATCTATAATCCGGACCTCAAATCTACAAACTTTCTGTGTATGCGTCGCTTTGACGCATGCACGTAAGACCTTTACGGCTGCGAATATGCGTGTGCGCATGCGCATAATACGTTTACGCATGCGTGTTTAATATATAATGAACGGTATAAGCTAAGCTAAAATTATCTAATTCAGTTAATGTTGCAGATTGCATTGTTCCTTAATCTTCGAATTGGATCCGGCTTATTATTCTTTGCAGACTGTTAGAGCAATTGCATAAAAGTAAGCTTGAACTTTCAACTATGTCAAATAGAATTTTCGATATATATTTACTAATATGTAAAGGATCTGCAAAGCGAAAGTATTAACAAACATTAAACAAAAAGTGGAATTGCTGCAAAAAATGGATAAAGGCATATCCTTTGTTTCTCTAACCATTCCAAAATCTGTTAATCAATTTCACGCTGCTCTGCGGGGGAGGGGAGTGTCGCAGCGTGCAATGAACTGGAAGTTGATCTGTCAGCACTATCCATATCTTCAGGGCAGTTGTTTTTATTTTATTCGGCTTATAGTTCAGTACTAAATGTAGTATTTCATCTTGATGTACTCTGTCTTTTATATGATTTAAATCAAATTCATTATAAATATCACGAATACACATCAAATAGTTTTCTGGTTGCAATTTTCTAATTTCGACTATGTGTAATGTATGCTTTACGCATGCGCGCGTTGAAAGAATTGTTTAATAAAGTAAACAAATAAATATTAAGCTTTTTTTTTTTGTAAATTTTGATACCCTTTAGATCATAATTGTTCTTTATTTCATAAATTACTGTTTCATATTTTTAATTTTATAATTTCTGCATGCCATCTTACCAGATTTAAACTGATGATCTATAATCCGCAAAAATCGATAATCTGGAATTGCCAAAATCTCGATGAGTCCGGATTAACGACTTTTGACTGTATATCTAACGCTTCCTATTTAATATCACTGACTGGGATGGAGCATAGTCGAAAGTCTTCATGTGCTTTGCTCGAGATAAATAATCAATTCAATCCTATCCTGTGGGTATGAAAGGAAGAAAGTAAAGAGTTTATCAAACATGGCTACTGTCCCTGCTAAATGGAACTTTTTTGAGAAACGAGATTCTTGTAGCACTGGTTTAAACGGGAGGATTCCTAGAAAAAAGAACCGCACCTGAAGCAAAGTCTGACCTAAAAGAGCCGCACCTGAAGTGAAGTCCCGCCTAGCTATAGAAACAATGTTGCGGTTACACAGGATTTTTTCAAACTTCACCAAAAATGTCTCGGCTGGACCTCAATCCTGGGTAGAGACAACCAATCAGACGAAAGTTCTGCTTCTGAAGCCTCATGTAATCCCAATCTGAGCGATAATCGATTAGTGTTAGGCATTCAAGTCTTTGTAGTAAAGGAAAATGGTAACCTAGCAACGTGGGTTTCCTGGAATTGTGCGGGTTCTGAGAATTGTCCCTTTCGACGTCAAGTCCTGCATAGCCGAAACATAATGTGATTGGGACTTCAGATTTTGATGGAAGTTTCTATTTTCTAAGAATTTCTATGTATGTTTTAAGGTAAAACATTAATGAAAATTTAATAAGAATTAAGATTTTATTTCTTATTCCGTGTACTGAGTCTTAATTTTCTGTTGATCTTAAGTTGACAACTATTCCGTTTTTGTCTTAAGTTGATGACTGTGCATTTAATTTGTACAAAACCTTAAAATAATGCTATGTAAATATGTCTATTAAAAATTGATGAAAACACTTTAATTATTTAAATATATTAATCATTAATTAAAATTTATTCACTCAAAATATTAACTTATATGTATATATTTTTATCTGTGGTATTGTTGAATGTGTTGAAATATTCATTATATAATGGGACATTTATCTCATTGATGGGTTGGCTAAATGACCATTGAGTTTGATTATAATTCCTAACAAATGCTGAATGAGCAAATGTCTATCCATTGGCAAAAGTAAAAATTAAATGGAAAGAATACAGTCAAAAGTCGTTAATCCGGACTCGTCGGGACTTTGGCGATTCCGGATTATCGATTTTTCCGGATTATAGATCATCAGTTTAAATCTCGTAAGATGGCATGCAGAAATTCTAAAATTAAAAATATGAAACCGTAATTTATGAAATAAAGAACAATTATGATCTAAAGGGTATCAAAATTTACAAAAAAAAAAAAAAAAAAAAAAAAAAAGCTTAATATTTATTTGTTTACTTTATTAAACATTTCTTTTAATGTAAGTTGTTTATTTTGCTTCATTTTATGTGATAATACTCTCTCTTTAATTCTATAAACAGACATAATTTCTTGTTCAGTTACAAAGTTCCGCTGTTCAAGTCCCGTTAATTGCTGTGCCGAGAATACCGACTAACTTGTCAATCGAAATTTTTTCGTTTTCACTAATCTCTCTGTCACATTCTTCATGTCTTTATCCATTTTTTGCAGCAATTCCACTTTTTGTTTGTTGGACATCAAAACATACTTTCATTTTGTAGATCCTTTGGAAGTTCCAGCATCGGAAATTCTATTTGACATAATCGAAAGTTAGAGTTTACTTTTATAAAATTGCTCTTACAGTCTGCAAAAAATAATAAGCGAGATCCAATTCGAAGATTAAGGAACAATGCAATCATTAACTGAAATAGATAATTAGATAATTTTAGCTTACACTGTTTGTTATACATTAAATTCGCAGGCGAAAATGTATTCTGCACTTGCGCACACGCATATGCGCAGTAGTCAAGGTCTTACGCGCACGCGTAAACGCCTGTGCGCATGTGCCAACGCGGTGCATGCGCAGAAAGTTTTTATCTTTGAGGTCCGGATTATAGATCATTCCGGATTATGGGTGTCCGAATTAACGACTTTTGACTGTATTGACTTTAAGTAAGGGCAAGTACTTACAAATTATCCCATTGACTGTGAAACTATCGCCAAGCAGTGCGATTTAAAATCAGTTATGGAAAAGCATGATATAACAGCACACTCAGAGCACTTACGCTTTTTTAGATGTAAGCCCACTAAGGCATGTTCTTTTTTTATGAATAAGGATATGAATTAACTTTTATTTATAAGCTTTTCTTGTATTTTGGAAAAAAAAAAAGATTAAAATTTGAGGCTTTTCTTTTTCAGAAGAGGAAGAGGTGGATTATTTTCAAAGTTATGGGATCCTATGACTAAAACCATTGTGCATGAATGGATACAATATGGCCAACAAAAAGCTAATAGATTGGAACAATAATCTGTGGGAAGTTTGTATTTATAATATTCTAAACAGAGCTTCTAGTAAAATTGGAGGGCTAACTAAATAGCAGAAATAGGCAAAAGCTTTTTACGAGTATCTAATATTGTTTATTTGTTCAATAAAGAACCATCAGTTGCTTCAGAATTCTGCAGAAATGATCAATGCAACTTCTGCAGGATCTCTGCGAGCTTTCGTGGTTCGATGAGAGTCAAATTTCACGGTCAACGGGATAATACATAAGGGCATTATAGGAATGTATAAGTTATTATATAGTATTTTAAGAATATATTGAAATCCTGATAACTATAGTCTTTTACTTTAAAATAGGCCTTTCTGACACTCCCTCATGTGCAAAATGACACATTTTGTCCTCACTGCTTAAGACCTATTGTCTCCATCTCATTTGAGACTATAGTTCAAGTCAGCCTTCATTCGTATACTTTTCATCAAGCGAAACTGAAATGAAGTAAGGAAAAAAGAACTAGGAGATTCAACCATCTGCTGTAGCTATCTTTATGATGGTTATGAAACAAATAACCCTAAATGCCTATTTTAAAGTGATAGACAATGGCAGTATATTAGATTAAGAAACACTGGTTGTCAGTGATTTAATTTTTAGTCATTATACAACTAGATGAATTTAAAATATGCTAAAAGTTAAGAGGGGCATGAAGACTAAAGTTATTTAAATGAATAAAATTTTTAACCTCCTTTTTTATAAATAAATATTTTTTATATTATATTTAAATATTTTTTATATCCCTATTTTTTTATAAAATAAACATAGTTTGAAAAATTTTTCTGCTGTGAAATATATATTTGATTTTTATCTGCATTTATGTACATGATACAGCTCATACTGAATTATGTTAAAAATAATCTGAATATCGTTTTTCCCCCTCTATTAAAATTATTATTTTTCTTTTATTTAGGCAACTACTGAAGATATTACAAATTCCTATAGATGCCTCAGCAAGCTTTATCATCCTGATAAGCATTTAGATCCAATTAAAAAAAAGAATGCTGAAATTCTTTTTAATAAAACAAAAACAGCATATGAAGGTATAGCTTACTTTGTTTCAAATGATGTGTTATAAATTACATCTAAAGTATTTTGTATATTGATTAACAATTTTCCTTTGATCATTCTTTATCATGTACAATGTAGTCCTGCTTTTCCAATAATATGAAAAAATGTGACAAAATATCCTTAAAAAATGACCAGGCATCTATCTGATTTAGTAGGAATATATTACAGCATACAAATATTTTAATATATTCCTATTAAATCTGATATTACTTATCACTAAATCTTAAAATATTAAAAGTTCATTTACCATTTGAGTTCCAAGCAGCGCGATTGTGCTGTTGAGATTTTCTGTCGAGAAAATCCAGTACATTTTGAACATTGTAGACAACTAATGGTGCACTTGATGTTGATAATGTGGGCACTTGATTTAAATCACATCAATGTAAAATAAACAAAGTGCTATCACAACGCTTGGTATTTCTCAATATAAAATAAAACAAGCGTTATCGTATTGCTTGGGTCTTTTCGTACTCATTTAGAGAAAGCACGATTGCATCGTTTGCGATTCTTCGATGGTCTTTTTTCAATACCCCTGCGACTCAAATGGTTAATAGTAGATTGTCCAATACTGTCATATAGAAGTTCATTTGCAAATTGTTCTCATTATTTTGGGGAATTATCTGTATGTGGAGCTTCTTTCTTATTTTGACATTAACAGGGAATCAACTACAAGTTTTTTTTTAATAAAAGTTTAACTTGCCTCCATTCTTTTTTCTGCTGAAGAAGATTGAGTTATGTATGCATGGATGCTGTACTGTGAAATATTCTAAATACTAGAAAGTGAAATACATTGCAGATTAGATTAAAAAAAAAGTTTGGTTGCCTGAGGGATGGTTATAAAGACAGGTATCATCAGGAAATATGTCAAACCAAAACTGGCAAAGCTTGGTACTGAGGAAATATTCTGAAGCTGGGTTCTCCAAACTACAGCCTATGGGCCAGATTTGGCCTGCAGGTACTATTAATCCACCCTGCTAAAGGTTTTTTTTAAAACTAATTTTATATAAGCAAGGTGAAATACAGATTAACTATTTTATATAACAGCCAGTTTATATATTGCCTCTCATGCACGTTCTTAAAGCGCATTATGAGCATTTCTAAATTTTCAATAAGTGTAATCAGTAACACTATATTTAAGAATTTGTCATACTTTTTATGAAAATAAAGATTTCGTGTGTTATCTTTAACTGCTTTCATAGTAGTATTCTATGTTTGTTCATAGAAATTTTCAGCAGCAATTTTGTTTAAATCTTAATTTTTGCTTTATGTTGTGATTTATTTTAATTTTTAACTTCCCCCCCCCCATAAAACTTGCTCAAAATATGAAATAACTTTGAGTGAAAATCGGCACCTCGTCAAAATGAAGACAAAATGTGCTGATAAATTGTTACAACAGGGAGTTAAACCCATTTAAAAAAATGTTTCAAATGGAAGAAATCTCTGGTATTCTGGGACAAGAATATTTTTGCAAATGCTTAAACATTTTTAAGAAATTTATGCTAGGTGAACTGCATGAAAGTCTAAAAAAAATTCTCTTTATTTCATCATATTGGTATAGATTCAATAACCAAAAATCTTGCTGCCTTGTTTAAAAAACATGTATGATTCACCACGATATGATGAGCTAACTGGGTCTTGGCCTTCAAAGCTCCGTGAAAGAGCCAATATGGCCCACTGGCTAAAACATGCGAGGACCCCTGATCTAAATTTTAAAAAAAAGTCTTCATGTAGTATCGCTTTAACATAAAAAAGGCCATGAATATTTTTTCTTGTTTTTTAAAATAATATGTCCTGTTTTTCAGTCCTGAGTGACCCACATCAGCGTGCCATATATGATACACTAGGTCTAAAAGGTTTAGAAACAGAAGGATGGCAGGTAAGTTTTACTGTATTCTATGCTAACTATCGTATATTTCTGAATGTAAGCAGCTGATCTTTTATAAACAGAGAATGTGTGCTTTCTTCAAAAAATTATTCAAAATTAAAAACCTGCACATAAGCCAAAATGGAAAAAAAAAAAAAAAAAAAAAAAAAAAAATAGAAATTCTGTGTTATGTTCAAACATGTCATCACGAGGGCAAAAATACTGCCAAGCAGGTAAAATGGCTGAAATATTTTCCAATCGTATTGCTGTAAAGTGAAACACAAAATTTGCAAATCTCTAAATAAAAAATTGTGTATGCAAATTGATCTTAAAATTCAGAGGCCAATACATTAGTTTTAACTCTGGCAAAAAGCAGAATTTTGATGGTTCCATCTGGGTTTGTTTGCCAAAGAATGCGAGGGCTATCTGCCTAAGAGGATGAGTGCTTTCAGGAAGAACTTTCTTGGGGAAACTAGCTCATATCTCACACAAGGGAACTACAAAAATATCCTTGTAGCCAGCCTATTTGCCTGAAATCGAATTGCCAGTGTTAGTTTGGGCTACTAAAAAGTGCTGTACAATCAGTAACTGTGTGGATGGCAATGAAGACAATTTTGTGTATGAAAAGGACAGAAATTATAGTACTGAAAGTGATTAAGACACAATAACACGCCGAATAAATACTAATTCAGAAGTCAAACAACAAAAATCTATCTTCCTATCTTGTTCCTATCTTGTTCATTTGCGGTTTTGCAGCTGAAGATGGTGGTTCGGTGAGACCATCGAAACTAGTCCTGTGAAAATTTTGTAAATATAACGCTGATTTTTGTTGTTTGACTTCTGAATTAGTACTGAAAGTGATGATAATGTACATCCAGACATCCCAATGAGTTAAAGTGAATTTTATGAACTATTTGGAAAGTTGGATACTACTGACTCGGACTTTGAAAGTTTTATGTGATATTTTTTTCTTTTGACATAAAGGTTGAATTCAGAACACCTTTTTGGCAACATCAGATTTTTTGTTTTGGTTGGTTTGGTTTTATTGTTGAAATTATTTGTTGCATACATGAATGATATATATATTTTTAGTCTTTAACTATGAATTTTTCTGAAAATCAATAATACTTATTAAGACAAGCTTTTTTCATTTGCTCTGGTGGAAATTTCATGGCATCACAGGCAAATCCTACAAGTGCATATTTTAAAATAAAAAAAAGATAATATATATATATATACAAATGAGATAATCTTTTGGATGGGATTGTGAAAAAAACAATTATGTAGCAGTTGTAGTGAGGACAGAGATAGCTGATAACTTGAAACTTGCATAAATGGAATGATGGAGTTAATGGGGTAAGTTCAACATATAATTTATTAATTTTATAGAACATATCTGTGATGTAACACTGGAGCTGCTGTAAACGACCCACAATTTCTAAAATACGCAGCTTAAATTTTAAATTGTTGAAAAATGCAGTTAAGTGAGAGACGTGGCTTTCTTATGCATAAGCAAGCAGCAGAAGAGGATGTGTAATAGTTGCAGTAGTATTTCTAAGCTCGGAAAGTCTCTGAGCTCTGGATGGTGACTGGGCAAAAGCTTTTGTGATGCGAAATACTACAGGGGAGTGTGGATGCCTTGAAGAGGCTGTATTTATATTTTAAATCAGAAATTTAAAGGTCTGTTGTCAAAATTTGTTTAGTGATTGTCTTTCATATTTTATATTTTACATATACAGTATAAAGTCCGTAATCCGGACTCATCGGGACGACGATTCCGGATTATAGATCATCCATTTAAATCTGGTAAGATGGCATGCAAAAATTATACAATTAAAAATATGAAACTGTAATTTATGAAATAAAGAGCAATTATGATCTAAAGGGTATCAAAATTTACCAAAAAAAAAAAAGCTTAATATTTATTTGTTTACTTTATTAAACATTTCTTTCAATGTAAGTTGTTTAAGTTGCTTCGTTTTTTGTGCTAAACGTGCATGCGTTTAGCACAAAAAACGGAAAAAAAAAAATTGTGGCTTTGAGGTCCGGATAATGGACGTCCAGATTATAGACTTCGTACTGTATCTATGATGCAAAATAATTTTAAATCCATCCCATATTCAATCTAGAACAAACCATATTAAAAACAAAAGAAAGAAAAGTAGAGGAACAGGGGCGAATTTTATGATAGGTGGAAATTTTTTGCTCTACATACCTCTAGGAATTGGACTTTGCTTAAATATGTGGTCTGATAAAAATGCAGATTACTATGAAATTTCTTGAGATTGTGAGATTATTTTAAGTAGTAAACTTCATGGCTCAATTGGTTTAGAAACTGGCTGATGTATTTACTCCTTTCATTGCACCAACCCCCGATGATGATGCAGCAAAAGGTGTAAATTTCTTTTTTAGTTTTTGCATTTTTTCATATAGTTGTTGTCATACAGTTTGCTGCTGTGTGTGTGTGGTTTTTTTTTTTTTTTTTTCATATGGTTCATTTTTAATTGAATATGGGATGTATTTTAAACATATTATTTTAATTTATTTTGCATTATTACCACCACTTGTTCCTGCTTTTAGTGTGTAACTGGATTCAGTCTTAAACTCCTTTTTTCTTTGTATTTATTCATTTAAATATATATCATATATATAAGAAAAAATATGGAAATCAGCTTTATAATTTAATTACAGCTTTTAGTTCAATCCTCTCTATTCTAAAAATCATAATAACTTTTCTGAACTGCATCATTTCTAGATCAGTCTATGTAACATGGCTTGCGTAATGCTGAAGATGTAGCTAATTTGGAACTTCAACTCAACATTTTGAGGTCTGAAACTTTTCTAACATAAACCAAAACCTTCTTTTGGTGAGCTTCCATATTGGATAATTGCACACTTTTGCTTCTATATCTGTGCTGCTTGGATGCTATTTAATTATGCTCTGTTTCTATTGCAACAGTATCAAAAATGGAAATAGGCACAATTAGAGTGCTAAGTAAGTTGTGGCCACAAATGTCAATTGAAATAAAAATGAATATTTAGTCTTACTTGGCTGCCAAGTTTCCTATTCATTATGGATTCAACATTTTAGCATTCTACGCAACCAGAATTCTTCCTCTTTAACGTGGATCTAAGTTCTATGCTATTTACAGGCTGCACCATCAATTTATCTGCATTCCTACATCAAGTGCTTCTGAATTTGTTTCTATTAGACACACACACACACACATATATATATAATAATATAACACATATATATATACACATATATAGATATATATATATATATATATATACGGTACAAAGTCTTTAATCCAGACTCGTCGCGACTTCGGCAATTCCGGATTAGGGGTTTTTCTGGATTATAAATCATCAATTTAAATCTGGTAAGATGGCATGGCAGAAATTATAAAATTAAAAAATGAAACCGAATTTATGAAATAAAGAGATCTAAAAGGTACAAAATTTACAAAAAAAAAAACTTAATTTTATTTGTTTACTTATTAAACATTTCTTTCAATGTAAGTTGTTTAAGTTTCTTCGTTTTATGTGCTAATACTTTCTTTTATTCTATAAACAGACATATTTCTTGTTCAGTTACAAAGTTCCGCTGTTTAAGTCCCGTAATTGCTGCCAAGATATCGACTAACTTGTTAATCGAAATTTTTTCGTTTTCACTAACCACTCTGTCACCTTCTCATTCTTTATCCATTTTTTGAAGCAATTCCACTTTTGTTTGATGGACATCAAAAACATCTTCGTTTGTAGATCCTTTGGGAGCTCCAGCATCGGAAATTCTATTGACATAATCGAAAGTTCAAGTTACTTTTATAAAATTGCTCTTACAGTCTGCAAAAAATAATAAGCGGGAATCCAATTCGAAGATAAGGAACACGCAATCATTAACATTAACTGAAATAGATAATTTTAGCTTACACTGTCCATTATACATTAAACGTGCAGGCGAAAACGTATTCTGCACTGGCGCATGCGCAGAAAGTTTTTAGCTTTGAGGGCCGGATTATAGATCATTTCGGATTATGGGTGTCCGAATTAACGACTTTTGACTGTATAATGTGTAATATTTTGGGAGGCAGGAACAGGAATGACAAAGCTCAAGAACACGAAAAATGGGGCATACTCAATTTATAGTGCAGTTATATAACACGCCAAAATGTTCTCAAAAGTACTGGTCTAGGGAAAGATCCTAAAATTGCGGAAATTTAATTATAGGTTGCCTATTCATGCAGAGCAAAGTCATCATATTTTCTTATATTTTACATATATATCATATCACAGTTTGTCTATAAAACCCTTTGGAACATGAACTACAATAAAAAAATGTATATGAAAATGGTGATGCTGCTTATTAAAGATTGAATAATTGTATGCACATGGTTTCTAGTGTTTTGTATATTCTGAAAATTTGGTTAGTCTTACTAAGGTAGTTGGGATTATACATCAGTTCTAACCAGAACCATGCTTTCATCAAATATTCACCTGTTTGTTTCTATTTCTTAAAATTTGTCCTGAAATTTAAATGATATCTTATTTTTGAGTAAATATGGTATTATATATAATTGCATTTGGAAAAAGAAGAGAAAATTCTTACTGTCAAAATTTTTAGTTGTTAGGATGCATACTGATTAACAGTTAAAATAGATTTATTAAAGGTAAATATTAAATACTTTTTGCAAATGTAGAAAAATTATTTTTGAAAGTTTTATGTTTTTGTTGTATACTAAATATTTTTTAATGTAGAAAAATTTTTATATCTTAAAAAAAGGAAAACTGTATTTATATTTTTAATTTCTTGGCAGAAATTTGTTTCATAACCAATTATGTACAGAAAAGCAAATAAGTGCATTTTGCTGCTTAGAGGGATTTTTTATATGCCTGATATATTGATATTTAATTTTGAAATTTTAAAAGTAATTCACATTAAAAATTTTCTGTCCTTCATAAATTCCATTACAATTTACATGGCTAGTGTTTATAGGAAGTTTAGCATTTCATGTCTATGATAATTATAATAGGATATATTTTATTTTAAGTAGATAGTCCAGAGGACAAAGACTCCTCAAGAAATCAGAGAAGAATATGAGCAGCTACTCAAAGAAAGAGAAGAAAGAAGACTACAACAAAGAACAAATCCGAAAGTAATTTTCTTTCATTTTATTTTGGCTTAGTTTGGTTATTTAGCAGATAACGTAGTCTTGAAAAGAAAATTCATAAATTTATTAGAAGAAAATATCCAAATGTAATGTAATACAAAATCATTGTGGAATATTTAACGCTCTGAGGAATTCTGATTTTGGGATCTGTCAAGAAGATGTGTATTTAAACAGCATTTATTACCTAAATTTGTATAATTACTTATTTCAATCTCTTTTCATAAACGTATTGTTAAGATGACATTTTCATTATTAGAGGAAGTAAGGAAGCAAAATATCTTAAATTATAAACTAATATAATACCAAATGACAAAAATTCTCATGACTGAATAAAGCTAGTCATGCCACTCAGAGGTTTAAAAAATCAGTTTGCTTTTCCACAAATACATGAGTTCAAGAACAGATGTTAATTCAGATTGGTTTCATGTGTGATTTGAACAGAGCTTAAATTGTGGCGAAGCCCACCAGAGCCGGGCTGCGGTATTTATTAGTTTTTAGGATAAATTCTAATTCTAGCCGGAGCGCATCGGAGCCCTAACTAAGAAGGTTTCTGTACTTCTTTTATGGAATTGAACAATAATTTCGGTAGAGATTTGATCTCAAAAATTTTATTTTTAGCAATAAAATTATGTTAAAAATTGCTTATTAGATTTATTAAAATTAGAGATAAATTAAAAAAAGACAAAAAAGAAAATCTGAAAGGTTTCAGATTTTAAAAACGCCCCTTTGGACGTCCAAAGGGGCATTTTTTAAACATTTTGTGTGTTACCTTCACTTAGTTAATATCCTGTTCTTTGCACTTAAACCATAAAATTCAGTTCAAGATCAATATCGCAAAATAATTTTAAATTGAACATATCTTTAGTATTTCGATACACAGTCTCACGTGCTGGAGATAAAAATGTCTTTTCTGTACAACATTGCCATTGAAATCGCAGAGTTTGTTAATCAAAAATTCGTTAAAGTTTTACAAAATATGAAATCAATAATGAAACAAATTTCAAATTTGGGCTTTCAGATGCCCAAATTCGCAGTAGGATTATGTCATTAAAAATCTGATGTGCACACCACATGACCTCTTTGTATGGAGTATTAAATTATACGCATTTTTTCTTGCATTTCATTTAAACTTATTGGATTGAATTAAATCTACCTCGTCAACAACGCATAAACCACAATAGAATAAATGCATTCTTTGAAATTCACTCTATTGTTTAGCTAAGCAACTCTGTGGCTAGGTTCACTACAGTATTATATTTCGTTCATATTATAACTCAGAATGCACAAAAATTTATATCATCTTAAAGAACTCTCTAATCGTTGCCACATGTTCTATTCAAATACTGTAATAAAGCTAGAAACGATGTATAAAAGAAATTTAAGCAAACAAAACAAAAAAGGAAACAGTTTTTTAGAGACGATTCAGTATTTCTTCATTCAATTAATTCAGTTTCTCACTTTCGCGACAAGGCAAAAATACATAAAAACTCAAAATATCCGTAATTGAAAATTACTGAAGTAAATCTTAAGCATGCTTATTTCCTCGAATAAATTCCGGAATGGATTAAGCATGATTTAATTCGCAATCACAAAAGAAGGCGTTAAATTTGTTCTTGCGAAGCTTTACTTTCTCTAGATTGGCAACCAATCTAATATTGTCAGCTGTTTCAAATGTAAACAAACAATGGACCGTCATGGCAAAAATAATTAGGCTAAGCGGCACTTAAACACCTTTTAAAATTGTTGATAATTCTAAAAATGTTGCATGCAGATTTACTAAAGGCATAAAAACCTCAACCAGAAGATAAGAACAACATAATTCAATCATTTTTAAAGCAAAAAATGTACAATTTACAAATATATAAGAGCAAAGAAACTGAGCCAAGTAACAGAGTGGATATATATATAAATATATTTATATACGTTTGGTACAGCCGATTGCAACCAATATAACATCTACATGTTATAACAGTGCTATATGCAAAATTTCAGTGTTCTGAGGCTACTCGTTTTTGAGTTATGCGAGATGCGTACATACGTACGTTCGTACGCGCGATACGTACCTACAGTCGCTACGAAAAAATCTCTTCAGAATTCATTTTAAAAGCAGTTTTATAAATTTTTTTGGAGGAAAAGAGTTTTTATTCTGTCTTTACGTACAGATATCACGCAAAAAATCGTTAAATTGCATTTGATAGCGGTCAAAATGGAATATTTTGGCTGAAATATCATACGAAATTTTTCGCGATTATAATACTTCCTTTTTACTGCGTACAAGGAAGTAAAAGCAGGAATAACTTTTGTTAACTTTTGTTAGAATATAATTAACATTAAAACATAAGGACAATAATTATCTCAGCAATTTCTGAAAATATAATACAGGGCGATAATTCGGTGGCAACAGTTTGAAAAGTGAAATGGACATTCAAGAGGATTTGGACACAAAATCACAAATGAAAACAAATCCCTCAGGGACTTTGGACTAATGGCCTCCGGCCCAGGTACCCTGGTGTACCGAAGCACTGTTCTACCAGGAGACGATTTGGACTAATAATCTACTATTTAAAATCACCAAAGAAATTAATTTTAATAGATTTCTTTAATTATTAAGCACTTTAATCATTAATTATTTTAATAATTAATTATTTTATTTATTTATTTATTCTTGCTCCTCTTTCCTGAGGGTCTACGGTAGGGCTACGGCTCTTGTAATTTTAGAAATTAAGACCTGGATTAGAATCATTTTAAGTCAATAGAGTCCTCTAAACTTCCAAGAACCATAACCTGGATAACAGGTTAATAAATATTTCATTGTATGTTTAGGTTTTTAGTTTTGAATAGAAAATATTCTTTATTTTTATAAAGAATATTTTCTATTTGATATTATTGATATGGATCAGTTTTGGTACATTTCAGTTTTTCCTAAACTACTCTCATTATGTAAATTTCTTTTATTTATGGGGCACTTTTTTTATTTTTAAACTCATAGTCAGACGTTAACAAAAGTTTAATCAAGTTCCAAAATTTGAGATCCTGTGCCCTCAGAATAGTTTTAATAAATTTTGGAGGATGATGTACTTCTTTTGAAATACCAACATTTCACTATCAATCGATCTGTAGTTTTGCAGAAGTGATATTGATGCATATGCATAATAAGAGTTGCATGATAATCTGTGATTAAATAGAAATATCGGATTTGAAGACCCAGAGGGAAAAACCATTTATGTTCATAAACTTTTAATGATGAAGAAAATATTATTATAAATTCATCAAAAAATCTGTAATAAACTTTCAAGTTTATTTAATGAAATTTGCATTATAAATGAATCCAGTTTTTTAGGAAGCATGTCATTCTTTGCTTTTTCTTTCTTGAATAATCAAATTTGAAGTTTAAAATAAAAATATCTCTGAATTTATCATACAAATCTAGAATGTTCGTTTTGTACATGTGATGTCATTTCGCAGTGTTCTGTTCTTCTGGCATGTATATTGTCTTACTCTGTTTTAAGGAATAATTCTCCTCTTGAGAAAGTTGATAAACTCATTTATTTTAGAGATAATTTCTTCAGGAATTGTATGTTTTCATCTGTGATCTACTGGTTCTTTTTCATCAATAAACAACTCAACATTCTCTTTTTGAATGGTGTGTAAGACACCTGGGTAAACCCTACTCCGAATCGAAAAATACAAAGCTTCAAAATAGTATCTCAACTAACTTAAGACTGATTACAATAAAATTACATATCAACTACAGCTCATGGGAGTGTACCTAAACAGAATAGTCAAATTCATGTTAAGATGTAGAATAGTAGCCAAAAAATGCAGAGCTAAATAGTTCCAACTTATCAAACTGGCAGGAACTAAATGTAGTTTGCACACACAGACCAGAAACACGCTTTGTTTTACTATCCAAAAACTTCAGTTTAAATACTAGCTAACCTCACTTACAATCTGGTGAGAAAATGGGAAGGAGAAGTTACGGTGAAGGCTGTAAATATGAACAACTTGTTAATTTAAATAATAACCTTAAAACATAAGACCTAAAAATGAGTATCTTATACTTAATAACTGCTATACTATCTAGAGAAAAGCAACTGGAGTAATGAAAAAACTTCTAGAATGTCATCAATGATTTTGCGAGCAGAAAAACGAACAAAGTAAATAACACTTAAGAATGTTGGTATTAAAGTGTTATTTCAAAAATTAATGCAGATCTTTTATCTATTTCTTTTATGTTATTTTGCTATGTTACAGGTCTAATTTTCTCATGCATTTAGGGGGGTTGCAGGTGGACCATGCTGGGCAGCAAAAGCTGTAACTGCACCACTGCTAACTGAATATTTTAATCAAAATTTTAACTCAGTATTTTAAATCGAAAACTGAATTACTTTTGACTTACTACATTTAAAAAGTTTCCTGCAAACTAGCATGTAAAACAGCACTGCTAATGATATAACGTGAATTACTACAACAATGAATTGGAATTTTATATTATCTAAAATTATTAGCATAAATGCTTCATTATTAAATTTAAATAAAGTATTAGTAACTATTCTTGTATTACCTTAATAAAAATTATATTGTAAAATGAATTATTAAATGACTTACTATATGAATTTTAGTTTATTGTTAAAATTACATTTTGTTCCATTTGGAAATACATCAGTTTTGTACTAATGAAAATTTTTTTCAAACCATAAATTATTGACACAGCAGTATAATGGATAACTGTACACTTTTTTAGGGTACCATAAGTGTAGGTGTTAATGCAACAGATCTGTTTGAAACCTATGATATAGATACTGGGTAAGAAGAAATTTTTATTTTTAATAGAAAGCATTTTTCAATTTTGAGCATATAATTACTGTTAAACTGCATCTTGTTGGATTCTTTAAATTATATTGAAACTTAATTGTTTTTTTTTTTTTTTTTTTTTTTTTTGTTTTCCGCCTTTGTAAATTGCAATAGCGTTTTAACTCAGGGTTGCCATGCTATTAGGAAAAGCAACTTAATTCAAAAATTGACCAAAAAAGTCAGGGAAAAGTTATTAAATATTTTAATAAAAATTTAAATATTTTAGTCACGGAGTTTCATACTGTGATCCCCAAAAAAGCGATTTTCATGTAAATAATTTTATTAATACTTGTGTTTTGACCAACTGCACCAACAAGATGGAATTTTTGAATGATCAATGTTTACTCTAGTAACTGTTTGAATTATTTAGAACTATTTCTCAGAAAATGTTTATATATATAAATGCTGCAGAAATTCAAAGTTTGGACATTTTATATTTTTATCAAAGGTAGGCATAGCTTTTAACATTTAAAAGTATCATCATAATTATATATATTCTGAATTATTACTTAATATTATAAACAAGAAGCTTCTTTCTCTTCTTCTTTTTTTTTTTTTTTCTTTTTTTTTTTTTACTTACTTGGTGTATGAAATATTATAAAATGAAATTGAATGAAATAGCACATTTAAAAATTTTTCTGAACATATATCTAATTTTTAGACCGTTTACTAAATAAAGTATGGGGAATCTCATTTTCTAATATTCAAATCATTAAACTTCATATTCATTGATATTTTTTTATGTAATATATTTGTTCTATTTTGTATAAAATTTAGCCTTGGATATGAATACATTTAATCTCTTCTATGCTATGGCTGCCTTTTTTGAAAAATTATGTCTTTCAAATAAGAGGTTTTTTTAAATCTTACCATTTTTTAAATAAAAAAGTATTTTAAACTTAAATTTGTTTGAATCTTGGCTTATAAAACACTAGAAACTTTTAAAAAAATCTTTATGTCAAAGAGTTTTAAGTTTTTTTAACCCTTTGCGACACGCATATTTAAAATATATTTTAATCTTTAAAAAAATGCCTTAGAATAAGTCAGATGGACTTACTTAAGTGCCTTTAAGGCTTGAAAAAAATTCTGCGCTTTTATTTTTTACGGTGGAAGGTGGGATACCGTTTGTCCCCGTTGTCCCACCATGCAACTAGCACATGTCTTATAGCATATTGGTGTATAGCAGGGAAAAAAAAAAAATCATATGTGGAATGAATAAACAAAATAAAGCGTGCATTCTAAAATATTCATAATAAACACACTAAAATGCATTTTGTACTTATTGCATATATGCATGACTTGTAAAATTTTGCATATGCACATTTTGCATATAGTATATTTAATATTTTTAAATTTTAGGAACAAAAGAAAATATTTTCTTGAATATTATTTTAAGATTAAAATTTGATACTCGTACATATGATACTAAATAAAATATTAAAATTGGCACTTGATTCAAAAACATTTATATATGATTAAAATTGAAAAAAAAAAAAAACATTTTTCATGAAACTTTGAAAAACATGTTGTTTCATTCTTTTGTAAGCATAGAGGCACTTCACATGTTTCACACATCCAAAATGTTCGTCGTTCTTCTTTCGATATGCTGCAATATGCACATCTTCTCCTGCTCGTTCTCTTTGGCGTTTTAGTGTACTTACATTTTTTAGTCTCTTTTCTGGTTGTACGAACGGGTTTTTTAGTTTTTATTTGAACTGGGGATTTCAGTTTTCTTTTCAGCTCTTTCTTGCCTGCAAGTGCCATTAGACCTTCTATAACTGAGAGAAGAAAAATCTTTCATTGTTTTTACATCATGATCAGGTTTCGCGAACAAACTTGAATAGAATAAATGTGTTTACTATACTCGCATCTAAAAAGTAAAAAAAAAAAAAAAAAAAAAATCATGTGCCACCATTTCTTGCTTTTGCGGTCGGTCTATTTCATATAGTCCTTTCAGTTGATCAATCAGTCGACATATCCCATATTCTTATTGTATGAAATAATGCTGTTTGGGCACAGTACTTTTTTTTTTTTTTGTCTTTCCATCTCGTTCTTTTCTATTAATTTCTTTCATTTCAGTTGCCTTTTCCAAGCAAGACAGGATAGAAAACGGATCTTTTATCCTTCCATTTTATGCAATAAATTGAATCATCGCTAACTGAAAAGTCTATATATTCTCTTGACATAAATTTGTCTTTTAAATTTTGGGTAGATACTTCCGATTCATATTTACAGTGCCACATGCATAGATGCATCTGTGTCTGTCTTTAAAAAGCGAAACAAATTATAACTACTTCCCTTTCTTCTTCAGCAATAACTTCAACCTCAGTTATTCTCTCCTGGATTTCAATTTCATCTGAATCAGAAACTGACATCTGAAGCATTTGAGTCGCAATCAGGATGGCAATTCAGCAAAAAGATCCAAAAGCTTCCTGAGTTGTTAATTTTTTTTTCTAGACATTTTAGCACATCAGAGCATACGGAACGTGTAAAAGCGCGCGCAATCACGAAAAAAGTAGATGCAAAAAAGAAAAAAAAAATAATCGTGAGTGCTGCCATCTATTGAGCGGAAATTCAAGTGTGTGGTGGGACAAATTTTAACCCACTTATTTCAACTGCAAAATTAATGTTATAAAATATTGAATCCAATTAAGATTTTTGAAAATAAAATACCTTTGAATATTAAAAAAAAGTATCATACATATCATAAATTGTATACCAAAATTTTTAAAATATTGAAAAATGCGAGATACATGGATATCACTCTTGTGATCCTATTTTGAATATTTTTTGCTTATAAACTTAAGCCCTGGTATAGTAGTAACATATACTGAGAAAAATAATAACTAAAATAGATTATTTTTAAAAGATTAGAAAATTTCTAACGGAAATTGCTAACTGAGAAAATAAATATTAATTAGGTAGGACATATATTGACCACCATGCCGCAAAGATTTAACTCAGTTCGCAGATGGCATCAACTCATGTTTAAAAAGCCAACTTTTTTTACTTAATTTAAAAGGTAATGAAAGACTGAGAAGTAATGAAATTATAGCCTAATGGCTTCACAGGTTAACTATCATGTGAGCTGACTCTGCCTTGAAAGTTGGCATAAACAAGCCTAATTAGGCTAACTATAAATTAATTAGAAAACTAGAAAAAATAACTTAATCCTATAAGACACAATGCTGGTATAAAATGATAGGATTCAGATGTGTAAGAAAGGATCAAAAGGTCCCTTCAGAAAACTAAAAATAAGGAGGAAAGTTTGAGCAGCTTTGTAGGTGACATAGCTCAGTAGCTTTCCAGATTTCTGCTGAATTGCGCATGCCATGCGACGCTAAGTTGCTCCATTTTTCCAGGCTGGATCCCATAATTTTCGACAGTTGTGCATGTAGTCAAATATGCAGCAGTCTGAAAATCACCCTGCATGTCATATTAAAATTGTTTTAAAAGCATTTTATAAAAGTCTTTTAATAATATTTTGTATTATTCATTAAAACTAAAAAACCATTATTTCAGCGGTAACCGCTGAAGAGCATGTAGTCTGAATTATAAAAATTTATAAATATTTTAAACTGATTTTATAATTTTTCTAAATTTTTAGTGTGTGCATACAGTTTGTAATAGATTGAATGCACAAGTCCGATATTAGATAATAAAATTTATTTTTATCAAAAGAAATATTTCAGAACTCTAGAATGTTCCACTGAAATATTTATACAGGTGTTCACAGTATCACACAGTGTAATCAGTAGTTACAACTCAAACTACTTTACACAATGCAATTCAAAGCGCATCTAAAGAGAAAGCTAATCCAATCTCACGCTGAACTCACAACAATAACAACGACAGCTAACTAAACAACTGAGAGCAGATGCCCTCTCTTTGGGCGTAAATAGGTTTCAACCGGCCGTGAGATATTTCTAGTACTTTCTGCTTCTCCAAATTACTGGAAAGCAATACGAGGGTGGAATAACTGTTACAGCTAACATAGTGGTCAATTACATTTATTCAATCTTAATACAAATTACTGAGATAACATTGAGATTTATCAATGTTAAATGCATATGCCCCTGTATTCTTACTTTTCTGGTATAGCCTTCCCTTTTTATAATATTATTTTATCCTTTATAAAATTTATCTCACGCTACAGTCTTATGCTATCAGATTTTTTTCTAACTTCTCATTGTATTATATTTACAAATTATAGTATTGTATTCTCAATAATTTTCACATGAATTGTTATTGAAAAAATTTTGCACTAATCATAATTTTCAGTTGGAATAATAATGATAAAATTATCATTTAACATATGAATTTGTTCCAGTTTTCCAGCTGTTGAAATTAGTTCTATGTCAATATCTCAGTCTGTTGAAGCTCCCATAAGTGTTAAAGACACTTTATCTTTGAGTGGTAATCTTAATACACAGAATGGTACAGGCAGTGGAAATATAGCTTGTTCTTGGAAAAATGTTTTTTCAGCTAGTAGCTGGATGGAGGTAAATAATTTTTTTGTATAAATATATAAATCCTATTGTCTAGTAGGATGAATGCTTAAATAATAACTAACTTGTGTAAATAAGTTTTTAGCTGAAAGAATTATATTTGGATATTAAGAAGTGAAAGAGTATGACTAAAGGTCTAGTGTGGGCAAAGAGCTATATGGCTGTATTAATATAGAATAAGAATTATTGAATATATCAATACTTAAAATATAATTGATGAATTGCTAGAAAAAAAATTAAAAACCTTTTTCTTAGTGGTCATCTAATTTAATGAAAAATTATTTTAATTTTAAAATATTCCATATAATGTTTCAGCAGTCTGATGTTCTACTTTTCTCTCCCAATGAATATTTTTTAATATAATTTTAATTTTAAATATTTTGCTTTTGAAATGCAGAGGAAATGATGTAAAATTCACAGATTTATTAAAATATTAATAATTTTAAATTGTTATGTTTGTTTAGTTATTTATTGCACTTCAGTACTAAGTGTGATTCAGACATTACAGGTATGTAAATACTTTCTTAGTGGCCCTAACTGAAAAAAATCACATTATCATCACTAGAAAATTGAACGAGAGTCTTGAATGAAGACCATGCTGTCTAGTTTTTTCTAATTTTTATTGACATCACCCGCAGAAAGCCTATTATACTGAAAAATCTAACCATAATTAATCTGAGAACAGTAATTAATCCAAAATTAACAATAATGCGTAATTAATCCTAGAACAGGAAATAAAACTAGCCTAGTAAGCAAGAAAATCTGCTACACCCAAAATCTAAAGTCCATTTTTCCATAAACGTTTGCCACAAGGCCTGCTGGGAAAAGAATTCAGACGACGATTGATCACGGCGTCTGATCACATGATCATTTTATTTTTAACAACTTGCCCCCCCATGAACCACAGGGGGTTCATCAAACTTGTATATAAACAGTATAAATTCATACTACAAAAAACATTCGAGTTCTAGACACAAGAAAAAAATATATATCATCTAAATAACTGAAAATTCAAATGAAACATTAAGTAATTTAAATATAACATTATCAAATTCAAAAAAGCAATATTCACTTTTTTAGAAGATTATTCAATGGCCCCCTATAAGAGCATACCATGACTCTGTGAAAGTAAGTATACTTTTAAATTACTTGAAATTTGTGCTTGGAAATTATTAGAATTACAAATTTTAACAGAATAATTCAAAAAATAATAAACAGCCATAAAAAGATATACTCACAATACATATTTGTAAATTAACACTGACGATTAACACTTTAGCTCTGAGGTTCTAAATTGTACAAAAGTTGTACAGGGCGTCTGATAACCGATGACTCGGTTTTTACCTTGCAAGCCTTCACCTTGCCATCTCTTCCAGGAAATAACTCGAGGATTCTCCCTAATCTCCAGAAATTTCGGGGTAAATGATCCTCCTTAACTAAAACTATTACTAAAACTAAAACTGAAGTCTCCCTGAACAATGATATTCTTTTCCCTAAAAGGAAATTAGCATGTGGAGTTAAAGCATGTGGTTCATCCAAGTCACTTCCAACACAGGAAATTGGCTGAGAGTTAATCATACCTTCAATTTCGATAAGAACAGTTTGCAATTGCTCAGTGGTTAGAGATGACTTTCCAAAGATTTTCCGTAGAGCGACTTTCACGGAACGCACCATGCATTCACAAAAACCTTCCCAGTAGGCCACTCTTTCCACAATATACTTCCATTTAATTCCGTTGGCAGCATAAAATGTTTTTACTTCGGGATGATTCATTACTGACCAAATTTATTTCAGCTCAAGTTCAGCACGTTTGAAAGTACGTGCTTTGTCAGAAAAGATCACAGAACACACGCCTCTTCGAGATACAAAATATCGGAAGGCAAGCAAAAATGCATCTGCCGTCATATTACTGACTAGTTCCAGAGGAACACTTCTTGTAACAGCACAGGTTATCAATAGAATATATTGTTTGTTTTTACTATCTTTCACAAATAACAGAGACCAGTATGATCAATCCCAATTACTGTAAATGGGGCTGATTGTTCCACTCGAAGAGCTGGTAATAGAGCAACCATCTGGTCTCCTGGAGAAATGCTGAATCTTTTGCAAATAACACATTTACCTAGAAGAGATTTTATAACTTGTCTGGCCTTTAGTCTCCAGTATTTTTCTATCACCTGCACCAACATATGAGATACGCCGGAGTGAAATGCTTTATTATGGGATTTCCAAATCAGTAATTGAGTTTAGATTTTGACGGTAGTATAAAAAGGTGGTTTTCATCCCTAGATAAATGAGTTTTCTCAAGCCTTTCTATCACTCGCAATACACCTTCCTATTCCAAAAATGGGTTTAAGCACAACAACATAGAGTCTTGGTAAAGGCTTGCCATTCTTCAAACAATTAATTTCTTCAGAGAAAAAGTCCCTTTGCTTTAACCCAGAACTGTTCAGCACGATTATATTCTTCAGTAGTAAGAGCACTCATTGTACTAGTTTTCCTCTTAAGAACATCAACAAACCGCAATACCCAAGAAATCACCTTCAGTAGTTTGTGTAAGCAATTAAACTTATTAACATCAATTATCTGTTTGTAAACAATTGCAGAACTAATTATAGCAGAAGATTTATATTCAGCTTCAATCTCCTGGTCTATTGAGTCATATTCAAATCTCTTCAGCTGGGGCCAAGTATTCTCTGGGTACAATAACCATTTTGGGCTCTGCCACCATTTTTTTTGAAGTTAGCAAATCTTTACTAGTTAATCCTCTTGTTAACAAGTCAGCGGGATTTTCTTTACCTGTTCACAGTCTCCATGCACTGGGATCTGTAGTTTTATGAATTTCTAATACAGTCAAAAGTCGTTAATTCGGACACCCATAATCCGGAATGATCTACGATCCGGACCTCAAAGCTAAAAACTTTCTGCGCATGCACCGCGTTGGCACATGCGCACAGGCGTTTTACGCGTGCGCGTAAGACCTTGACTACTGCGCATATGCGTGTGCGCAAGTGCAGAATACGTTTTCGCCAGCTCGTTTAATGTATAACGGACAGTGTAAGCTAAAATTATCTAATTATCTATTTCAGTTAATGTTGCAGATTGCGTTGTTCCTTAATCTTGGAATTGGATCAGGCTTATCATTTTTTGCAGACTGTAAGAGAAATTTTATAAAAGTAAACTTGAACTTTCGATTATGTCAAATAGAATTTCCGATGCTGGAACTTCCAAAGGATCTACAAAACGAAAGTATGTTTCGATGTCCAACAAACAAAAAGTGGAATTGCTGCAAAAAATGGATAAAGACATGAAGAATGTGACAGCAAGGTTAGTGAAAACGAAAAAATTTCGATTGACAAGTTAGTCGGTATTCTCGGCACAGCAATTAACGGGACTTGAACAGCGGAACTTAGTAACTGAACAAGAAATTATGTCTTTTTATAGAATTAAAGAGAGAGTATTATCACATAAAATGAAGCAACTTAAACAACTTACATTGACAGAAATGTTTACTAAAGTAAACAAATAAATATTAAGCTTTTTTTTTTTTTTTTTTTTTTTTTTTGTAAATTTTGATACCTTTTAGATTATAATTGTTCTTTATTTCATAAATTACGGTTTCATATTTTTTAATTTTAGAATTTCTGCATGCCATCTTACGAGATTTAAACTGATGATCTATAATCCGGAAAAATCGATAATCCGGAATCGCCGAAGTCCCGACGAGTCCAGATTAACGACTTTTGACTGTACTCTGTTTGAAACAAATTGCTTCCACTTAGATGCTGTGCCTTTTATCCAGTGTAACACAATTGTTGAATCACTCCATAGAATGATATTTTCTAAAATTTTAAAAGGATTTTTACAATATTTGGCTAATCTTGCTGCAATTACTGCACCCATCAATTCTAGTCGGGGTAACGTCACCTTTTTAATTGGCGCAACTCGTGATTTGGAAGGTATGAAGCTAGTTTTAAAAGTGCCATACGATGTCTTGTACCTAAAGTATGCAACTGCTCCAAAAGCTTTTAATGAAGCATCAGAGAATATATGGATGTGTAAATCTTCTTCCCTCTTCAGATTTGTGCCAGGAAAATAATGTCGAGGAATTTTCAAATTTTGAAGTTCTTTAATTTCATTACACCATGCATGCATGCCATTTTTCTTTAATTTCTCCGAAAAACATCTCATCCCATTCTACCCCTAACTGCCACAGCTCTTGTAATATGACATACACTTCACTCGAACATGTATAACATACACTTCACTCGAACTAGAAATGGAGAGATAAGTCCAGATGGATCGAATATTTTTATGGCTATGTGTAGTACGTTTTAATACATTCATTACCATCCAACGTGGATAAGAATGACCTTAAGTCTAGACTTAATGTGTCTTCAATATTATTCCAACTGAGTCCTAATACTTTTAAATCAGAATCAGAATATTCATTTATTTTGATTATTGAATTAGAATTCTTCTATAAATCTTTCATTTCTTTAGAGTTAGTGCCAAATTTTCTCATTTCATGTTTGCATCCTTTAAAATCAAAACAGCATCACAAGATAACTCATAAGCTTCTTGAACAGTGGAACTTCCATGAAAAAGATCATCCACATAAAGAGAACTATTCAACATTTCATATGCAAGAGGTTTCGTTATTCTTGTAAGTATTAATATGAGTTTTAAATGTTGCAGCCAAAATGTAAGAACTAGTGACACCAAAACAATGTCTATTAAAATGATACATGGTTATCGGTTGGGTTTTGTCGTAGTTTTTACAATACAGGAAACATAAATAATTCTGGTCATCTCTCGTGACTTGAATTTGAAGGAATGCCCTCGCAATGTATCCACAGAATCCAATTTTATGTTCTCTAAACTTCAAAATAATATCTAAAAATTAGCATTTAAATTCTTTCCAGCAAGGAGACATTCATTAAGACTATTACAACTTCCTTGTTTACTACTGGCATCATAAACTACCCTAGTTTTAGTACTAGAAGAATATTCCGTGAAAATTTCTTTATGAGGCATTACATATCCAGTGAAACAACTATTGTTACACATTTCAATAACTCCTTCATTTAGTTGTTCCTTCAATATTATTATTATAATTGATGAGCATTATATCTCTCAAATAATAACTCATCAGCCTTAAACTTCTTTTCTAATGCAGCAAATCTTTTAGTCGTAATTTCTAAATTACTAGACAGATTTTCTCGTAAAGCCTCAGACTTCCATAAAAGTGGTGACTTGTACCTTCCATTTATAAACCATAACTGCATTTCGAATTCTGTAATATCATCCGAGATTTTCTCTTTTCCATTCTCAAGAAAATAGGATTCAGAACTCCACAAACATTCCAAATCATTTTCTACCGAAGTACATGCAATCTTCAAACAGGAAGTAGAATTATGCAGATGATTTTCCGGAATCTGCCTTGTGATATTATCACAGAATAATGTCTATTGAAAATATAAGTTTTTATTTATTTTTTAACTTCCCCGATTATTGTCGAAAACGTAAAATCGGTGCCTAAGAGTACCTGGACTGGTTTGTTATCTTGTAATGCTTCAGAAATTTCAAAGCCACATGGAGTTAAATCTTTTAATAATTCACGTTTGATATTAGAATACATATGAACTCCACTGATTTCATCAGATACTAAAGTGTGAATATCTATGCTAGAATAAGGAGGATATTTGCTTCTAAGAGTTATATTATTGACTTCAAAATCCTTTTCATAAGGGTTATGTTTTGCGAAAGTATAAAATAAAAGCCTTTCTTTCTTTAAGGGAATTGAAAGCCCTTTCTAAATCTTTTCGAATAAATGATTTCTGCGAGCCCGAATCAAATAACATCAATGAACCGTTTAAAATTATTTTCAATTATTATCAAGTTCTTAACCGCTTAAAATTATTTTCCACTTGTACGCAAGCAGTCTGAAGTAAAGTAGTGTAATTTTGTACATAGTTTTGTGACTTAAATACAGAAGACATAACAGCTTGTTTATTAGAACTTTGAATAAGTTCAGCCTTTACTGACGGTTTAATTTCTGATGTATGTTTATTCCTTGTTATGGGGCAGAATAATGAATTATGCTATAAACTCTGACAAATTTCACAAGGTTCTATTTTTACTTTACATTGCGAAATTAAATGTTTGTTAACCAAACATCTATAACAGCATCCCTCTTTTTTTAGTTTGTATCACTTTTATTCATCAGTAAACGTTTTATACTTTAATCTGGAATGAGAATTAGAATTACAAAAGTTGCATGTTTTCACTACCGTATTTAATGCAGCTGGTGTTGGAATATTGGTTTTAAATCTAGCCTGAGGTTGAAAGTGATCCTTTCCTTTTAAAGGTTCCCATGTCTTTACAGAAAGCCCAGAATCAGTTCTTGCAGCTTACCTACATTCAGTTTCATGTTTGATAAAATTCATTAGCTGATTTATATCACTAGAATTTTTAGGATCTTTTTTGTGATAAAATTCTATTACTAAATCGTGAGGTAATTGTTTTAATAAAATTAGTATAAGCAAATGAGTGTAATTTCCGGATGCAACTCCCATAGAATTTAAATTTCTTATACTAATTTCACTTTCTTTATACAATTTTCGAAGCGCAAGGAGATTTTGAAAAAAACTTAACTGGCTCAATTTCGAATAATTTATTCATGAAACAACTAATCAAATGTTCTTGATTACCGTATCGCTCCTGTAACAAATTCAAACAGGATTTATAATTTTTGTCTGTGAGCGCAAATCCCGAAACAATTTTGTAAGCTTCACCTGAAAGAAAAGATTTTAGATATATGAACTTCTCAACATTACTTAATGAATCATTAGAGTCAATTGCACTTGAAAAACTATTGAAGAATTCTTGAAATAAACTAGAATCGTCATTAAAAGTGGGAATATGAAATTTAGGCAAATTTATAGAAGATGATGTATTGCAAATATTCGTGTTACAAATGTTAACATTTTGAGAAGATTTAAATTGTTCACTTTCATACCTTTTTAAGTTTGTTTTAATTTTGAATTTAATATTACTTATAGATTCATTATACTCGAGTGAACTTCCATTTCGAACATTATACTATCTTGAATTAGGTCTTTGATTTTCAAGTTTAAAGTTAGAAGTTCATTCTGTTTTTCTTCAAAACTTAACAAAAATTCCGACAAATTCTCCTGAATGTTTTCATCTTTATGAATATCCAGACTAAGAGTCAATTCAAGATTCAAAATAAGAGTCAATTCTAGTAATTAATTTCGTGCAAGCACTTCTGATAACCTTCCTCTTGTATTTCAACTTATCAAGAGTTTCCATTTTATACATGAAACCAAATTAAAAATAATAACAATTCAAGTGATAAAAAAACTATTAAATTACAAAGTTATAATACTTGCAATCCAAGTGTTCAAATTTTAGCCTAGTGCAATCCGAAAGAAATAAGCCTTCTCGGGTTTTGGCACCATGAAAAAAATCACATTATCATCACTAGAAAATTGAACGAGATTCTTGAATGAAGACCATGTTGTCTAGTTTTTTCTGATTTTGATTGACATCACACACAGCATATTATACTGAAAAATCCAAGCGTAATTAATCTGAGATTAACAATAATGTGTAATTAATCTGAGAACAAGAAATAAAACTAGCCTAGTAAGCAAGAAAATATGTTACACCCAAAATCTAAAGTCTATTTTTCCATAAACGTTTGCTGCAAGGTCTGCTGGAAAAAGAATTCAGACGACCGTTTATCACGGCGTCTGATCACATGATAATTTTATTTTTAACAATAACTAACTTAACCCACCGGATATTAACAATGCAAATATATTTATTCTTATAAATAAAGAGAAGTTTAGAAAAATTACTTAAATTTTGAGATATTTGAGCATTTCTATGGTTTTATGGTGTTTTTTAATTGAAATTAGGCAAACTCGCCCAATTATTGTGTATACATATAGTTTAAAAAAAGTATTATACGAGTAATTCATCATTCTTGTTTACCAAATGAAATAATGAAAATTTTAAGAATTTGTCTTCTGTATTTGATAGATTATGATCTAACTGAAGTAGATAATTAGATAATTTTAGCTTAGCTTGCACCGTTATACATTAAACGCGCATGCATAAATGCATATGCACATGCATAAAGGTATTATGTGCATGCGTTAACGCATGCGCAGAAAGTTTGTAGCTTTGAGGTCCGGATTATAGATCATTCCGGATTATGGACATCCAGATTAAAGACTTTTGACTGTATATATTTTTATTTTTTTGCTTATTATTTCTATTTGACAATTAAGTAACTTGAATTATTGAGTATTTTAATGGTCAGTTTATAAGAATTTTATAAAATATATAAAAGAATTTTGTACTGAAAAAAGAGTAAAATTGTTCAGTAAACTGTAAAGATTAATTTAGATGTCAAGCTACAAAAATCAGCGTTATATTTGCAAAAGATTTCAGATTATTATATATTAGTTTAATACTTTTGTGTTATGACAAGTATCTAAAAATTATTTGCATGCCATTTGTAATATTTTATGCAGCACCAAATAAGTTAGCATTGTAATCTGTAAGTAATTCTGCTTGAAAATGTGTGATTGCTTAGGAAAATCATCCTGCACATCAGTGATAAAATATTAGAAATATCCATGCACATGGTATAACACCAGTTTTTATATAACTATTTATATAAATTAATTTTTTATGCAAATTGATTTTGATAGATAATGTTTCTTTACAGTGTGGAATTGGTGCTGGTAATGGTCTTCTACTTTCAGTCAAAGGTTACCGCACTTTTACAAAATTATGGTAAGATGAAAGTTGATGTATTAAATATTTTTATAACTATATTAATCATATTGTAATTGATTGTATATGTAGTATGTTTTTTTTTATTCATGTGAAAATATTAGAAATATATAATAATAATATGGCTTTGTATCTTGCTATTTTAAAATTAAAGTGCATAATTTTGCTAGAAATTCTTTATTTTCAAGTCTGTAAGCAGCTTAGAATTTATATACCTTTCTGCTTATATTTTCATTTTTGGTACTATATGGTTTTGAGGGCTGTAAAAAATCGCCAAACTATTGTTGATACCAAAATAAGTGCTGCCAAAAATAATTGTGGCAACCCTAACGCAAGAAAGAAAGTATAATAGTAAATAACTATCTAAGATTGATGTTTTAATTTAGATGAAAGGTTAATTTCACATAATACTTTTTATTATTATTATTAATTAAATAAAGGCTAAACATGACTGATGGAAGCATAAGAGTAAAAAACTAAAAATACTATTTAAATTATTATATAATTTATATGAAAATTGCTAAACATAACTGAATGGATGCCTGCATCGCTATTTTGCTACCGAGTTATTGCTAAAGCATAGTTTCATCTCATTGGTTGTTCAAACATAATTTTCTATAATGAATGATGCCTTTTCTTTGAAAAAAAATTCTTGGTAAAGTGCAGAATCGCCCACTTATTTGTTTGCCACTTTTTACAAGGGTTAAAAACAATTGGATTTTTGTCAATTTTCTTTTACTTTTTAAATGAAAATAGGTCGATGTGTACATAGCTAAAGTCAAGAAGGTGCGCAGTGCCATTTTTGTGCAATTTGGGAATTTTTTTTAAGTGAAAATAGGTCGATGTGTACATGGATACCGAATATGTGCAATTCTTAAAAACGTGTCAAGCAGTGGGTGATTCTACACTTTACCCAAAATTCTATTGCACGCTTTTCATCATGGGCAATTCCCAAATTGTTAAATCCATAGGATATCAAAAAAAGAATCTAAAATCAAAAAAGGATTTAAAAATTAAACTAGTATTTCAGCAGCGTCTTAAGAAATATTGAACTATATAAACTTATGCAATCTGAAATCAGCACGTAGGCTAGATTTGGCACGCTGTTAAATGGGCGCGTTTGCTAGTTTTGGTGCTTTTGCGCGTATATTTTCGCTGCAATTTTTTTACGGCCCTCAAAAGGGAATAGTACCTCATTTTTTTTATATATTATCATTATAAGTTTATATGCAGGTGCTGCAAGTAAAACCACAAATTTATATATTATATGTCATTGAGAAGAAGTAAAATATGTTATGCTCCATTCAGTCAGAATTCCATATGAAAAGGGATGTATGTATTGGTCAAAATTACTATACTGATCAGAAATTTTCTCTGTTTCTATAGTTATATTTCAAGTTTAAAGATTGTCCATGCTTTTCCTGCGGCCCATTGTTTTTTATAATCTGCTGATTAAATTATAATCTGAAAATAGAAAATACTAGGGTTGTTCAGAAAGTAAGTTGCATTACAAACATTACACTACTTTTCAACATAATTACTTAGCGCATTAAAGCATTTATCATATCAAGAAACAATGATTTTATGCTAGCATTATGAAAGGTGGCCACCTATCAGGTTAGACAGGATGTTGCAGCATCTTTCACTTCTTCATTGTCATTAAAATGCTGGCCGCTCAAATATCGATTCAAGTGTAAGAATAAGAAAAAGTCATTTAGTTCCAGATCAGGGCTATATGGTGTATGATTCATTTGTTCCCAGTCAAAGGACTCAATGAAACCTTGATTTACATCAGTGGAATGTGATCAGGCATTGTCAGGAAATAAAATGACACCGTCATTCAGCAAACCACGTCTCTTATTTCCAATGTTGCACCATAAGTAGCAGCATTGACAGTTTTGTCTCTGGGTATAAAATCCACCAATATGGCAACTTTTTTGTTCCAGAAAACAGTACATATGATTTTGCCATGTTAAAATGGTCTATCTGAACATCTGCCAGTTTGGCAAGGCAGGTTGCTTCCATTCCATTTATTCTCTTTTCAATGATGGCATGACATGAGAAATCAGAGTCTCATTTCCATTGATAATGTGGTTCAACAGTTCATTCCCCTCAACATCATATAAGCTCAGAAAGATCAAAGCATTTACCTTTATGCTCTTGTGTAAACATTTTCGGTGCCCTCTTTGCTCACACTTTTTGTAACCTTAGCATTCAGTAAAATTTCATGCAGAGCAATACACAAAATTTCAAGAATCACCACTGAAGGATTGGAGATCAGGAAATGTTTGTTGGCATAAATTTTTGCATGAGTTTCATGAACCTTTTCATTATTTTCAGCAAATGGCTGTACGCTTCTCGCTTCATTATGGACATTCATTCTGCCTGAACTGAATGACTGACCCATCTTCTCTACATTCCCCCACATAGATGCAGTTTTACATGGTTGCATATTTCTTGCATTCAAAAAATAAATTATGGAACGAATTTAGCAGTTGATCTGACCTTGTGTAGTCTTAAACATCTTCTATGCAAGATTTACACTTGTCAGCATTTCAAAATATGAACTTTTATATATGACACATTCTTTAGTCATTGAAGATGTAGTGTATCCATCTGTCAAGTACAGGAATTATTGTATTTGGAAACTTACTTTTTGTATAATCTTCATATATTTATTACATCAACTTTTAGTTAGTGTAAAATTTACTGATATTCCATGATATATGTGTGTGTGCTCCATAAGCGCTTGCCCAATCTTGGTTCAGATCTTAAACAAACGATTTCAACTCTGTATAGATATGTACCCTTTTGCTGAAATGTACAGTCACTTTTTCTGCTAGCTCATGCCTTGCTAGTGCATCTCATTGCTTTCGTGTATGTCTGTTGTCTTGAAATATGGTAAGTTGTATGTAAAATGTGGGGCACTTGTTACCTCCATAGTAATGTGTAAATCAAGAATATACGTTCTAAGAGATTATTCATCAAGGAATAAATCTTATGTGGTAAATATCCAGCTATTTGTAGTTTCCCAAATTCCCTAAAGTTATTATGTATCCTATTTGTATGCCAGCAACATCTATAACCATCTTGGCTATGACTAAAAAACAATTGATGCTTTCTCTTAATTCATCTCTAACAGAATTATGATGTGTGTGTGTAACAACTGTATGTAAATCCAGGTACTAGCTTTAACTTAATTTGCAATAATCCCTTAATTCTCTAATTTAATCTAAATATTTCTCTCTTCCATACTTTATTATATAATGCTGGTTTTGAAATGAGAAGTATCCAGCGATCAGATGTGAATAAAGAATAAACTGGTTCACCAAATTGATCCAAAAATGTGACATCCAACCGATGTTTCCCAATCATCTAATTCTGAAAAATTTATTAGGCTGTACAAAAGTAGTTACAGAAGTAGGACAAAATGGCAATTACGAGTGATTAATTAATAAGGTTATGTAGAAATTTATTATTTATTTTTCATAAGTATTTTGTCATATTGCCAAGTATGATCTGTGAACCAAGACGCTGGTAATGAGACGTTTCAATTTTTGGAATAATTTTTCTTCATTTTTCTGAACATAAGAGAAAGTTATGACACTAGAAAAGAAAGAGGTGAGTTTACAACACTGTGAAAGAATTATTACATCAAATTAGAATTATTACATTAGAAAATTTACTACACCATTAAAATATCTTTCTATTTTGGTGGGAAGGAGATTTGGTGTTTATAGCAGAATTTATGGACTTTTCCTTTTAAAGTGTACAGTTAGAATTTTTTCAAGTATCTCAGTGTAAACTCTAAATTGTTTATTAGTGTTGCATGCCATGAGATTATGCTGTTTACTTTTCATAGGAAATTATATTAAGAACAATAATAATATAAATATTCCCTAAAAATATTTCACAAGAAAACTGCTTTGCATTGGAAAAAAAAGAAAAAAAAAATTGTTTTCCTGTTTTGTCTGTTCAATCCAGCTTCTGTTAAAAGCCACAAGTAGGTTCTGTTGAAAATACTAATGCAGAGTAACTGACTCTCCCAATTTCCAACCATTCTTCCATCAACCCGATTTACAACATATTTCTCCCGACTTTCTCTAATTTTTAAAATTTCTCGCAATTTTTATGTAGCTTGGCTTAATACTTTGTTATTTGCCCCCTCCCCCCAAAAATGTGATTTGGGGCATCTGAAAGCCCTCGGTTTTTCTTTAGAGTACATACAAAAGAAAACAAAGTCATTTTATGTGAGAAATTATGGCATGCTTCTTCTTTGTGAGTGAGAGCATATGTCCGAAAACCTCGTGTTCCAGTTCTCCAATGAGCATCGAGCACCACTGCCTGTCATCTGGCATTGTATTAGCCAATGAGCACAGAAGTAAGATCAAGGCTGTTATTTCATTCATCGTGTCACTGAGTGGTGTGAGTGCATATGTTTTCAAAAAATAGTTTAAGAAATTGAGATCTTTTGTTTATGTCTGCAAAAAAGGTAAAATACTCATGTACTTTTCAAAAATCATACACAGATGATTTCTGTTATTTCTTCAAGGAAATGTAATATATTTGCAATGTGTAACATGTGTCGCTGCAATTTTTTGATTTCACACAGTGGAAGGGCCTATGTTCTCAAACATGTGCATACACAAGGACAACATGAGTTCTGTTGAAAAACTGAAAAATTAAATTCCTTGGAAACAAAAGACCAAAAATTTTTTAATGCAGGATGCCTGTTCTCAGCCTTTTTACTGGTGCACAACCTGCCACTGAATGCATTAGATCATACTGCAGCTTTATTAAAAAAATATTTTCCCGATTGCGAAATTACTAAGAATTTCTCAATTTCAAGGACCAAAATGGCTGCAGTTGTTAAAGAAATAGCTATCAAAAATAAATCTTCAGTTACTGATTCCATTAAAACAGTTCCATTTTGCTTCTCTATGGATGGAACCAATAATGCCAGTTCAAAGTTCTTTTCTTTTTTTTTGTTTTCTTTTTTTTTAAAATCCAGTGTCTTTAGAAACTGAGTGTAATTTATTTTCTGTCCACACTTCAGGAGGACATTTGACAGGCTTTAATATAGCTCAGCTAATTATTAAAACTTTAAAAGAAAATGCAATTGCTGAGGATAATTGTTTAGGACTTGATGCCAATAATGCATCAGTAATGGTAGGCTTGAAGACTGTTGCTGTAGGCATTTTAAAAAAAGAAAATTAAGATTTGCAGATTATAAGGTGCACCTGCCACCTCTTAAATTTAGCAGTTGTAGAAAGAGCAGCTTCATTATCAATAAGTGTAGATGAACGCTTGTCGATATTTATTATTGAAAACTCTAAAAGGAAAGAAAAATTGAAACAATTCCAACAGCTGCATAATACTGAAATAAGAAAAATTTTGAAGCATGTATGTACATGCTGGCTATCTTTAAAGAAATGTTTATCTAGAACCTTCGACCAATGGAGCCCATTTCTTGCATTTTTTAAAGAAATAAATGCTAGTAGAGTTAAGTTGAAAGACTTCAAAAGTTATACAATAACTAAAGTAAATGGAAATATAGTTACTACTTCCACTGTTAAAAGTAGGTTTGAGAAAAATTAAGTAATTTCTGCACTAGTGAGCAATTTAATTAACAATTCTTAAAGTAATACTGCAAAATATTAGATTGAAGCTGATACAAATTTTTCTTGAATAAAATTTTTTAAAAAAATGCTCAACTTGGGAAACATTTTTCAATTACTGTAAGTTTATCTTGGGAAGAAAGAACATTTATGTTTTTGTCTTCGAACCTAAATAATAAAGTTTTTGCTTTTTTTTAAAATTCATTTTGCCATCACCTGATGTTCTTAACACAGCTCTACAAAGCAGAATTCCATTAATTCATGTTTTGCAACCAGTAATTTATGCATCTGTTTAAAGACATTTTATCAAAGTTTGCAAAACCAATATTTGTCTTCCAATTAATTCTGTATATAATGTGATTTATGATGAAAGAGAAAATTAGAAGAAAGATGAAGATTTGGTAATAGGAGCTGCAACTGACAAAGTAGGGGAAGTACTTTTCAGAGTAAGCTAAAAATAAGTTTTATATTCTACATTAGAAGCTACTTCTGCCAGATATGTGATTACATATTGCATAAATTTCCAATCAACGATGAAGTGATTTCATATGTGAAAGTTGCAGATGTTTCTGCTGTAGCAAATGCATCTTTTCCTAATATATTTTTTAATAGTTTTCAGTTTTGCTCCATTCAGTCATGAAAGACAATGATATTAATATTGCAACTGATAAATTGCAGTAGCAGTTTTGCAGGTTACAGTTAGAAAACTTGAGTAAAATTTTAAAAACCAGCTAGGATTGACCCCAGTGGAGTTTAATTGGAAAACTGTTGGAGTTTTAAAGTATAATGAAAAGGTGTTGATGGAGTTTTAAAGTATAATGAACTGTCTAGAATATTATTGGCCATCCTGACAATTCCCCATAGTATTGCAGAGTTCAAGAGGATTTTCAGTGTTGTTGCAAAAGCAAGGGCTGAGTTTAGACCTAATATGAGTGATGACACGTTAGAAAAACTTTTATTAGTAAAAGCAGGCCTGTGTAGCAGTTGCTATGAACAAAATTATGAAGTTTTTTCTTAATGAAAGCAAAGTCTGCCACTGTTCAGAGCATTTGTACGAAAACTGATTAAAGCATTATTGTTCTTTAAAAAGATGCAAATAATAAAAATGTTTTTTACATGTGAGTATTTTTGTACTGTTTGCATATAAGAATTAGTTACTCAGCTTTCAGATATTAATAACTCTACAAAGTTAATTTGTTATTAAAAAATACATTTTTATTGTTTAAAAAATCTCCTGATTTGTTTAGTGTTGTAGTTTGGCAAGTATGCTAATGTAATATTTTAATACACACTTGTGTCCTCAAAAGCCCTAACCCAGCCTTTATTTTTGTGACCAAGCTTCAATTTTTTATCCAGCCTTTATTTTTATTGTAGAGATGTACTTCTGATTACAGAAATGTTTTAAATCTTGCAAAGATTCATAGTTTTGTATTTTTGAATAAAAAAAGTGATTTTGCTTAAAATATGAAATCCTCTGATGCATAATATATTTACAGTATGTAAATATAAATTATAATATATAGTATTATAACTATAATAACCATATATTATAATATTATATTCAACAATTAATAATTCAAAATTAACATGAAATTAATTTTAAAATTTTTGTAAATGCATGTTAAGTGTCCTTCATTTATTGATTTGTATGCAGTAATGAGTAGCTAAATAATGTCATTTTCTCTGTCCCCCCCCTCACAAAAAAATATTAACGATGGGTGGTGGAATGGAAATGGTTTTAATTATATTATTCTAAAAAGTTTATATATTATAACTTCGTTATTATTCTTTTTGAACACATGTTATAGCAACTTTTTAATTTGATACTATTAAAAATAATCATCTAGAATGCTGTCAGTTACATGCAATGTGTTCACCAAGCTGCTAGGATAACAGTTAAATGTTTCCCAGTGAGATGCTATTTTATTCATGAGAACAAATGAAAAGCTTAGTGTGCACATTATTTCTTTAACAATGATAATCAGATTGCATGTTAATTTCATCAATTAATTTTTTCGTAAAGTCTTTCATTGGTTTGAATTGTGTATCACCAGTTTTGATAAGCCAAATGATCTGATAGCAATTTCAGATATAGCTTGGTGAATTCTTTCTATATTTCCATCTTGTCTACATGACGAAAGGTGACTGAGATGCACATAACCTTCAATTGATATTTGGCCCCCTTTGAAAACAATAAATGTCTCAAATATATTTCATTCATAGCACTGTCCTTTGAAATTTCACCCTGTTACTGATCAAGTGGTTAAGACTGCTAAATTCTGGGAGTCTGAATAGGTGAACTAGCTGTTTTTTGATCCTGGGTGAACTAGCTGAATGTACGGTTGGTTTTTGTGGTTTGTGGTTTCTCTGTATATAACATGAATATGAGCCAGTTTCTTATAGAAAGTCTCTCATGAAGGCATCCTTCCCCTCATTCATATAATCTTAGGTTGCTTTGCCATATTCTAATAAGCTAACCTAACCTTACAAATTTCTGTGAGTATTGTGGCTGTTTCAGCCAAAATTATTTCTAAAAAAAAGCAGTATTTCCACCATTATCTTATTTAATATCCTTCAGTTTAATCCATGGAAGGAAAACTTTAAAAACAAAAGAAATGTTAAACACTTTTGTAAACAAATTGAAAACAAAATCTGAGATATTTTAGAACATATTAAGATTTAGTGTAATGTTACTACAGACTGTTAAGTCATTAGGTTTTGTGTAGAGCAAGAAATCTTGAAATCAACTGTACCCCCTCCAAAAATTAAAGTCTTATATTGCAAGCTGGATATGCTGACTATGATACGAGAAGGACTTAGTTGGGCTAATCAATTTCTGACGAAGTATCATCTATGACATTTTAGTTTTGTTATTACTGGCTGTATGATCTTTTTTACCAGGAAGTCTTAAAAAGTTAGGTTTGTCCTTAATAACAACAGAATGCTAATCCTTTAGCTATGTATGTTGGCCTCGGTGTTAGTAGAACATATGAAAAAAAATATTAATAATCCCTTACAGACTTAATTCATCCTAAGCGTATAATGTCTGAAAATAAAACCTTGAGCTGCATCCATTCCATATATGCCATTCGCATTTTGAGAAATTTTTATCTTCCCAGTATTGTAGTGCACCTCATACACAGTCTCTGTAATTGATGAATATTATGCTATACATTTTATTCAGTATAAAATAAATTGCTTATAATAAAATAATATAAATAAATAACAAAATTATTCATCTTTGTGTATTAAAAATGCTTTTTAGATAGTTTTTTTCCCTGAAATCTTTTATTTTATTTTTTTAAAGTTTTGGTACTCTTCAGACAACTTTCCAGTTTACAAGTTTAGGGATAGCTCCTGGCCTAGAATTAAGTATGTTCTGTTTTATTATATAATAACTATTAATCTAATTTACATAAACTTGTTTTTGCATTAATTATCTCCTGAAATTAATTTTAGTGATGGCTCGTCAGCTGGACAAACATACTGCTGGCTATTTAACATGGAAAGCTGGAACTGCTTCCTCTGTAAATACAATGATTGTGCATGATTCTGAAAAAGGCCATTTTGTTGGTGGATTACAGGTGTAGTTTCTTTTAGTAACTTTTAATTTATTTTTAAATCTGTTGAATTATGATGCATAGTATTTGTTAAAAAATTCAAGTATTTTAAATGAGGTTCATGTATGCTGAGCTATCTGTTATCTCTCTTTTGTACTAATGACAAAGTAAAAAAGGTACTTATTTATTACTATCGCCTCTATTATTTAGATGGGGCCAAGATTATCACAATGTTCATGTTTAATTCTTGCACACAGTTTATGGCTGCCATATTTTTGCAATTTCTTTTTAATATGGCATCAAAAACATTTTCTTAGCCCAAGGACTTTCACCCCATGAATTCTGCATGGTAGAACTCATGATAATGCCAATCCATGCCTTTTATTCTAACACTTAACACAGATGTGTATGAGCAGCCATTGTTGGATCATTGAAATCAAATATCTGGTTCACAGTGTAATAATTGTAGCCTGCTTTTTCCACTTCCTTTGTTTTGTATTCTCACCAGTAGTCTGATTTAATCATCAATCCCTCTTATACATAGTCCAAAATGTTTGCTGTAAGTATACTTGCCTGTCCATTTGGAATCTGAATAAGAAAGCATTTCCCAGTTTCTCAACATAATCCACCAAATATCCACTACTGTAGAAGAACCTTGCCAGCATTGGTTTCTTTTCTGCTGCCAGTTGAACACAATTTCATCTATTTCCATAATCTTTTCAGAGCCAGCTATTTGCTTATTTAGTTGTCAGGTCAAATACAGAGAACATATTTCCCTCATAAAACTATTTTAGTATTTTGACGAAGGTCGAGTTACTCTTCACACTTCCTCTGTTCAACAGGGCCCAACTTCGGCTGAGCAGTAAACTCGCTAAACACTGGTAATTCGATCTTAGTTTGATTCCAGGTGAACGGGTTGGCTTTATGGTTGTTCTTGTGATTTTCCCCATGTTAACATGAATGCGAACTAATTTCTTTCGGAATGTCCTCTGCAGAGGCAACTCAACCTCTAGGCAAATAGTGTGCTTTGCCATAATCAAATGAACCAAACCTCTGCCCAACAGTAAAAAAATTGCGAGTGTTACAAACTGTATTCTTAAACCACTTATCTATTTGCCAAAAAGTATGGTTTTATTTAAATACTACTTTTATGTTGCATCTGCGATCCTTATGCGTGTGTAACAGTTTAGAAATGTGTTTGAAAACAGGTGATGCAGCATACTATAAAAATACTAAGTCATGATATGTTGTAAATTCAGAATGAAGAAGTTGAAGTCATAGCCCAGTTTAAATATTTCCTTTGTTTATTTAAAACTGACACTAATTTTTCAAGTCAACACAAAATAACAGTGTCTTAACAATCTTTGTAATGTTATATTGCAAAATGTAAAGAGTGTTTATGATATTTTTCTGGTTGTAACGAAAGTTTTTCACCAAAAATTGTTCTGAATAAAGTTGCAAGAAAACATGAAAGCAGTACCTTTAGTATGGGTAATAATCACCACCCAGATCTATGATTTTCTGCCAATGTTTTGGTAGTTTTTCAAAGCCTTCAGCCCAGAAACTTGGTGGCTGCAACTCCAAAAACAGCTCAACCTCATTTTGGGCATGCTGTGCAGAATGGAAGATAGCACCAGCGAGATGTAGCTACAGGTGAGGAAAAAAAAGCAGAAGTCTGAAGTAGTTATATTGGGGCTATATGGTGGGTATGGCAAAAGATACCAATCAAGTCCGCACAGAGTACAGCCAGGGAATCCAGGCACACATGATCTTGCATTATCTTGATGGAACATTATCTTTTTGCACCAAAACTCAGTTCGACATTTTTCTGTGATAGCAGCATCAGCATGGACTAGCATCCTTCTGTACACACTACTGATGAGGGTTTTACCTTTTTCCAGATACTTTTTATGGTTAATACCGTGGCAATCTCACCAGATGCAAAGAATGATCTTTTTGTTAGTCAAATTGCACTTTGCGACGCTGCTGACAGACTCACCGGACTCAGAGCAATCCCCTTTTCGTTGTGTTGTTCAAGTAGCTCCACTTTTCATCAGAAGTGACGATTCGTCCAGAATTTTGTCCTTGCGTAGATATTTAAGCAGATTAGGGTAGGCCCAAACCTGTCTGTCCTTATCTGCTTGAGTCAGCTCATGTGGCACTCAGCGATTGAACTTGTACATCAATTTTATGCAATGCATAGCATGACTAATGGCATGACACTGATCTAAATCCTTAGCAAGCTCTCGAGTGGTTGCATATGTTCTTTCATAAGTTCTCACATGCGGGCCTCGTCAATCTCAGTAGGCCAACCAGCTCTGCTTCCAAACCTTCACAGTGTCATATGATGCACCATTAGTTCCTAAAGCTATACACAAGATTTGGTGACATTCTGTATTTGACTTTTTGCAACAGAACTGGAAGTAAATGATGGTTCTAATCTGGTAGCATGATAGTTCCATTTCAGCCATCTTTTACTTAATGAAAGTGATATTATTTTACAAATTTTTGCAATGCAATGTTCTAAAGCAAGTCTCTTTCTTTCAAATGCCAAAAATCGTTTGACAAAATATGATTAAACATGACAATGCAGAAATGCAGACTGTTTGTACAGAAGATATTTGCGGTGGTGGGAAATTTTCGTTAAAACTCGATATTTCTTTTACAATATGTAGAGGATATTTACAATATTTATTTATTTTACGATATGTAGAAGGTATTTACCTATTTTTAGAATGATTTTGATAGAGAATTAAACAAAAGCAAATGTTTGGAATAAAAAATTCTATGAACAGCTTATTATTTGAAATGAAAAATATCATCTGCTACTTTTAAATTTATTGGCCTGTCAAAATGTTGTATATTAACAAGCTGTGGATTGAATGATATGTTTTTGTATTTTCCAAAGAGAAATATTTCTGTTCCATAATTTAAAAAATTGTTATGAAATGCAGGATATTAAAGTTTCTAAGCCAAAATAAGCGGCATTATTAATTAGAAAGAAAAAAACTATAATTGTCACTTCTACATAGAAAGAAGCCTTCCCGAAATTGCATGTGAATTCTTGAAAAAGATACCTACTGTTTTTAAAGTTAAATCATTGGTAACAACAGAAAATCTGCTGATGCAGAAATCAATTGCAAACATTTTAAATAAATTTGTTGCAACAATAAATAAAATAATAAATCAAGTTTTAGAACTTTAAAAAGCTAAAAAAACATAATGTTCACCAAATTTTGCTGAGGCATGTAGTTCAATACAGAGTAATTTGTAGAATGATATATGAAAATTGTTTAGCAGGAGATAATGGAAATATATTGCGACCCTTAGTGAAGCATGGCTATACCTAAATGACTGCAACAAGAAGAGGTCTATTTATTGTGGAAAACAAAGAGAAAAAAAAAAGGTATAAGTTGTTCTGTCACTGCAAAGAAAGTTTCTGCAATGGGTTTATTATTGTCACATAATTCTCTTACAGTGGGAAATTAAAAATAAATGCGTGGGGGGGGGAATGTTAACATCTACTCAATGTACTATAAAAAGAAAGTTTTGTGTCTGATATTTGCAGAAGAAATTTCACTTCTTTGTACACTTTCAGAGAATCAAACTTCATCAAGACAAAGTACCACTTCATTCCTTGGAAAAATGAAGACTGATACAGGAATTGCATATATGCCTATAAAATGAATTCCTGTTGACGTTTCACCTATTGGCAATTGTGGTTTTTGAAGTTTTTTTAAAGAGCTCTTTCTAAGCACAAGACCACTTGATTGTTGGACTCAGGAAAGTAGTGGGAGAGGAATGGAAATCAGTCCCAGGAAATTTTACAAAAAGCCCATCATCAAATCATGGGAATCATGATGCAGGCTTATAATTGAGAAAAGAGGCTATCAGGTTGAACATTTAAAAAATACTCTTTACATTTTAAACATTAATTAAATAACTCTGAAATCATATTGAAAATGTTTAAACATCCTATGTATATCATTTCGAAGAGAGATGAAGCATCATGCTGGCTAGGCCAAAGGGCAAAAAGCAAGGGTGATGTATTTCAGTTGGAAGATCAGTTGAAAGGAAAGTTGTCGACTTCTTTATTATCTATGTCCATTGCTTAAATTATGCCGGAGACCGGCTTCAGTACTTCTCAATTTTTAAGATAAAGTACAATTCTAGCCGGAGTGCACCGGAGCCCTAAATAAGATGAGCTCCGGTACTTCTTTTTATAAAATTGCGCCACAATTTCATAAGGAAAAAAAAAAAAAATAGAATTCTTAACGTTTTAGTTTAACAGTAAGCAGACTTTGCAATACTTTATTTCCCTAGAAATACGAACTCATGAGACGTTCAGATAAAGTCCCCTCACTCATATGTGGAAACCTTTCCCTTTAAGAAGGGCATTTTGGGGGAATTTGTTTAGGAACGCGTAAATTTCTTGCCATGCTATCGTACCTAGTATATTGTTATCGATGGTTACAGTTAGGTATCCTCGCAGGAAGGAAAATTTGTGTTCTTAAATGTAATTTAAAAAGTGTAACCAGCAATTTTACATTCATCCTTAGGAGTCAGATTCAGGACTCATTTTGCCAATGACATACATCCGCTTGATGGCTATAATTATATCAGCAGAGAGCTGCGGTCAAAGAGAACATTCTCTCTCACGAAGAATCCTCTTACTTTTTGCTTCCATCCACTCATACCATCATTCTGTTTCGCCCTGTTTTTAGCATTATCTGAATTTTCATCAGCTATATTTTAAGTATATTTAATTTTTGGGATGATAAAAGAACTTTTTCCCCCTACGATCAAATCTTAAATTGGGCCGGAGCCCACCGGATCCCAGCTCCGGTGCTTCTTAGTTTTTGTAATAAATCATAATTCTAGGCGGAACGCACTGGAGCCCTAAATAAGAGTCCTGTGGCACTTCTTTTATGTAATTAAATAACAATTTCAGTAGAAATTTTATCTCGAAAAATTTTTTAGCAATAAAATTATATTAAAATGTTATTAAATTTAATTATTCTTTACATTTAATTAATTTAATTATTTACTACTTTAATCTTTAATTATTTCAATCAAAATAATTTTCAATTAATTTTAGAATTAATTATATAATAATTATTGATTAAAATAATTTATAAACCTTAATTAAATAGCTAGTAATTAATTTGTTGAAAATTAACTATTTAATTTTTAAATTATTAATGAGTTTTAATAGTCATTTTATTTATTTAGTTAGTTACTCTAGTTCCTCTTTGCTGACGGTCTTCCATAGGGCTCCAGCACTTCTTATTTTAGAAATAAAATATGTCTATGTCATATAAAAGATGGAAAAGGGAAATGTCTAGATTAGAATAAGGATTAAAGGACTGTTACAAATTAATATTAAAATTTTGATTTACATCCTTTTACCTTGCACAGACATGCATACCTACACATGCACATGTATACATAGTTTCACTTTACGGTCATTTTCATAGATGATTGATGTAGCATCTTCCTCACTTATCAGAGGTTCGAATCCCGTGAACGGGCTGACTGCATGGGCGTTTTCATGGTTTTCCCCATGTGTAACGTGTATACGAGCCAGTTCCCCTTAGAAAATCCTCCACGAAGGCATCCCTCCCCTTAGACAGATAGCCCTAGTCTGCTTTGCCATATTCTCAATACACCACCATCCTCACTTATCAGTAAATAAAAAATTGGGAAAAAAAGTTTTGAAAATGAAAGTACATTAACTCATTGCCTACATGTAGCTCTTGTGATGAGCAAACTCTTTAAGTGATCATGAATTGTTAACATTTTTATTTAAAAAATATTATGACACATGGCCTAGTATTATAAACTATATGTTTTTTCTAGGTTGGAAAGCGAGGAAGTTTCATTACACTCAGCTATTCAAGAAAACTTGAAGATGAAAGTAGAGCAAAATGTGCTATTAAGTAAGCCTTTAAATTTTTATTTATTTTTAAAATAAATTTCTGTAATTTATTTATTTCCTATGAATATATCATATAATGCATGTATTGGTATTGAAATAGTCTTGATTGTTAGTGTATTTGTTAAAATTTTGATGAAGTAATCTGTAAGTCATTAAAATATATTTTCTTTTGTATTTAAAGATTTGGAGTTTTTGGTGCTATTTTAGAATATGGTTGTGATAAAAAAATCTCACAGCGTAGCACTGTAGGTGCTGCAGTGGTGGTAGGTGTGCCTTCAGGTGTCAGCCTAAAGTTAAAGTAAGCATCTTTCTGTATTTTTTTTTTTTTTTTAATTTGTATTCTAAAAATGAACATCAATTTGATCTGGTTAAAAGGCAGCTCTCAATTTTTATATTTATTTATTTAATGCATTTAAAATTTTTTCAAGGTTATATTATTTTCCTCACGCTGTTTTATAAAGAAAAATCATTCCAAATATCTTTTAAAATCTTATTTAATTTTTTCATATTAAAATAAAGTAAAAAAGCAAAATTGAATTATCATGAAATGCTTTTCATTACTGTAAATAAATATCCAAATTACCAATTTGACAATTTTTAAGTTTGCATTTCATGCATTTTTAAGTTTGCATTCTATGTTATGTTAAGAAAATCTAGAAGTAAATTTATATAATTATAAATTGATTGCATTCATTACCTTGTAAAATGTATCAGGAAAAGAAAATAAAGAATTGCAAATAATACACTGTAAGTAATTTCATAAACATTTTTACTTAATATAATTATTAAATTTATTTTAGTCAGTGCAAAATAAGCTGAAGGTTACTGTAGAAAGTTTATGGTATTGGCAGTAATGTCATTTATCAGGTAAGCAGTCACAATAATATATAGAATAGGGTTTGTATAGTCCTTAAGAGTCCTTTGGTTTGAGTATGAATTAGCATTTGGAAGGAAAATGTTTGGCGATTCATGATAAATATGGTTATCTTTTGAATGGGTTATAATTTTTTCCTGTTTTTAATATAAATGTTGGAATACTCGAATTTCTGAGCAAGAACTGAAACATAAGCATTTCAAAATAACTTCATTTTTTTCTAATGAAGAGCTCTTGAACGCCATTTTGCTTTTGGGGATGGGAATTCTTATATTAAATGGTTCTATATTTGGTAACTTATCAATATTTAGTCATATTTAAGATAAGCTTCTATAGAAATTTTTAATTCCCAGATCTAGGAATTTGTGGACGATTTTTTTAAAACGTAACATTGATAAATTTCATTAAAATAATGGTAATATATTTGAAATTATGCTTAAAAAATAATTTAAAATTGAAACATTTTTATTTTTTGCTGTCATATTATAAAGTTTCATTTTGGCTACTAATTATATAATATTTTGAATCTGAAAAATAAACATAGTATAATGCTATAAAGCACAATTTACAAAACAGTTCTTAGCAAAAGCAAAATAGATGTAATTAATTTTTAAAAATGTCTTCTGTTTAGTTTTTATGTTAAGAGTTTTTTCCCATGTAATTGTCTCAGAATATTCAGAATTCTCAGAATATGCATTTCATTTTCTCCATAAAATTCTTCTGATTGTTAATCTAAACACTTGAAACAAAGATATGCAAAAAATTTCAAACTTCTTAAAAACTAGAAACTTATTACAAACATAATAGCAAAAATATTTGTCTTATGTCACAAATAATTACAAAACTATGGCCAAAAATCAAATTTACTTACATTTTTCATTAAACTCCAGCAATGGCACTCTAAAGTTAGTCATTTTTCTTTAAAAAAATTATGTTCATTTATAACACTGCCCTTAGGTTGCAAACTTTTAAAGGCTGTAATACTAAATGATGGGGGAAAGTTTTATATGGCCCTCTATTAGTGGTTTCAGATTTGATGAGATGATTTTTAAAGGGAAGAGTTCTGATTGGCTGCTAACAAAGATTAATCAATTGCTGTGGAGTGAGGTGAAACTGGTGGGAATAATTTTTACTAAGAAACATGAGGTAGTGAGTTTGCAAATGACAGAACAAGTATTGGAGTTAAACAAAACTATTAATAAATTTTTTCTGCCAAAGTAAAGGAAACACAAAATAAGAATTGGTACAGTTGAAAATCGTCACTCAGTATTAGCTACTATTGAGACTAAAATGGATAAGTTAGTAACAGGAAGTATATAAATAGAATGTTCCTGCCAGAAGTGTATAAATTGTTGTCAAAAGTATAAGAATGCTGCAAGAAGTATATATAAATAGAATGTTTAAACTAAATTACAAAATATAGAAATCTCCCAATACCAATAAATACATCTTGCATTACCCTCTTTTGTATAGGTAATGCGATCATTCATACAAATACTATATATACATAGTACAGCCCTTTGGAAAATTCAATAATGTATTAATAATTATTTTAATTATTAGAATTATTTTAATTAATAATAATTATTGTAGTTATGGGGTTTGTTGTTTCAAATGCCCTGTATTTTTTATGACAATTTAAAAAGAGTGCTTTTTTAGAATATGCTAGTTATTTATAAGTTTTGTTATTATACTGGAAAAATTATATTTCTTGATACTTTTATATTTAAAAATTAACTGATAGAAATTTAAGTTTTTTCCATCTATTTAATCACCTAAACATAAATAATATTTGTTCAAGAATTGATTTTAATTTGTTTACTGTCTTTCAGATTAGTTAGAGCAAACCAAACGTACCTTTTCCCTATCTTATTGTCTGAAGATATAGTTCCAAGTGCTGTATTTTATGCTACAGTAACTCCAGTTTTAGGCTGGTTTGTTATGAAAAAATTTGTAATTGATCCATACCATGAGAGGCAAAAGAAAAAGTATGCAATAAGAATTCATAAATTCTTCCTCCAGTTTTATTATTTGTGTGCAGTTTTTTTAAACATATATATATATACTAAATTATTAAAAAAGCCAGTATGCTAAACAAGATTTCTATTATCTAAATGATAATTAGTCCAAAGGGGCAATTTGCCCAAAAGGACTATCAATTTCATTTTGGTATTTTGTGTGTAAAACTATAAACGGCAAATCACTTTTCAAATTGTTGCCACCAAATAGTAGAGCCCTGTATTATGTTTAAAGAAATTAAATTATGAAGAATCTTATATATGTATAAATAAATGAATAAATATATGTATGTTTCTCGCATTGTTATAAAGCAACGGTACCTAGAGCCATCAAATTTTGAATAACATAATCCTCCTGCAAATATGGGCATTTGGAAGCCCATATTTGAAATTTGCAATTTGTTTTATTATCGATTTCATTTGTTGTAAAACTTTAATGAAATTTTGATTAACAAACTCAAGGATTTCAAAGTGAGCAATGGCAATGTTGTACAGAAAAAACATTTTATCTCCAGCGTGAAAGACTGTGTATCAGAAATCCTAAAGATATGCTCATTTTAAAATTATTTTGCAATATTGCTCTTGAACTGAATTCTCCTCTGGTTTAAGTGCGAAGAACATGATATTTAATAAGTAAAGGTAACACACAAAATGTTAAAAAAATGCCCCTTTGAACGTAATTTAAAATCTGAATTTTTTTTAGTTTGTTTTTAAGACTGGTTGATTATTATGCATTTAATTTTAAAATAATGCTCATACTGTCATTTATTTATAATAAGAATTATGTATAACTTTGTAGTTCTGAATAGTTAAAACCTAAATTTTTGAAACATATTTTATATAACTAAAGATTTTCTTAAAATATTCAAATTTATTTATATTTATGCAGCACATTTCTGAAATAAGTTTAAAAAATAAGTTAAGTCAAAACAAATGTTACTACAATTATGCAAACTCTGTTTATTGAATGAAGTAATTGATGTTGTATGAACTCAGTAGAATTATCATAGGTGTCCTTGGCAATCTTTTTCAGAAAACTTATTATATAATGAAACTTGTTTTGGATTAGTGAAAGATGTATGAAGTCACCATTCTAATTTTTCAGAGTTGAAATGAAATCTAATATTTTCAAATAACATTAATTCTTCTTATCTAAATATCTCACAATTTCCCCCAAAATATTTAAATGATTGCATTCTCTTGTATGAATTGAAATTAAAAGTTATATATTATAAATTAAGAACTAATAACATTTTCATTCAATTAATTATTTTTTTTCCAAAATAATTGGGTAATAAAATTATATTATTGAAAAGTTAATAAGTGTAATTAAAGCAGCCAGCCAAAAACTCAAATCACCTTTCAAAGTGATACTGCACCATGAAAATTGCTAAAATTAAGCTATAATAGCTTACAGATATTATGTCATCATTTATAGCATTTCCAAGTGTACTTATGGGATGAGTAGAACTCATGCATTTGATGTGACCAAAAAAAAGAGAGAATTGCTTCTGAATTGAAGGTTACTCATAATATATAAAGTTTAACAAAAGCATAGCTGCCCAGACATTACATAGTTATGGTAGTGTAGTGCAGTTTTGGAGGGCTCAGGCTAGAATCCCAGAGAAGGCATGGATGTTTGTAAATGTATAGTGCCTTCGCGGCATGGGGGCATTCAAAATATAATGGTGAGCTGAAAGGCCTCTCGTGTAGCTTGGTGGTAGGGGAGAAGAGTGGGAGACCCTTGGCCTAAGAGTGGGAATGGGAAGTAGAAGTCAACCTCCTTGAGGCTCTGGCAACCATTCTGCCATGAAATACATGGACAAGACAAAAATAACAAAGGTATATATAAAGTAAATTACAATATTTTCCAATATTCCATTTGTCTGAAGTATATCAGAATGCCCAGAAATATGATAATCTCTTTACATGAAATAATTAAAATATTTTTTAACATATTGCTATTATACATGGAAATGTATAATTACAGTATTATATTGATATAGATTTGTTGCGCGTTATTTACCCACAAGAAAATGTTCTTATTATATTTAATAAATATTTTAAATTAACAAAAAAATTAATTTCAATAGAATTATTTGCATAAATAAAATTAAATATAAATTCAGTATTACACATTTTATAAATAAGTCTATGAATGCACTTTTATCAAGATGGTTCCTCAATAGAATGATAATAAATGTAAACTTCAAGAAGTATCATTTGCATCTGTTGTTAAATTTTGAGCAAGTTTCACAAGTTATCTGTGTGTGTATATATATATATATATATCCATTGCAGCGTGAGATAAAATTATAATTGTAAAATTGTAAATCCTAATAATGTATGAAAGGATTAGTGTGTAGAAAAGAAGCAGTTAGAATTTTTTATGTAATCATGAGTAAATATTTCCCACAGTTATGTCCACCTAATAATCTTCATCTTAACGTTTAATTACGTAATCCATGTAAAATCTTGTGATCTAGTTAAATTGTGAGTAACCGTAAATTTCAAATTTTATGTTGTCAGTTTAAACACCTAGCAGGCACCAGACTATATTATGCATCTGCTAAGTGAACTGGTACTTTTCCTGTCCAATTGCTCATCAAAATATTACCAATTTACTAACTGTAGAATGCAATAAATTAACAAACAAATGAAAAAAAAAAGTGTGTCTAATGTCTTTGCTATTTTCCACAAGAAATGGCACTATATTTGATTTCGTTTTCTTTAGTCATTTTAGTTATCAGTCATTTTTACAGGAAAAAGTTTTTTTGTTTCTGAAGAAGAGAAACGTGTCTTTGCACCTTTGAAACTGATAGAGTTTGTTGCTTTTTTGCTTTAAAAATGCTGAAAGCCAGTTTATAGATCATATGTCTACTGTGCAGCATTAAAAAATGCTTTTTGAAAGAAAGTGTTTCATCCATCATTATAATACTAAGTTCAATAACATACAGCTTATTTTCAGAGCACTCAGAGGTGGCATAATTGTTAATTCAAAATCGTAGTTAATCCAAGGGCAGTTAAAAGAAAATTAGGAAAGAAAAATAACCCATATTAAGAAAAAAGAGTGTTCATAATTTACCTAGATTTTTAAGCAATTTAATTTGGAGAATAAGTATGTTTGATCACATAAATTAAATCTGCATACAAAACAAAAAGAAGCCATTGGAAAATGAACAAACACTATTAGAAAAGAAGAAATTAAGTTACAAACAATCTTAAACCGAACTCAAAAAAACGTCTATTAAAAGTTTTTTGGGGGGTAGCAGAATTCCCCCTTTACATTTTCATTTTTCTTTTTCCTTTTTTTAGATTAATTTTTTAGGTGATTTTTATTTCAAAGTTAATCTGCTGTTCCCCCCAGCAAAACAGGAGTTGATCATAATTTTCGACTTAATACTGTGGTCAGATTCACATGAATTACAAATTTCAAATGTAATCATCATTAATTTAAGGAATTGGCATATTATAGATTGCAATAAAGTTTGGATATAGAGAAATGTATTAAAAATAATTTATTGATGCAAAATACTGGCTTTTTCTCTGTATGTTGATTTACACATATATTTTTTTCATTTAGAGAGGCAGAAAAGTCAAAGGAAGCTAATGCACAGAAAATGGAAGAGAGGAAGAGAGAAGCAGAAATAGCAGTAAGTTTTTACATATGACCTTGCTAATTTTGTTGCATCATAATTATCTTTTATTGAAGTAGCCTTTTTACTATTTAAATTTGAACTTAAATTTTTAGTAAAAGATTAAATTAATTTTTATTTAACCCTTCAACATTTGTGAGATTAAGCAAATTTTTCCAAATATGCAAAATGTCTATCAGTTGTAAATTTATAATGTGATCTGTATTCGTTTGCCTCCTCTTCAGTGTGTAACTGGAATGCAAGCTGAGCTCATTGATGACCATCAAAAATGAAATAAATTTCTTCATTTCTAACTATGTTTATTCTTCTGATATTTGCAGTGTAAGAAGAGAAACATGTCTTTGCACCTTTGAAAATGATAGAGTTTGATAGTTATTTGCTTAATTAAAAAAGCTGAAAGCTAGTTTATAGATCATATGTTCACTGTGCTGCATTAAAAAAAAAATGCCTTATGGTTATTTATTGTTGCTGATTTAGTTTATGTGCTAAATAAATTTAATTAAATTTTTTTAATTTGATGGAAAACAGAAATCTGTATATCAAATAGAATTTGTGCCATTATAACAATTTTTATTAGCCCAAACGGGTGTAAGGCAGTAGTAGTTTTACTTTCTTAAAGTATGTGTGTAGCATCAGAGCTATAAATATTTGTCTTATTAAAAAAAAAAAAAAAAATTTAACCAGTGAAAACTCTTTTACATATTAGAGTATAATATTTTTACATCATTTTCCATTTCTCCAAATTTTGCACTTGAAGATATGGAACTTCTTAACTCATAAATGCATGGTAAATATTTTAATAATTGGAACCATTGCTCCTCAAGGACCACTTAAAAAATTGCATTTTATTGTAAAGGAATCATTTGAAGTTTCTTTGTAGGTTTTGAACAAGATAACCATTATGTCTGTAATATTTTCAGCTCTTTGCTTTTAAGTTTGCTCATAAAAGTAAAATGCTGGATTTTGCCAAAAGCAGTTCAGATTTCTGGAAATCACATAATTCTGTGTTGAGTTTTGGAGTGAAATTTTAGTGGCATTTAGATTTGTTGAGCTGAAATATAATTGGTGTCCTGGTTTTAAATATAGTTGTCTTGTATTGAAATTATTTTCATAAAATTCTCTGTATTGTTTTTAGAAACTTTATAATACAAACCACTTAAATAATTTTTTATGTATTTTGTCATATTTTATCTCATCTCATATCTTAAAATGTAATGACATCTAAATTATCTTTAAAATTCTAAGCAGTTTCATTCATTTTTATTTTTATCAGACCTTTTAAGAATAAGTTTTTTTATCTATTATTTATGTATTAATTTTTCATAGTTTATTTCAGCTCTTATCTAAAATGTAAGGATGTCTAAATTATCTTTCAAATTCTAAATATTTTCATTCCTTTTTTTAACTAGTCTTTTGTAAGAATAAGTTTATTTATTATTTATATATTTATTTAAGGCTTTTAACAAAATCTTCATGTAAAATTCCCATATGTTGTCGTGACTGTCGTGTACTGAAATCAGTATTTTAACTGGAAATATTTACTCAAACTTGTGTTTTTAGGTATCACTTATGGAAGAAACCTATAAAAGAATCAGAGCTCAAGAAGAAGCTAAAAATGGTTTAATTATTTTACAAGCTATTTATGGAAATAGTGAAGAAATATCAAATCTTGAACCAGAGTATGTTTTTAATTTAATTACTTACTTTAATATTTATACTTTTTACCCTATTTAAAAGGTTCCTGTTAATAGTATATATGTAAAGTATCCGTTTATGCTGTGTATTCAGCTTCCATGTTCTGTTAAGCTACTATTCTTTGCTTTCTTAATATTTCTTCATATTTTGCTTTTCTAAGAGCTCTTGTTTTTTTAGAAAGTTGATAGAATAATTTTAGTTTATACATATATAGTTTATACATTTTTTACACATAAAAATTATCAAATGACACTAAAAATTTTTAAATAATGCATATTTTATGCAGAATTCTGGTACTAAAAATATGTAATAATCAAAACATTTATCTGTTTTCAAATCTCATTTATCACCATTCATTTATCCATTCACCAATCTCATTTTCCATCATTATATTTTCCATTTTTAATATCATCATCAGAAATCTTTTGTAATATATTTTTTGCAAGAAGAATTCATTTTCTTGTCATTAATGTCTAATTTTGCTATGACTGAATCACCGTATTTCATTGCAATTTTTTCAAGGATATCAAGCCTTATCTACCTGATTATAGATCTTTTAGCTTTTGAATTTCTTGGTATGATCTGATATTTATTTATTGGTAAATATTTTCATAAACATTTTTTCAAAATCATTTTACTAATTTTTTACATCATATTTTATTATTGAATAATAATTAATAAATTATTTTTATTTACTTCAGAAAAATCCTTATAAAAATGTTTTCTAATAAATGAGTGTCAGATCATACTAAGAAATTCAAAAGCTAAAAGACCTATGGCTTGATATCTGTGGGGCTACCTCCCCCACCCCCCATTTCTTCAGCACCTTGAGTTCTATATATTTATTGAAAGTAAATATATTTATTGAATGTGCATGTGTGTAATAAATAATTGTTTGCAATGATAAATCATCATATTTTTGTTCTCTAAAGAATATCACTGTACTAAGGTGGTTGCATTAATATGTACTTAGTACAAAAATTTTTATTTGAAAAAAGAGCAAAATTAAATCTGTGGTCTCTTCCTCATGGAGAGCAAATAAAGAAATTATCCCATGATTTTACAGCAAGATAAAGTGATAATAGCATAAGAAGTAGTTTAAAAATAATTAGTAATTAAGAAAGCATCAACCAATGCATAAATTAAAATAGCTTTTATGGCTGCTTTCCTTACAGATGGCAGCAAAGGCTGATAAATTTCCATTCTGTGATTTTATTTTTTCAATAATATTTCAACCTAATATTTATTCCTGCTTAATTTTTCACTCATTAAAAGCTAATTTGTTTAAGTTTAATTCAGTAATTCATTGCTTTATTGTTTACTTCTTTAGTAAAAACTGCTTCTTTGATATTATCATTTTTATTCTGATGTGTTAAATTTTAGTTCAAATAAAATTTTATATAGATTTATAGTAAATAGCCACAAAAATTAAACCTCAGTAATATCAATTTTAATTAAAATAATATTTTTGTTATTTATTCCTCTGCTGCTTAAAGTATTTTCAGGCTTTTGCAATTTTTATTTCTACATTTTTTCAAAATTTTATATTTGGCTATGTCAAAATTTATTTTGACTTTTAAGAAATCTCTCTGGGTTTTTATTTTCTATCATTTTATCATTTTATTGATTTATTGATATCATTTTATTGATCATTTTATTGATTTATTAAATCATTTTATTGATGAATCAAAGTTATATTAATTTGATTGATCTTTTTCCTCTCTTTTAGTCATATAGAATCAAAAAAGAATATTTTAGATGCTACAGTCCAGTTACAGTGTTTAGTTAAAGACTCTAGGTTAACTCTTCCAGACAGATCTAAGGTATCAAAAATTACTTTTTCTTTTTATTAAAGTTTAGTTTCTGTTGCTTAAATTTTGAATGTGAAGAATTACATAATTCTTTATAAGCTAAATGTTACTACTTATATGATTTCTGCAATCAAATTTTAAATGTAAATGTTATTTTAAATGTAGATTTTGCTTTTTAAAGGAATGAGATAGATGTAATAAAGGGAGTAAAGCTGTTTACACATTATTTATTGTATGAAAATACATAAATATTATTAATTAAAACAAAAGAGAATCCTTCTTCTGCATATGTTAGACTCTTCCCAATTGGTGTCATACCTCTTATTAATCCACTTCAAATGCAGGTTAATCATAATTTTACCTTACAAGATATGTTTCAATAAAGTCACTTGAATATGTGGAAATCACATACGAACTAAAACTATATACAAAATTTTAACTATTCTAAATTACTCTCAAATGAGAGTTCAAATCATTGTTCACTACTCAATCGGTTCTTGCTACAATTCTCTAGAACAGAATTTTAGCGGCAGTAGAAGATAAATAGTACGCCTCTTCATCTGAGTTTGAACCGGAAATTAAATCATCAACATACAGGCATGTATATCACATTTCGTAAACTTTATGATGTTCCTTCTTATATTTCTGTATATGATATTTGATAGTAGCAGCTAAAATAAAGGGGCTACAAGTAACACCAAATGGTACATGCATAAATCTAAGAATTTTGAATGAATCAACTGACATATTATCAAACCACAAAAATTTCAGATAATTTTGGTCTTCTGGTGTTAAGCCAATTTGGGGAAAAGCCTTCTCTAGATCTGCACAAAATGCGACTTCATGTTTTCAAAAATTGATATCTAAAATGTTTTGGTTTATATTTGGCCCTGGCCATAAACAATCATTTAAAGATTTAAACTGATTTTCTTTTGAAGAAGCATCAAAGACCATCCTCACTTTAGTGGTGGATGTGTCATCCCTCATAACGGGTCTATGTGGCATAAAATAACCATTCTCAACGTCATTATCTGAACATTCTTCAAGTACCTTATTTCCCTTTTATTCAGTAACAGTATCTTTATACTGTTGGAGAAGATCGTCATTTTTCGCGAGCTTACGATTTAATTTGGAAAACGATTATTCGCTATTTTGAAATTAGTTTCTAACCCTTCCTTACTGTCCTTCCACAATAATTTCTCTTCGTATCTGTTATTAACAAATTTTAAATCGTTTTCAAATTTATTAATGATTTCTTTTTCTATTTTCAAAAATTCATCGTCACTAATTCCAATTTCTGCAAGGTCCCATAATTTCTTTAAATCTACCTCTTTTGCATTTTCAACAGCTAACTTGAAAACGGAAGCATTTTTATTTTTTCGCTATTCATCATTAGTTACAGAACCACTAAGCGACCATCCAAATAAGCTTTCACACACGAAGAGCGACTTTGTTATTTTTTCTACTGTGCCTGGATTGTTGATTTGGCAGGGATAATCGGTGCCTATCAATAAATGTACAGGAGAGCCACATGACGTATTCCAATTAGACAGCTTGTATTTCTTTAATTTGCTTTTGACATCTGTGTTTAGTCTAGGTGGATAAATCAAAGCGGTAGAAATTGTATCTGTAACCAATGCCTCAATCCCTATATTTCGCTTGGGAATTTTCATGTTTTTGACGACGTCATAAATTTTTTGCTTAGCTTTAATCACGTCGAAAGAGTATACTAGCAATTTTTCCTTTCTTATAACTGGGGGTTTTAAATATGATACTAATTCTTTTGTAATAAATGTCCGTTGACTACCACTGTAAAAAAGACATAAAGCAATTTTTGACATTAAATCGGATGATATTTTTACGGAACATGTTTGCAATACAACTTCATTAAATGAATCTGAGTTTTTCTCACATTGAGAAATGGAAGTTACTATGGTATCACTTTCATTTTTAGGAACTTCAGGGGGCCTTTCTTTTGGTTTCATGCATATCGAAATATTCTAAAACTTACCACCACATATTTTACTCATTTAGAAATTTACACTTTGCAGCAATATGGAATTTTCTAAAACATACAAAACACTTCCCTTTGTTCTTTAGTTTTTTATGCTTCTCAGGAATCAAAAGCAATTTACATAAATTAGTATTATGTTCTGAACTGCTGCCCCCCCCAAAAAAAAACAGTTATTCTTAACACTAGTTGAAAAAGCAGATGCTGTAGGAATATTACGTTTAAAATTTTGGTTTCTATATTTTTCTGGTTTATCATGAGATATCTTTACGGAACTATTCAAATGCATCGTAACTTCACGTGATTCTACTTCTTCTTTAATAAAGGATATTAGTTCATTAATGTCCCAGTCCGAACTTTTGGCACGTTTTCGATTAAATTCCAAAGCAATATCTGACGGAATCAAGTAAAATTTTGCATAATAATAAATGACCATAACTTCCAGATGCAATCCCTAAAGAGTTTAAATTATGAATCTGAATTTCACAGTTGTCATAGAGCTCTCTCAAAGCTTTTAAGTCAGCAGAATTTTTTACCGGATTCAAATTTAAAAACTTATTCATATGGGCGTTAATCATGATATCGGTTCTACCAACTGTTCTTTCAAAAGGGCAATAGCAGAACTATAATTTTCATTAGTTAATGAAAACCCAGATACAGCATTAGCTGCACTTCCACCTAGCAATGATTTTAAATAGCAAATTTATCAAATGGAGTCAAATGCTCATTACTACACTGACTACCAATAAGTATTCAGACACCTGTGATAGAAAAGAAAAACTAACTTTATTCAAAATCAATAGTTGGTAGAGCCTCCACGAGAGGTAATTACAGCATGGAACCTCCGGGGCATACTTTCCACAAGTCTTTGTATGACAGCTAGTGGTATTTTCTTCCACTCGGCTTGGAGAAGACATAAAAGTTCTTTCACCGATTTTGCACGGGTAGTGCAGCCCTGAATTCGGCGATGCAACTCGTCCCAAAGCTTCTCGATAGGGTTCAGGTCTAGACTCTGGGCAGGCCAGTCCATTCGATGAACTCCATTGGCACCTTACCAAGCCATGGTTAGCGTCGAAGCATGACAACTGGCATTGTCGTTCCGAAAGTAACAGGCATCCAACCCGTAAAACTGCCACAACGTAGGAAGCACATTGTCATCCAAAATAGTGCAGTAGGCATCGGAGTTGAGCTTACCATGAATGGGGACCAAGGGTCCAGCCGATACCAGGAGAAAACACCCCCAGACCATAATTCCACCTCCGCCGAACTTGACTGTTGGCACAATGCATTCTGGCAGGAGACGTTCTCCAGGTAGACGCCAGACCCAAACCCTGCCATCTGAACGGTAAAGGGTGAACCTTGATTCGTCCCTCCAAAGAACCCGTTTCCACTGATATACGATCCAATTTCGATGTGCTTTGCACCACATTAACCAAGCAGCGCGGTTGCACTTTGTGATCAAAGGCTTATGGGCAGCAGCACGACCATGAAAACAAAGCATATGTGCTTCCTTACGGATGGTATTCATTGAAACAATACTCCTGGATGCCTGTTGAAACTCCTCGCAGATGAGGGCCATTGGTTGGGTGTGGTTCTTCCGAATTTCTCTGGATTGCACTCGTTGGTCTCTATCTCCCAGTTTCATTGGCCTGCCGACTCAGGGCACATTCCGACAATCACCGCTCACTTTCCACTTGTTAATCACATAGGCCACTGTCGATTTTGGGTACTTCAGATCGCTAGATATGTCCCTTATGGATCGGCCATATTTGTGATACCCGATAATTACACCTTTCTCGAAATCAGAGAGCTCCGAACTTCGAGGCATCTTGCATGCGACTAAAGCCGATGCTGTTTCCTACACGATATATACTGGCGGAGTCTGTGACATACCTTAGGACCGCAGATATCGTCATTTGCATAGGTGTCCAAATACTTATTGGTAGTCAGTGTATCTATAGCATTTGAAAACTGGATTCAAAACTCAAGTCATAAGCAAAAATCACCATAATATTTTTCAATCGTAAGTTTTGGAAGCTTTAAAATTAGGTCAAGTATTATTACTAGGAACATTATTTTCAGTACTTAAAACACTAAAATCATGAGAATTAATTTGAGGGTAGAGTTAAAATTTTTATCTAAATACCGAGTAATTCTATTTTCTATTCAATAATTTTTTCATTGTAATCCTCAACAACTTCAATTTCGAATTCAATATATTTAAGAGTTAAACCATTTTCAATTTCAGAATTAAGTTGTTTAAGACCATCATACATTTCAATTAACTGGTCTTTGAGAAAACGTAACTGATCAATTTTTTGTGCATGATTCAATTCCGACGTTTTCATTAAAATGGCTTTTTTGTGAACAGTTTTGTAGTAGCGGTACGCAAAACTGCGCGTTTCCGCTTCAATTTATCAAGATTTCCCACTACCTTAAACTATATCAAAATATATCAAGTTATAAATAAACATGGCCTAATAGTGGCCGAGCGGTAAAGATGCTGAACACTGGTAGTTCGGTCCGAGGTTCGAATCCCGCGAACGAGCTGGCTGCATGGGTGTTTTCATGGTTTTCCCCATGTGTAACATGTATACGAGCCAGTTCTCCTTAGAAAGTCCTCCACGAAGGCATCCCTTCCCTTAGGTAGATAGCCCTTGAGGCTTTGCTGTAATTAAATAACCTAACCTAAATAAGCATGCGCTTACCTGCTAAAAGTTTTTCAGTCCTGTCGCGTAGGACCCATACTAATCCATTTCAAATGCAGGTTAGTCATAATTTTACCTCACAAGATACGTTTCAATAAAGTCACTTCAGTATGTGAAAATCACACATGAACTAAAACTATATACAAAATTTATTTACAAAATTTTAAATTTTTTAATTTACTCTCAAACGAGAGTTCAGATCATTGTTACCGACTCAGTCGGTTCTTGCTACAATTCTCTAGAACAGAGCGCAACTACAGGGTTGCCACAAATGTACAAAGTCTAGTTATGCGCTTCAGAGCTACCTAACAGCAGTCACAATACCTGTAGTAAACTGACCTAATATTAAAGAAATAGGATGAACATTGGAAACAGCTTAATAACAGTTGAGCATGCTGCATCATATATGATGCTTAGCATGATGTAATGAATTTCTCTGGTATAACAGAAATAAATACCCATTCCATTGTTAAATGCCTAGCAGATATTCTTAATGATAAATCCAAGATTTTAAGTTTGCCTAAAAGATGCTTATGTTTAAAAAGTGCCATGTATAGACATTTTGCCATCTAGTACAATCTCTGTGAATCCTAAATTCTGTTGCCTGATGCTTCACTAAATTCTAAAAATTTTGCAGTAATTTTAATAAGCAGCAGGTATTGTACTAACATATCTTTAAATTTACTTCAGTTGGTGCATGTATATGTGGGTTCTTGTCTTGGGCAATCACAATTCATTTTGAAACAAAGCACATTTAACGAAACATTAATACATATATGACATCATTCATCTATTAACACATATATAACATCGTTCATCTCACTTTCGTGAAAGTAGCGAGAGTTCCATCAATTTCACTTGTGCAGTAAACAGTTAAAATCAAAGTACCTCACGAGAAAAATATTAGGCTACGGAGTTAGAATCCCATATATATATATATGAATTTAACAAATATTCGCTATTATATAAAGCTAATTTAAATTTTAAACTAAAAATATGTAATTGTATACAAATGCATAAAATTTTTTTAAAACTTCTTACTGGTAAACTTGTAGTGGCCCAGTTATTGCATGAGAAATAATTATTTTTTATTTCATATATTTGTTCTTGTGTTTAATTATTTTATAAAATTAACTTTCATATTTTGTTAATATTCATATTTATATTTCTTTTATGCTGAATGGCAATAAGTAGTTCATATTCATATTTAAATTTCTTTATGCTGAATGACAACTAGTTCTAGTTCTGATTAATGATTGCTAAGGTTTTGGTTTCAAAACGTTGCTAGTAGCGTCGCATTTCAATAGCTGGAAAATAAAATGCAATAAACTTAGCTATTTGTTTATAATTCATGCTGTTCCTAAATTAATTTTAAACATTAGTAGCCAAGGCTACAAACTAAAGAAATTAAACTAAACCAAATTAAGTTTTAGTGCTAATTACCTAGATTGATATTTCTCATTTTAAATAGTAACTACATATTTCATGTTCTAATAGTTTGGTTTACTTTAATTTCTTTAGTGGTAAAAAGTTTTAAAAAAATTTTATGCATTTGTATACAATTAAATTTTCATAGTTCAAAATTTAAATTAGCTTTATATAATAGAGAATATTTGGTAAATTCAAATTTCGTTCCTTGCAGCAATGCTGTAAGAGAATTCTTTAATTATTTATTTAACTTTATTATTAGTTTCTTATAAAACAATATATACAAAGTCCGGCTATTAATTTCCAGGACTGACGTAACTGTAGAAGAACAAAAAGTTAGAAGATGGCTCTAATGATTGCATATTGAAGAGCGTTTTCTTGCGCATGTGCAGTGCAGTCGGCGCCGTTCTGAAGTAAGTGGTTCTCGTGGAAAGGCGCATTAAAATGTAGCTCTTAAATTCCTATTGTCGAAGGGAAAATGGAGCAAAGAATTAACATTAAATTTTGCTTCAAATTGGACAAGACAGCTGCAGAAACCTACGAAATGTTAAAACAATTTTACGACAAAGAAGCATTATCCCATTTAAGAACTTTTGAATGGTTTAAACGCTTTTGGGATGGGCGCGAAAGCGTCGAACATGATTCACACAAAGGTCGGCCGCAGTCTGTAAGCACGCCGAAAGCAATTGAAAAAGTTCACAATATGGTGAAATGTGATCGTCGATTGACTCTTCGAGTACTTGGCAATGAATTGAACATGGACGAAGAGACTGTTTGGCAAATTTTTTACGCAAGACCTAGGCAAACACAAGATTTGTTCCAGATTCGTTCCTCACCATTTAAGGGACGAAGAAAAGTAATTGAGACTGGACGCATGTGGCGAATTTATTGAAAGCGCTGATGCTGATCCTGTGTTGCTGGATAGGATAGTCACGGGAGACGAGTCTTGGTGTTATTAATATGACCCTGAAACCAAGCGTCAAAGCTTCGAATGGCGGTCTCCAAGTTCACCAAGACAGAAAAAATTTTGATTTGAAAAGTCTAAAATCAAGGTCATGTTAATCGCTTTCTTTGATTGCGATGGACTCGTTCATGATAAATTTCTTCCTCCTATAACATGACTATCAATGGACAGTTCTACACAGAAGTTCTTGACTGACTTCGAAAATGAATTTGTAGAGTGAGGCCTCACGAAATGATTATTTTCCCGTTAAATGTTATAAACAATTGACGCACAAGCACATAGATAAAAAAAGACCGAATGATCTGACAAGGGAATTCCCGAGTCGAGCCGGATCAGAAATGGCACCACGCATACCAACAACCTGGCTCGTTGCTCGTTACTCGAGTAAATGCTCATATTTAACCTTTTCGCGACGGCGCACCTTTGTTTAAGATGCTCATGCAGGACGGAAGGGAATCAAAGGCATTTACCATACAGGACGGAGGTTTTGCATCGCTAAGCCTAATTTTATATTTAAAAAAAAAAATCAGAAAAAAAAAAAAAAGTTTCACTTCTAGCATCGTAATTTTTTGGTATCATTTTAGATTATTACTTGAGCTCTTATATATGTTAAAATTAACACTTAATAACGTTTTTTTTTTTTTTTTTCTTTATTTTACATGATAATATACTTAAAAATTTCCTTATCTTGTAAAATAATTTTCGGAAGCGCTATTCAAATTATTCCAAAGTTTTAATTGATAAAATCCATCAATAAAGTTTAAAAATAAAACAACACAATAAAGACTATTTACAGTAAGAAGTAACAAAATTTAAAATGAAGACTGAGTGAGTTAAATCTCGAAGCATGGAGAAGTATCACTTTCTAACTCTTTAGAAAATGAATCATCACTCTCATCTGTGTTAGTAAATGATCCATTAACCATACGAGGGTATTCTTCCTCTGATAAATAGTGGCTTCCCGCCATAATAGACTGGAGGTGAGACTTTCCGAAATAAAAAGAGAAAAAACGGAAATATATCTGAAGGCAATGCAAAACTGATCGGGCTATCTAGTAACCCTAAAAGACCATATATAGTAGAGGAAAAAATAGAATAAAAAAAGGAATTGGATATAAAACAGACATATTTATATTAGCACATGGCGAATAAAGAGCCCACCTCTGTTTATACTTTCCCTCCCTCCCCACCCTCGCAACAGTTGATAAATAAAATACCAAAGTCAGACAGAATATATCAAACTCAAGGTCAGGAACCTAAAACTGTGTTCATTTCAAAAGTAATGGACATAGAATGCCATCTAGTGGCCTTCAGAAAAATGTTCCAGCTTAAAATGCATATGCGCATCACCTGTCCTCTGAATACAATCTCTAGTGATGTGTGGATGGGATGCCCGGCTGTAAGAGACGTTCTTAAGGAATGCGTATATGGGACGCCTGTCCTGAAAGGGTTAAAGACAAAATTTTCGCTTATGCTTTCCTTGTTTCTTGAATTTCTCGTATATAGAGGTACTCGTATCTCGAGGTTCCACTGTATATGTCAGGGTTGGCCAAACTTCATGTCATTAAGAGCCGCACGTTTGGATTTAGGAATGTTCGAGAGCCTCATCTAGATTTTCTAAAAGCCACAAGTTCATATTTACATCATTATAGAAGCAGTGGAGAAGGTTTTAAATAGAAAGAAATCGCTGATAACTTTGTAAAAAAGAGTCTAAACTAATTAATTTCTTCCTTTGGGACTCTGAATAGTTTTAGTTTACCATATTTCATACATATATTTTATATGCATAAGCCACACAAATCGCCTACGAGAGCCGTACTTTGGCCATCCCTGGTATATGTGATAGTTTATATATGCAGTGGCCAGTTTCATATGATACATTTTTACCTCAATTTCATGGGAATACTATTGGCCATGATGAATGACAATGTGTGTCATTCATTATTAAGGCTTGGAATGTATCACTGGCAGATTTGAGGCATTATTGTATGTAAATAAATTGATTAAATATTAAGTATTCGTATGATTACAGATGCATTTCAATGAATTACTAATGCCTATTCATATAATACATAAAAGTACTGAAAATTGTTTATTCATATAAATATAAATATGTATATATTTATCTCTTAGAGTAATCTGCCTGGATTTTATGACCCTTGCTTGGGTGAAGAGAAATGCTTACGTGTGGATTATATGTACAGAAAACTAACTCATTCCATAACTATAGGAGATAATGAAATGCTTAGGATACCAAGAAATTGTAAGTAGCAAGATTTTGGATTTCATCCTTTGATATAATAGCTTTTATATGAATAACAAATTATCTATTAAAAGATGTTTAATTATTTTTTACCATGCCATTACATTTTCATTATTCTCCTTTTTACTCTTTGTTATTAAAATTATCTAATTAATAGATATTAGGTGAATGATTTGATAAAAAAAAACTGTATGAGTAATACTTTATGCTCAGATTTGAAGACCTTTCAAGGATCAAATTATTTCATGTGCGTTATTCAGAATGCGAAAATGCATATTACTGCCTTTTTCCAAGAATGTTATTAACAAAAGAGAATAGGGAGCATCTTGTGTCTTATTTTATATCTTTTATTATTCATAATCTAATTACCTTTTGTAAAAAATGCTATTTGAAATATGTTCTTTGATGTTAGATATTAGCCTTACTTCATAGTTTGGCAACCTTTTGTAATATACGAGGGTAAGTTGAAAAATAAGTTTCCCCTGTCGACTGTGGTCAGAGTTGTGTATGAAAGTCAAAAAATAGAATGAGACATTAAAGATATGACATACCTTTATTTTATTATTATTAAGAAGCGTTGAAAGGCGACACAGTAGGAAAACGCGCGAGTCACCGATACACCATTGGGTAGAGGTCGCTGCAAATCAAGCAGATGGTGCTGTTGCAGTGCCTGCGCAAAGCAGAGACCAGCCTCTCATTTGAGCCCCGGTAGGTATGGAGAGAAGGTGCGTTTTGAATTCATGGTCAAAGGAGGAAGTGAGAGCGGTTATCTGCTATGAATGGGCACGTAGAGTATCAGGAACAGAAATTCATAACCGCCTCGTGGAAGTCTATGGGCCAGGTGTGATGTCGAAGCAAATGGTGCAGAGATGGTGTCGTACATTCAGTGATGGATGTCAGCAAGTGGAGGACATACCGAGAGCTGGACGGACGCGCACGGCCACTACAGATGCAAATGTCAGGAAGGTGGATGACATCATTAGAGCAAACCGGCATATCACTATCGATGAAGTAGCGGAAGAACTTGGAATCTCACATGAGCTCAAAACATCATCCACGACATTCTTCGATACAAAAAAGTGTCAGCACGATGGGTGCCCCAACAATTGACCTTGACACACAAGCAAAAACGCATGGGGGTCTAGCCTGGAGCATCTCGTGCGTTACCATGAAGATGGCAATGACTTTCTGTTTCGGATTGTGACGGGGTATGAAACGTGGGTCCCCCATTTCACACCAGAATCAAAGACCGCATCTATGGAGTGGAAACATCCGTCATCACCTGTCCGAAAGAAGTTCAAGACAACTCCCTCTGCAGGTAAAGTGCTCCTCACAGTTTTCTGGGACGCCCAAGGACTTTTGTTGCTGGACTTTTTGGAGGTTGGAACCATCAATGCTACACGCTACTGTGACACCCTGTCGAAATTTAAAGAGGCGATTCGGAAAAAGCAGCCTGGCCTTCTCACATCTGGCGTTCTGCTGTTGGATGACAATGCCAGACCACATTTGGCGACGGCAACGCAAAACCATATTGCAACTCTTGGTTGGGAGCGCCTACACCACCCGCCATACAGTCCTGATCTCGCACCAAGCGACTTCCATCTGTTTCCGGCTTTGAAGAAAAATCTCGGGGGAAGGTGCTTTGGAAGCAATACTGAAGTGAAACAAGCCGTTCAATGCTTCTTCCATATGCAAAGCCCTGATTTTTTTCCTGGAAGGCTTTTTGAAGCTTATCAAGTGATATGACAAATGTCTCAATGTACTTGGTACCTATGTGGAAAAATAATGGTATGTCATATCTTTAATGTCTCATTCTATTTTTTGATTTTCATACACAACTCTGACCACAGTCGACAGGGGAAACTTATTTTTCAACTTACCCTCGTATGTCTTTTCATATTTTTATTTTAATCAACCTTTCTAGAGAATGTAAGAACAACCATTGTGCAGCAAACACATATTGTATTTTAGAGGGAAAAAATTGCTTTATGTTTTTTGTCCTTTTTATAGGAGATAGATGTACTTTTAGATATTTCTCATATATGGCTATTTGAGAAATTTTTGTCTGTACATGCTTAAAGAGTATTTTGTCACAGTATCCCAGACTAATATGTCACTGAATGCAGTTGTTGCTTATATGCCATACAGTGGTACACTAATATGTGTTTATTATTTTTACATAGTGACTCAACTTTGACAAGCCATGAAGGTAAAATGCTGTTGACAAATTCAGCAGAACAGTGTTGTTGCTTTTGCGCAACAGTGCTGAAGCACACAAAGCTTAAATTCCGAGGCTGTTATTCAGCAACACAAATTTCATCTTCCATCCAGTGTTTAGACCTAGGTCCAAGTGACTTCATTTGATTTCAAAAATCGAACAACACTTATGCAGTTCACATTACAGAACAATGTTTTTAAGGATGCCATTTAGGAATGGTTTGAAGGCTATGACAGTTTTTTTTCCCCCTTGCTGGAATCTGATGCTTAATAATTCATTGTGCTAAATGCATTTCAGTCAAGATTAACTACATAGAAAACTTAAAAAGTAATTTTAGACATTTATGTTGTACAAATATATTAAAGTTAAAACTTATTGAATACATCTTGTACTTAATAGTGTTTGTGTTAAACCACTGGTATTCAAACTGTGGGTCATAAATTCCATGCAGAGTCATGAAAATTCTAAAATTCCTAAAACATCTGAACTGATGGTATATAACTAAGGCTCGATGCTCCGATTGGAGTCGTAAAATTGTTTTTGAATTCATTTGCATTTTTATGGGGTCGCATTTCCATGAAGTTTGAATACCACTTTATTTAACTATTAGGCAATGAGGAATTGAAAAACATTCTGATGCCAGGTTTTTCATGAAGAATATTTCTAATAGTTGGCAATTTAATATCTGTAATGCCTTGAATTTGATCATAAATTATATTCTTATTATATTGTCTTCTAACATCTGCTTGACAGGCATGATGTTTTAATCAGTTCAAGTGGTGGCCAGTCAATACAACCAATCTTCATTTTACAAAGAATATTACCCCCTCTTGAACTCACCATCACCTGGATACTTTGGTTTGAGAAGGAGAATTTTTCTGAAAAACACCATGCAAATTTTTTACATCTTTCATTATTCATATAGTTCAACTTTATCAAGTTATAAAAAGTCATGTCTAAGCATTTGCTCAGATTTAAGCTCCGTTGTATTTTAGAATTAGTGTCAATTATACAAAGATAAAATGGTGTTAATGGTGTTCTTACCAAATGGCAGCTAGTAATAAATGATATTGCTTATGGCACTATGGAATGTTCCCTTTGCATTCATTGACTATATGACAAATATTTCATGTATGAAATTCTGCAAACATTTCAATGGGACCTAGGAAATGGAAATTTATAAACAAATATACGTCTGCACTAAGTAAACATTTAGCAACAAGATGGGATTGTTAATCGGAATGAAAAATTAAAGAATTTTTGCATTGTTGTCCTGTAATACTTTTATTATAATTAAGAACTTTTTTGTTTCTTATTTCAGAGTTTTAGAAATTGGAATATTTAAAGCCTGAAATTTGTCAGAGTTTTAAATATATCTAAAGAAAGAAAACTGAGTGAACACTACTTTGTGTAGATTTCTATCTAGTGGCATCATTTTCACATGCTATAAATAGATCATAATAAATTTTGTTTTATTGTAATGTTTCATAAAAAATATACATTATTTTCTTCTGAAATTGTGTTTGTTTTATTTCCTGTGAAATTATTTAATGCTTTCCTGACTTACATTTTATGAGATACCTCAATATTTGTATTAATTACTTCATTTTCTTTTGTGTAGTTGAAATTATAAGTGAATTATAATCAGCATTGTTCCAAATCAGTAAATATCATTGATTTTCAGTTCTATTAAAATTGTGGAATAAGTGTAGAGAATAAGGCACATTTAGCTCTGACAAACAGCAAAAGTCAATTTTATATTGTTAAGTTCAATTCATTAATAATTTTTTTTTAATGTTGATACTTATGTTGATTTTGATTTTTGCTGTTTTGAAGTATCTTAATGAAAAGAACTTGTACCTAGATGAATTAAATTTGTTTATTGCAGAATGATGGAAAACTTATCACAAACCATTAGAACAAACATGGCCAAACTGTGGCTTTCTCTGTCCACTTAGATATTTCTTGTGAGTTTCATATATCCCTTTGGCCTCTTAAATTCCACTTCATTGTAAAAAATTGATACAAATTTAACCTTCCAGCACACGCGGTTGGTAATTTTACATGAGTATGCGCACATCGTATTTTTTATGACATCTGTTATTTTACCTTTTCTGGCACAAAAAACGACATAAATGGGCGAATATTGGTAATAAATTTGTTAAGAAATAAAATATTAACCTTATTATTCCAAAATACAAATGATCACATTCAAATGAAAGTAAATTATTTTTAAATGCTTATATTAGTTATGTATTTCATTATTGATAATTTTAAATTTATTCTTTAATAACTGTATTTTAAAGTCCAAGCTATTTTTAATATTCATCTGTCCTGTATTGTTGATTATCGTCAAATCTAAGACAACTTGTCAGGAATAAAAATCTCTTGTAGCTCATCGCTTCTTTTGTTTTTTCAGTTCCAGTACCATCACTTGAGAACAATTCTTTTACATTTACTTGCTGTCCTTTTTTTATTCCTATCATAAATAACAATCTAAAATGTGCCTGCATTTCCATTATTGAGGTAACAGTGCAGTCTTTGTCTCTTGAATATTTGGCTTTTATCAAACAAATATGTTTATTTATACATTCCAAAATTTCATCAAGCATTATTTATATCAATTATTTTCAAAAATGATCATATTTCATCCTCTATATCCTTGGCATGGTGTTTTAGGCCAGGTAGCACTTTCACAATATTCATCTTATTCGACTTTGAGCAGTTTACATACTTTTGTTTTCGCCACTTAGAAGAGTTATCCTTACAAACAAAGAACATATCATAATCATTCCTTTTTTCTATATCATTATTATCATCATCATCCAAAATTTATAGTTCAGATTCACGACAGATATTATTTATCTCTATACTCTCTTCACTCAAACCGCTATTGTTCTCACATCTAAAGGTTTTCTTGTCTTCTCTTTCAGATAATTTTTGAAGAATGCGAGCAAAATCAGCTGGTTGCTCATATTTTTTGTTATGAAAACCAATATAAAATTATAGAGTCAAATTTATACAAATTAAAATAATACACACCAATTAATAACACAAAATTACAAACTATTTGAGGAAAAAAAAAGCATTTTCAAATTTTCACCCACAACCATGTGCGCATCGTAATTTTTACGAAGAAGCTGCCACGTAGCACAAAAGCCCAATAAAAGAAAAAAAAGAGGGGTATATGACTTCTTATTGGCTTATTCCATGATGTAAGAAAGGGTTGAAAAGAGGAATAGAAATGACTTTTAGATGTCTCGGCTGCGATATACGGAAAATGTTCATTAAAAACCGAATTTGTCGTAAACTTTGTGCATGATGCGCGGGCTGGAAGGTTAAGATTTGTTTGCAAAATAACTTTATTTTTGAAATGCAATGATATTGAAATAGAAATTGGGGTATCTGTGTCAATCGACAGTTTAATTTTCAAAATTACATTTTTGTGTGCAATAATGTAATTGATTTCAAGCTGTTTACCATGCACTAACCAACAGAGTAACAAACACAATGGCAAATATATTTATTTCTGTGAATTACTAACATGGTCATGTTACTTTTAAATCAGGTAATGACAAACAGAGTGTCACAAACTACAAAATCAAGATCCTTTGAAATATAATGCATTCTGATTTTATTGTGTCAGGTTTATTTTACTTGAGGCAGATTATCGTTATTGTCCTGTGTAATGCTCTTGCTTTCCAATAGCCATAGTCTATGTCTCGGAAGATTAGCATTCCTCATACAGTCTAATCTTCATGTAGCATAGATAACCATTGAACGATCATCTTTCAGGGCAATGCTGCCTGTGTAGGGGCTTTTGCAATTTTGAAAAATATTTGGTGCCTGGCAGATTCATATGCAGTTTCTGTGATGAGTGAAGTAAAATTTTCCATTCATATTTCATCAGCAGATCTGTCACAAATTCCCCTATTAGGTGTGCATTAGCATTCAAAATGAACTGCTGATCATTAAAAATGTCAGGCCTTTTTTCTGTGCAATTTTTGCTGTCATTCACAGTTTTCTACATGCAAATGTCTCTTTCATGATGATATATTGGCAATCTTAGGCAGATGCCATCATTTACTGTAGAGAATGTGCATGTCAAAATTTGAGTCATGGAAAGGATGATATTCTTCACTGGAATTCACAATGATTCACAAAACTCCTTCTTTCATCTATTGTGATCAGAACTGTCATTTCAACAATGTCTTATCAAATAATGAGCGACTCATTGAACACAAATCATTTTTTTTTATGAAGGTTTTGTGAAAACGGTTTACCAATGCTGATTAAATTGTGACATTTCCTCTCTGGCTGATTGATGATTTTCTGCCTTTTTTAAGCCCAGTACAAATAATAATCTTCTTTTGTCTGTTGATGTTTCTTGTCTTCATAACCAACAGTCATCTTTTATGACTGACAAGTCCTTAGGGGAAATGGGTAACCCAATAGAATACTGTGCTAATATTCACTGCATACTTCATGCAAATGCATTGGGAAATTCTATTGGAGTTTTCCTCATAAACTTTCAGTTTCGAAGCTCATTTTATTTTCTACATTTACAGTATCTCAGATGCCTGCAGACTCCAAATCAGATAGTCACCACTTCAAAATGCCATATTCTGCAAAACTCAAGTGGACACTTGGTTTTAACTCAAACCTTCAACTGCATTTACCCCATCATTAAAGTTTACCAGATATGAATACGGGTTTTTTTTATTGAAAACAGGAAATGCATCTTTCAAAACTGATAAAAAGATTTGTGGTCATGTTTGATTTCCAATCCAGTTGGTTTATCATCAAACACACTTTTACTGAAAATTCATGTACTTCATGGTAAATTGACTGATGTAATGGATTTCCATCAACATTTGTTTCATGTTGGACCAGTTGACATAACTTATGAATGCGTACTGTAAAAAAAAGTGAAAGTAAAGTGAGAATTTAGAAAAAAATTATATGCATTGCGCACTAACCTCACAATTCTGCCTTCTTCAACTAATACATAACATTCATTTACTGCAAAGCATTTAATTAACTTAAGCATTGTTCTTCTGTAGTTCACACTTAAAAATTTCTTGGGAATTTTGATTGATCTTAGGGCATGAAGATAGTGTCTTATATACTTTGAAATGTAGTGGAAGGATGTATTCTAGTATTTTATATTAAATTTTTCATAAAATGTCTATGATTAATAAAAGCTTGGCTCATATATCTATCTGAAATATATGATATCGTCTATGAGAATTTTTGCAAAAATCTGGGTGTGGATCTTTCATTCCATAACTGATCATCCCATCTAGTCTATCACTGACTTGCTCTTACCCACAAAATATTTTTATTGTTATAACTGGAGTTTTTATGAAAATAGTAAGGGTGTTAGAATACATGGAGATGGCATCTCTGCTATTGCAGTAGGAGGAGAGCTAGGAGATGCTAGGAGAAGTAAATAAGCCATGCCATGTGAGAGCAAGAAAATGCTATTCTTACTAAGTGAAGTAAGGTTAAACATCAGCCGGTTAAACATGCATAAATAAATAGAATATTTAAAGTATGTGTTTGAAAAGCTGTCAGCAAAGAGTGCGAGTATTTCCTTGGTGTAGCGTGCACGAAGAAATGTGTAATTCTTAGATTTTCTTTTCAGAATAATAATAAATGTGATATTCTTAACTGAGGTGTAAAAGCAACATGGATAGTAAAAAAGGGTATGGGGAGCGGCTACCTCTTTATGGAAAAGAAAGTAGTCTACTTTAAAGTGTGATCATGTTATATTACAAGTCTTATATTTTATGTAATTCACTTTATTTAATTTTCTGTTCAAGGAAATATTTAATAATAGGATTTGATTTGAAGATAGAGACTTTACGTTTTGTGTGAAAATATGTGATTTTTAGTCAGATTTGTTGTGCGAGTTTTAAAAATAATGCAGAATTTAAGTATTTTTTAATTATTGTTCATTCTAGTTACAATTTTTCCAAACATAAGTACTACAGGGAAACATTATTATAACATCAAAACATGGAAATAACTAAATAACAGGTTATAAATAATCCATGTTATAATAATGTAGAACAATTAAAGTATTAACAATGTATGGTTTGAGTACTAAGTTACTTTTTTGTTAACAATACTTTATGCTAGCACTTTTTAATGATAGCATACATATTTTTACATAATATATTTTTTATTTAACTCATTTCAATAGAATCAGTCTCTTTGTGTGTGTAATCCCCCCACTCTCATTTCAGAGTAATTTAAATTGTAAACTATAATTTAGTTCATTTTATCTTTCCACTTTTGCTAAGAAGTTCAGCCTAGTTTATACATTTGTTTGATACATGTTTAAGTCATTATATTTATTGCACAGGAATTTTAATAGCACTTAGCCTATTATATTAAAATTTAAATCATATTTGTATGTTAAAAGATGGACTGATGCTTATTCATTAAAAGATCAAAAACTAATCATCAGTAAAACGTTTTTATTCACAAAAAATTCTTATATTTATTTAAG